TTGAGATGCTGGTTAGCATGACCCTGACTCAGCAGGAGTACATGTACACCACTGTGTCACCCTCCCCAAGCCAGCTCCACATGGTGCTCATGACAGCTGTACACATGATGACCAGGACAGCCCAACCACAGCCAGGAATCCCCCTTTGCAAACTCTCGGTCTTGCATGTCCCATTGTGCAATTTTCACAATCTTAGTTTCTGAGCAAAGTGCTCAGATCAAGATCACTGTGAAGTAACTGTGAATTTCCCCTATTGCAATGTATTGACTTTTCAGTATTCCCTTGCAATTGAAAAGTCAGTTGTGTACTGACAGTCCTACACGTAACGGCTAGATAGCATTAAAATGTCATGTGTGAAGACTCAGATGCCTTTCCAATCACTTTCAATGAAAAGGAAACGTTCTTTTCAAACAAGAATGGTTTAAAATTTCTGCTTTGCATCTTTCGAGGCACTAATCGCCTGGATTCACTTTTCTTTTTCCCAGACCTGTCTCGGATCTTAAAGGGAAGCTGAACATTTTTAGACTCTATGACTCTGGCTGAACCCAGACAGACAGATGCTTTTTGTCAGACGACAACCTTTATACCAGTGTCTCCTTTCGCTTTGAGAAAGATGTTGTTAAGAAATGCATTTGGTGGCAGTAGTGCGCTTCCATAGAAAGTGTACCATAAAATAAGATGGATTCTATTCTTATTTCCTGTTTTTCTTACCTATTTGCTCCACTGCTTGCAGCTGCATGAAGAGATGCTTGCTGGCCTTTTTGCCCCCAGTTTGAATGGCTGATCTTCACATTCTCATAGACTGCCTGGTGCTGGGCTGGCGGAGGTCTTGCTGTGGAGGCTATGTATCGGGGACTGCCAGGCTCTGGGCCACTGCTCTTCGCATCTTTTGTGGCTTCTGCCTGCGCAATGTTTGCCGATCTCCTCCTCCACAGAAACAGCACGGCCGCAGTCACGGCCAGCAGCACCAGTGGCAGCAGGCCGAGTGTGAGACCCAGGACCAGGGGCAGATCTGAAGAGATCCCTGTGCTATTTCCTGTGGCATTTCCTGAAGTGATGTTTGCAGCCATGATCTAATAGAAGAAAAAAAAAACGAAATATGTGTTTTTCCGTCATAACTTTCACAGTGTCACTTTAAAAGCATCGGCAAATGTGGAATAAACAGGACAAAAAGATCATCAACAGTCAAACTCAAATTTACATGCTGCTGTTATTCTACCTTGCAGACATACTGTACACTCTATATTGAATATATAGTATTATTCCACTATAACCACCATGTCTTGAACCTGAACTCGGACTGGCCAATCAGGCAGTTCAGTCAACAATGGCCAACAATTAGGAGGCAAATAACTGCTTTGATCACCGAAAGTTGAACATGGTTACATTTAAAACTATTGGACACGGAAGTCCAAAATTGAATCCAGAAGGTGAAAATGTTTTATGGTTAAATCTCCATATCCGATACTGTATTCTGTATTTACATACAATATGAACTTGATTTTGACCCAACTGTCGGTGCTGTGCCATTTGTTCCTTTCCAGATCATGGCAGATAGTTCTTCCTAAAAGCAGTCATGCATGACTTCTCAGTTTGAGGATCTCAGTTTTCAATATCTGTAATGTTAGTCTCCCAAATGGATTTCGGTTCTACCTGGTCTTTCCTTCATACCAAAAAAGTGTTAAACTAAGCCTTCTGAATTGATTTCTTCTTTGAAATTGCTATATACAGTACATGTCAGTTAATTAAGTTGTCTCTAATGCAAACCAGAAGGCAGAATGCCAAAACCTGTGATTCTTTCCTGTCTTGTTGTTGGGTGCCATGATAACCTGCAACAGTCTTGTACTATCTTTGGAAACAATCGTGAGGTTTACAGTCAGTGGCACTGATTAGAGATCATAACAAACCTTTCGGGTAGAAATCTCTCCAGTCACCAGTTCTATCGTATAGATACAGGACCCCCGGACCACAATGTACATTCATCATGCTAATAACTCCACCAACTCCAAAACTGCCACCAATACAGCAGCCTCTTAGTTTAATGTGGGACAGGTCTCTGACCCCCCATTCCACATGGACAGTAAGGTGTCCCTCAGTCCCTCAGCAAGCTGGTTAAAGTCAAAACATCAAGAAACACTAATAATCAATGACATTTTGGGGTTAATCTTCATATATCATCGTATCTCCATAAATCAGCTTAAAGTAATGCAACATGCTCACTTTGGTAAGACCTGGAAACCTAGCAATGTGTCACGAAGCTCATACTTCAGAACAAACAAAAACTGAACACTAACCGCCATCCTTTTAATTTTTTTCGTTACATATGCAGGACTGCAATCAAGAACAAACAGAGACAGAAAAAATACCGATATGTTTTATGAGAAATAAGCTGATTTTGGCAGGGCAATCTATGTGAATAAGTCCCTTTACTGTGTTCTTATGTTCTGAAATAGATCATAGCAACATGTTTGTTCTCAGACACCCTAACTCTAGAGAAATATAGAACTGTAATTTAGTAAATGACTTACCAGACACACAAGCCCGAAGCACTGCAGAATTCACATCAACTGTCTCTCTCGGGTATGAGCAAAACTGCCTTCTCAATATCCTGATATTCTTGCCAAAAAAAGGAAATAAAGTCACCCTTGTCCATACGCCAGTGCTGGTTCCTCTTTTGGCTTATGTTTGTATGGGTGCACGATTTCTCAGAATGACATGCTGAAATCAAAAGGGAACTTCACACAACATGCACTGGAGTGGTATCGGTGTCTAACTCAGACAGATCTACACCAGACAGGAACAGATGGACTGCATGTTATCCCCTACCTCATCACCTCTCCAGCGGACCATTTCCTGTCATTACAAATTCATTTGCTTCAAAATTGAACGTGCATTTGGCTAATCGTGTGCTTTGAGTTGAAATGCATTTAATGGTCCCAGCACTTCCCCAAGTCAGATTCCTGCAGTCCTGGTATCTATGAGGACTGCAGCTTTGTAATTTGTTGTGTACAACCTTCTTAGTGTTACAAAACAACACGTTAGGTGTTGCAAGTTCATGGCATCATCCATCCATTTTCTAACTGCTTCTTCAATTCAGGGCTGCCGAGGAGCAGGAATCTCTCTCAGCAAACAACCACTTTAAGGAAGGATACACCCTGTACAGGACACCCGTCCGTCTTAAGGGCACACACTGACTCAAACACTCTCAGGGCCAATTTTCTGCTTTGAATTGTGGGGGGAAACTGGAACACCAGGTGAAAACCCACACCAACACCAGGGAGAACATGCAAACTCCACGCAGACAGCACTCCAGGTTCAGAATTGAATCCAGGGCCCCAACGTTGCGAGGCAGCAATACTGACTACTATGCCTCCATATTTGCTTGGGGGGGGGGGGCAAGGACACAAGGCAGGGTACACCCTGGATGGGACACTAGTCCAACACAGGGCAGAGGCTCATTATGTTTATTATTATTTCAAAGACAGCTAAGGCAATTTACATGGATTATAGCAAGAAAAATGCAACACATTCTAAGCCAAATCACGTAAGTGGAATAATTAAAGGGTTCAGCAGTTTTGAAAATGCAGTGTGGGGGTTTACGTAAAACAGGCAGCAGTCCGATACATGGACAGAAACACAAACGCAACAGGGCAGCAGCTGTGGTAGAATGGAGCAGCAGAAAACCGAAACAAGGTGGATGCAAATGGCAGGAACAACAGAAGACTGTTAACGTGCTTTATTCTTCATTCTGATCTCTGACCAGCTGATGTTGTGGTTTCACTAAACAAATAATCGCTGGTGAAATTGTGAGATTGCTGAGAAGAGTCACTGGAGATCAGCATGTGTTGTATCCATTACGACAGGCTCCAAGGAAACTGAGTAAAGAAATAAAACAAGAATCATTCCTGGTCTCAGCCGCCCTAAGAATCCCTTGCTTTCATACAGTGCCTTTCATCCCAGAGAATACCAAAGCACTTTATATCCCACTTTATCCCCCACTAAACTGGTGTATGCAACTGGGGCAGCAGACGCAGCACCACTACACAACAGATCAGGTGGAGAACGAGCACTCCATTGTTAAAGTGAGAGAGAACTTCAAGATGGCCAGAGACTGCAAGCATAGACTTGAACTGAGCCAGGACACTGGTGTGAACACCATGCTAACAAAGTCAGGATCTCAGTTTAACGTTGCATCTGAAGGGCATCACCTCCTACAGCACTGTGTCCCCTGTCAACACACCGGTGCAGAGGAAAGAGTGCCACCTGCTGGTATTGGTACTGGTTTTCTTGGGAGATTTCCCATTTCAGTACTGGCATGATGATAATACTACTGCCGCATTTTGAAGGGCACGGGGCAGGGTACACATATGGTGTCACACAAGTTAGTGGATTAATGCAGGTGAAAATCAGCTGAGTCTCCTAAGTAATGCTCAGCAGCCATGGATACGAAACTTGGGGGGAAAAAAGATGTCGATTCTTGTAAAGTTGCTGACTCCCACAAACTGCAAAAGACATCTGCGGAAAAGGGGAAGGAAGACACAAATCTAAGGTGCAAGCCTAGACAGAAAATCTTAGGATTATACAGTATTGAAGAGCTCATCGTGCGAATCAGCCAATAAGTGGATGAGCTTACAGTAATTGTTTAAAGTTAATCAGTTCCTTGGAAGACCAGTACTCTGGCTAAATGCTGGATGTGTCAATAATTAGTAGGGAAAAAAAGAAAAAGTTTAACAAAGTACAATAGAGTCTGAAGCCATATGAATCTAAGGTCAGGCATTATTACTAACAATGCACTGGCTTCAGAACATTATCTTAAATGTTTCCTATTTGTTCATTTCTTACTCATTCTGCATTTGCTGCATTTTGTGCTCTTTTATTTTCCCATCTTCTCTGCCCAGTTTCCAATAAAGTTGTACTGATGTGTCAGCCGAACTGACCATTTTCCAGCTGTGACAATCTGGACAGTATGACATCATTATGACATCATAATGAATACAAGACCACAGAGATGGAGGCAGCAAGAAGGAGAAAATTGGGACCCATCTGCTGGGCTCCCCCACCGTGAGTTGGGAATTTTCCCATGACCGATAACCGCTTCAGTTTGCTCGGTGTACTGAGGTGTGTTGCTTTGCAGGGCAGTGTTTTACCTGGTCTGGGCCGGATGAGCAAAGATAACTGGGTGAAACTGGGAACCCCGAAGGATGTCTGGATCAAACAGCTGGTGAGACACAGGTTTCTATATTGTACACTATATTGAGATACAGTACACTGGCACAAAAGGGGCACAGTTCAGTGCACAAATGTTAATTCAGCTGGTACTTTATAGTGAAAAGCTGTGCAGCTCCTGTTTGAAAAGTGCCATTACAATAATCCTTTCTGTAACTAGAATAAATAACCTCTTTACAATGACAACTTGGGGAGTACTCATTTACACAGAATGCGAGCGGCCGGTGACGCAGGGGTCAGCATGGCTGCCTCGCAGCGCCGGGGCCCTGGGTTCAATCCTGGACCTGGGTGCTGTCTGTGTGGAGTTTGCATGTTCTCCCTGGGTTTGCCCGGGTTCTCTCCGGGTGCCCCAGCTTCCTCCCACCCTCCAAAGACATACTGGTTAGTAAATGGACTTCTGGGAAAACTGGCCCTGTCGTGAGTGTGTGTGTGTGTGTGTCCTGTGAGGGATTGGGGTCCTGGCCAGGGAGTATCCTCTGAAGCTTGTACCTCCAGGTCAGGCTCCGGCCCCCCGTGATGCTGTATTAGATAAAGCAGTTAGAAAACAGACAGGATTTCACAACTGCCCTAAGACTGAACTGCATCAACCCTGGAATCAAACATTTTACCTGCACTGAAATGCAAAAGCATTTTCCTGGATTGATTATCTGGCCCGGGGAAGACAAACCTCTGTACAAGCATGAGCTGGGAAATGAGAAGAGAGAACCGATTGTGCGCACTAGTTACACCTGAGCTGAAGAGGGCTGCTGAATTCGAGAGAAAGCTTAGACTTGGACCCCTATGCGGTAGATGTAACAGATGCCTGTGACAGATGATACCCTTGATTTCTCTGGTAGATTCGGTTTTCCACAGTCGAGAGTCTATGTATAACAGTCGTATAGCTGTGTAGCTAAAATCTATTTTTCACATATACAGTATTCCAATCTGGCATTCTGGCAAGAACAGGCGACGTTGCTCTTTTCAACCCAAATGAAGGCCCCTGCCCAGGTCCCTGTATAATATTGGTGTTGCTGGCTTTGGCACAGTGTGAAGTAAAACACTGTGTTCTTTGATTTTTTCTCCCCTGTTTACCCAGCAGGGCCTGCAGAGATACAGTTTCATCGCTACCCGTCACAGGTCAAGGTGGGAAGTCAAAGGAGATCTGTGGTAAGAGAATGAAGAAGAGTCATTATAGGCCAAGTGACCAATACACTGTAGAAATAAACATACCGTTATTGGGAAGGCAAGCAAGATTTGTTTTTTCCCCTCGTAAGAGATGATAACCTTTCTTCCTCTCTTAAACCTGGTTTGTACAGTTTAGTCAGTCTGGTGGGACATCAGGCTGAGGATTGAGTGGCACCAGCAAGACCAGAGGCTGGTTTTGTGAGATGTCAGAAACTCAGCAAGGCTGGGCCTGGTCAGTACTGGGATGGGAGACCTGAGGAAAACCAGGTTGCTGCTACAAGTACTGTGGGTGGACCAGTAGGGGGCACTGTTCCCTCCAAACCAATATCCCACTATCGTGACCATATGGACTGAGTGCTGTTAGATGAGCTGCCTATTCAATGGCACTGTTAGTAAGTGGGTTTCCTTCCTCCTTTGTCCTTACCAGCTTTGGTAAGGCATCTTACGAAATACAAGTTTGGGAAAAAAAAAAGACGAATTGCTATACACTCGACTTTTTGCACAGCACAGCACGGGGGGTTTGTTAACTTCCTTAACGTGATTCTAAAAAAAAAAAAAGTATTTCAACGCTGCCCGTTTCCCCAAACCTTTATGCTCTTTCTAAAGCAATACATCTCTTAACACGTTTTACAACGTTTACGTATTTTCAAACGCGGTAACATAATATTCCCTTACAAAACGCGCAATGTGGTGCATTATAATCACGCATTACGGGGATGCACAGGTGTCCACACAGTGCCGTACATTATTACGAATTACATTATTTACATTATTAATACTTATTTTAATGCGCGGAAGAAAGTCATAAAAGCAACTCTAACGCATAGTTGGATGCTTTTGGATATAGCCCCCTGCTCAATTCCCTTTTTTTTTCCTGAACCGCATCTAGCAAGCAACTCCCCCCGGCGCTACCGCGACGTGTTCGTCTCACCCCGTTTTAATACCGGGCTGTCCGCGACGTGACGGCAGCAGGGTTCACGGTGGAGACGTGTAACTTAGCGTGTGGGTTAGCCAGGTGACTGCACCGAAAGCAGAGCGCCGGCCGCACTCGCGATGAGCGCCGGCGCTGTGGTGGCCGTGTCCGCCCGTGTGTGTGCGAGGGAAGATGGCGGAGTCGGGCGGTGGGGAGTTCGTCCCGGACAGCCCGCAGAGCAGGTGAGGATGAGCCGGGCTGGGGGGTAGGGGGAACAGACGGCGAACGAGTCCGCACCCCGGCGGTTTATCTGCGGGGCAAGAGCCGCCGACTCACAGTTATCAAAATATCTGTCCGCCACAGAGAGAGAAAGAGAGAGAGAGGGGAGGAGGGCGGTTTGCAAAAACGAGCCAAAAAACTGAAAGTTTGGCACCCGCTTGCTTCAGGAGGGCATGGCGGTGAGTGTGGCAGGAAACACCGGGGACTGCTCCTCTAGCTAGGCCTTTGCGGGGAAGCGGAGTGCATGTTCTTCATTGATGTAAATGTTGTGGGTTTTTTTTAAATTAATTTCTCTGTTAGTGGTGGCATCCCCCCCCTCCTCCACGATTAGGAGGTGTCACAGGACAGGACGCCCTGCAATTCCGATGCTTGTTTATAGCATCCGTGTGCCAATAAAGTACTTGCTAACGGTTGCTATGCATTAAGTAACGCTGCAACGAATTATTTCAGAAAAGCATTTTAATAAACCCAAAGTAAGATAATTTCCAAATAACGTAGTGTCGGATTTCTCCAGAATCAGAGGAAACGCGACAGTGCGATGTTTATATGACAAATAGATAAGGGTGCTGTGTAAACTGTGACTGAATTTTGTTAGTTTACTTTCACCAGAAAATCTAGTTAACACCTACCTTTTTATAACGTTTTAAAAGGGTATTGCGCTCGGACGTATATATTTCACATATTTCACGCTACAGAGCATAGTTAGTCACGTTTTGAGCCACTTTAATTACTACCGAAAACAAGCATCCTGTAATAAAAAATACTGTAGTCGTAATTATTATTTTTTTTCTTTAAATGTTACAGCATGTCAGTTACGGCATGTTATGCAGGGTATAACAGTAGGTGATTGGGATTAAAGATGTCATCTTGCTACAGATAGTTTCTGTACGCCGTGCATGTGTTACAAGTCGCTCACTCAGAAGTGAAACCTCAGATGTCAAGTTGCGTTCAGACGCTGATACTCCTCCCCCTGCCGGATCGCTGTCCTTGGTTTACGGGAGAACGCTTTGAACTTCACTGTTTCCAATATCGAAACAAAACAGCCCACTGTTCCCGGAAAAACGCGTGGACGAGGCGGAAGCGGGTTTGAATGAAACCGCAGAAACTTCATTTTATTTCCCCTCCTTGCACTAGGCCGGGTACCTACAGCGTACAGGAAACCCCCGGTGCAACGGACTTCGGATGCAACGGACAGGATCTGCTCAAGGAAAAGCAAATCTGTAAAAGGCGGAAATACGACCTTTCCCCGCGATAACGATCAGCTGTACAATAAAACAAATACAATACAAGGTTGAAATAAATCAACAGCATGGCGCCCTGTTTAGTGGTCAGTTAGGATGGATGTTTCGTATGCTTCCTTTACGAGTTATACGGTATATTTACGACGCATGAAATGAAGGGTGTGTATATTTATGATAAAAAGCACAGGAGCAATTATCGTTGTGTTGATTGCAATTGTTAAAAAAGTCAAAAGACCTAGTATGCATATATAGTGTACGTATATTTTTCTATATAATAGTGTTTTGGGGTTAAAAAACGTCATTCGTTCTTTAACATTTACATTTCTGCAGTAACAGACCCCTTCCTCCCTGTTGGTCCTCCCACTGGGTTTACTGTATTTTTATGATGAGAAAGTGTTTTTTTTTTTTCCTGAAACACTTTCAGTGGGACATTTCTCCAAGGAAGCACGTATTTCCAACGCCACAGTGATGCTCCTTTGTCTCTACCTTTTCACTTTTAACAGTCTTTTGTTTCTGCTCATTGACGTTTTCCCATTGGAATTAGATAAAGGTTGTTAAACCTGTCAAGGATGAGAAAGTTTACACTGGACATTTTGCTCACAATGCGCCGCATCAGTCTAAATGTATTCAGAATTTAACTGAAAGCTGGCCGGTGCTCTTGAACTTAGGATGCCACTTTTTCAGACCTTCGCTCGTGCCAGCTCAGTTTCTCAGGTAGTCCAGTGAGACACCGCGGAGCTCCCGAGCATTTTAAGTCAATTTTTCAAACAGGGAGATGTCAAACTGGCCTTGCCCTTCCTGGTATGCAGTTAAGCCACACTGGCTGATATTGCACGGTTTTAGAACACGTGCAGACTCTTCCTCCCTTGGTGGTTTTACCTTTTGAATCGTGTGGATTGCACGCCTTAAAGTGATATTGCACGGTTTTAGAACACGTGCAGACTCTTCCTCCCTTGGTGGTTTTACTTTTTGAATCGTGTGGATTGCACGCCTTAAAGAACGGAGAGCGTGTGTGCGGAATACTAACAGGGCATCACCGCTGCCAGCGGAGACGATGAATTATTAAAAGGTACGGGGAAGGGGAGGATGTGCTGTGCCAGAAAGATGACGATAATGACGACGATGATGATGATGCAGGGATGTGTGTGTGGGGGGGGGTTTGTCTCTTGCAGCATGGCTAACAAGAACAGCACTCTGCGGTGCACCTTCTCAGCCCCCAGCCACAGCGCCACCCTCCTGCAGGGGCTCTCTGCCCTGCGCGCCCAGGGCCAGCTGCTGGATGTGGTGCTGGCCATCAACGAGGAGCGCTTCCAGGTCCACAGGGCTGTCCTCGCCTCCTGCAGCGACTACTTCAGGTGCCTGTACCTTCGGGGTCCTTTGTTAGAATCTCGGGGGGCAGCCGTGAGATTGGGGAAAATCTGAATCAAATAAAACCTGGTTTGTAAAACTGAGTTGGCAGGTGGATTGCCAGAGAGAGTGCGTTCTTAGTCTGTCTCATTTTAAACTGCTGCAATAAAAGACCTTTCCATTGTTAATGATTTAACAGCTCAGTCATTTCGGATCGCTGAGCGTGGTGTACGTGCATTGTGTTCAGGTCTATTGTCCTGCACATTAAAGGGAGACTAAAGAAAGTGTCCATGCGGCAGAACAAAAAAAGTGCTCAGGAATTTACCTTTTTGTGTCCATAGGAGACTCTCAAGTGAGCTGTACTTTGCTGGAAAATCAGCCTTGTTTTTTGGGTTCATCACGTTCCTGCATAGATTCCCTTAATCAAAGAAATGTATTAAAGTACAATTTTAAGCTTACTTCTCATTCGAAGTTTTGTGAAGGATGGAAAAATCATATTTTAAGAAGTGTGACAATGTAGGGCAGAAAACCTGAAAGATGAATGGGGTCCCTAGGGGTCTGACCACGACTTCACAAGAGCTCCACGATTCTTGCCTTTTGCAGCGTGAGTGCTGATTGCTCGTATTCTCGATCCTGCCCTGCAGGGCCATGTTCACGGGTGGGATGCGGGAGGCCACCCAGGATACGATTGAGCTGAAGGGCGTCTCGGCGAGAGGGCTGAAGCACATCATCGACTTCGCCTACAGCGCTGAGGTCACGCTGGACCTCGACTGCATCCAGGACGTGCTGGGGGCGGCGGTCTTCCTTCAGATGGTGCCCGTGGTGGAGCTGTGCGAGGAATTCCTGAAATCTGCCATGAGCGTGGAGACGTGTCTGAACATCGGGCAGATGGCCACCACCTTCAGCCTGTCCTCTCTGAAGGAGTCGGTGGACGCCTTCACTTTCCGCCACTTCCTGCAGATCGCAGAGGAGGAGGACTTCCTGCACATCCCCCTGGAGCGCCTCGTCTTCTTCCTGCAGAGCAACAAGCTGAGGAACTGCAGCGAGATCAACCTCTTCCACGCCGCCATCCGCTGGCTGCAGCACGACGAGTCCCGGCGCGCCGGGGCCAGCCAGGTGCTGTGCCACATCCGGTTCCCCCTCATGAAGTCCTCGGAGCTGGTGGACAGTGTCCAGACGGTGGACATCATGGTGGAGGACGTGCTGTGCAGACAGTACCTGCTGGAGGCCTTCAATTACCAGATCCTACCATTCCGGCAGCACGAGATGCAGTCGCCCCGGACGATAATCAGGTCAGATGTGGTGTCGCTCATAACATTCGGGGGCACGCCCTACACGGACAACGACAGGACAGTGAGCAGCAAGGTCTACTACCTCCCAGATATTAGTGCCCGCCAGTTCAAAGAGCTGACAGAAATGGAGACGGGCTGCAGCCACGCCTGCGTTTCGGTCCTGGACAACTTTGTCTACGTGGTGGGAGGCCAGCACCTGCAGTACCGCAGTGGGGAGGGCGCAGTGGATGTATGCTTCCGCTACGACCCACACCTCAGCCAGTGGCTGCGGATTCAGCCCCTGCAGGAGAGCAGGATCCAGTTCCAGCTGAACGTGCTGCAGGGGCAGCTGTACGCCACAGGGGGGAGGAACCGATCGGGGAGCCTGTCCTCCGTGGAATGCTACTGCCCCAAAAAGAACGAGTGGACCTACGTGGACTCGCTGAAACGGAGGATATGGGGGCACGCCGGGTCTTCCTGCGCAGGCAAGCTGTACATATCTGGGGGGTACGGTGTTTCGGTCGAGGACAAAAAGACCCTTCACTGCTATGACCCAGCATCGGACCAGTGGGAGTTCAAGTCCCCAATGAATGAACCAAGAGTGCTGCACGCGATGGTCAGCGCCAACGGGCGCATGTACGCTCTCGGAGGCCGGATGGACCACGTCGATCGCTGTTTTGATGTTTTGGCTGTGGAATACTACGTCCCGGAGGCTGACCAGTGGACTACGGTGAGCCCCATGCGTGCAGGGCAGTCGGAAGCTGGGTGCTGCTTACTGGACAAGAAGATCTACATTGTAGGGGGCTACAACTGGCACTTAAATAACGTCACAAGCATTGTCCAAGTGTATAACACGGAGACGGACGAATGGGAACGGGATTTGCACTTCCCTGAATCTTTCGCGGGAATAGCCTGTGTACCAGTCATACTTCCACAAACAACAGCTCAGCGGTAACCGTTCACTGGAGCGCATCTCTCCCATGATGGTAGCGTGAACGTTCTGGGAACATTGCAATAAAGACCAAATCTTCTCCACTTCAAATAATCCTGCTGGTTTCTAAAAACAGAACCAGAACCTAAGCAATTTTGGTATTTTTTTCTTAACGTCTTTAAATCTGTTTTTCAAGAAAACCGAACAACATGTCAGAGTGCTGAGTTTCTCCCTCCAGATTTAAGAGCATTTCACACTGTACAGCAGGGTGTCCTTTCAGGTTTATTGACTAATTATGTACTAATGTACTAATTCGTTAATTATTTTGTGTGATAATTAATTGAACGTGTCCATTTTGGTAAGAAAGTAAGCTTAATTACAAGACGTAAGCGGCCAAGTGTTTATGCTGGTCATAAAAATTTAACACCATGCAAGCTGTTTTTGCAGCTTAGCTTTCTGGAATCTGCAGCTTTGCTCTTTGAACAAAATGAAATTATATGTGAGATATGATTTGACGATAAATGATAGCCTCAACCTTTTTAAAATGTGCATGACTATCTTACCAGTTTGGTTCTGGTTGAATGAATTGTATCTTATCTGGTGAGATTCAAACATACCCTTGCCCTTAACAGTTCTGATCCGAAGATGAAATCAGAAAGATTTTTATTTTCCACTCCTGTATCTGTCTTTGTTCTTGCCTTTTCTTTTTCTGTCACCAGTTTTACTTTTCATTGCTGCAGATCTACTGCGTGGGCATCAGCTCCAGCATATTCTAAATGTGGCAGAAGGAGATCTTCAGACCACCCTTTAAGAAAGGAACATGAAATAGAATAAAGTATTCTTCTGCAGTGTAGTGCCTGGAGGTAATGGAGCCACCTAATTATTCTGCAGGAGACACTACAATGGATGAAGGCATGGGTTGATAAAACTGGAAAACCCAAATGATTATACCCACAGAGATAAAGCAGTTTCTATGCTCTTGCTCTGTTACAAAGTAAGGCACTTATTTGGAACTAAAGCCTCTCGTCTTTCACACAGGAACGGATATCTTGCGCGAAGGCGCAGGAGGCAGCTGGGGCTGGAGTCTCTTGAGTACTTGAGATTGGTGGAAATTTCCGAGTTTGTTAGCCTGTCACTTGCAGAACCGAAGTCTGCCGTGGTACATGAAAGAATCTCGGCTTCTGTATTAGAAGGATCATGCATTTTGAGTTATTGCCATCCCTATGGGATATAAAAAACAACTTTTTTTTCCTGTGAGGCGTCACGGTTTATTTGCCAAGCACAAACTTGTCCTTGAGATTGGTCTGTCTGGGATGATGGTGTAATGGTTAGCAAAGCTAACACACATGTCACCAATTATTCTGATGTCCTCCCATCTTCCAAAGACATACAGACTAGGATGCACTAAATAGATGTGTGACTGAAACAGAACCAAATGCACATGATTTTTTCCCCTTTCTTGCACCATATTCGCTAAGCACATAAACTAATGAAAATGGAAAGATGTATGTACAGTAGGTGATTGATGGCATGTGAAATTCTAGGAGGTTTGTATGTGTTTTATCCACAATACCACAAGTTAGAGTGAAATTAAAGCAGTTGAATCCTGCTGTACCAAGCATCGATTAAATTGTTTTTATTCAGGCAAGATCAGCTGTCACCTAAGCCTACAGTTTGCTGGGGTTATGGTTTTAAAGTACTGATCCAGGAAGACCTGATTGTAAAGAAATTTTCAGCCTGTCAGTATGTGCAGTGTCTTAGTGGTTTGGACTGGTATCTCTGTGATTTCCAAACTGGGAGAGAGTATTGTATTTTCTGTGTATTTTGCATGTTAAGACCTGGAATGTATGTTTTATCAGTTTAATCCTGCTTCTACTTGATATTCTTCCAAAGGGAGAAGAGGGATTGATTATCCCATTTTATCTGGGATGTTTTCTTTGGGTTATTTGCTATTGGGCCAGATTTATTATGTTGGGTTTTTTTAATTTGTAACTAAATAAATCAGTTCTAAATGTTTTCACCAAGGTGAACAGAAAATCTTAATTTAATTTTATGGGTTTTTATGGGTTTTAAGTTACTTGAAATTACAATCAACCAATTGTGATTTTTTTTTTTTATTTGGACTGGCATTTTTTATTTCTGTACAAATTCCTTTTTAAATCTGGCCCTGGTCTTTCATTTGCATGATTTGCAACTACCTGAGGAATGTATTATGATAGTCTAATCATGTTATTTACACCAGATTGTGTGTTATTCTTTGCAGATTGATAAAGCTACAAACTAAGTTGTTTTTTTAAGTGTTATAAGCTAACTGTTCTGAAACCTAGTCGTTGCCCTTGTATATACTAAACGTTTTTGTAAACGTTTTTTGTCACCACATGGCTACAATCTCCTGACGTCAAGGGAGTAGGACATGAAAGGCAGTCTGAATGTGGTGGTTTGATAATCTTCAGCTCTTTGACTGTGATGGGTAGATGGTGTTGGAAATGGGATATTTCATATCTAAAGTTGGAAGTGGTTTGGGCTCTAGAATCGGAACTAGAAGGCTGTGAGTGTCCCTACAGCAGACGCTGCTGTAGCACTCCTGAGTACAGTCCTTCAGTCCTGCTGCTCAAGTCCGCTGTGAAGCCTGTAATGGAGTAGCAGGTGGTCTTGACGCCTTCAGTCCTCTGGGATCAGATCGAGGCTTTTGAGTCTCTGTGCTCGAGAACGGGCTTAAATGTGTACAGTACAGCTTCTCTAACAATTGTATGTTTTTTCAAGCGGATGTTCGACAATCATAAAGGATTGTTTCTCTTTTGGTAGAAAGTACTGTAAACCTGCTCTATGATTTTTCACCCTTAATAAGCTCATGTAGGACGGTGCTATTTCAATCACCTTTCCAAAACTACACCTGAACACCTCTCTAAAACACACTTTTGCATGCACTGAAAGGAGCACAGTCTTTAGTTTAGAGATAATCTGGGGTCCTCCTCAGTACAAAGGTGTGCATGCTTTCTGTCTTGTAACTTGTGACAAAAGCAGCATTCCTTTCCCTGGAGCAATAACCAGCTGCTGCTGTCATTTGTAATTACAATTATGCAACACATGATGAGACCCTTATCTGAAATACAGGATGCAGATCCGTGTTACAAATCCCAGAGGTGGAGCAATTTGGAATACACCTCTGTAATACAGATAAAATAGAAGTAATGCTGAATTACACTGATTGCCAAATGACTGGATGTGGAAATTTTGGTCTCTCCTTTTGAGTGACTTTTGCCATGTTGCAGTCTTTCCTGTGCAATTGCAAAACAAACTTTGGCATCATTTAAGGACTGCATATTAATTGGGTGTTAATTTTACAGTTGTGACATGTTGTCTGCCTTCATACTACCCTTTAATCTTCAGTTGTGTTAACCATCTTGAGAGACAGCAGTGGCTTAGAAGGGTGGAAGGCTGAAGGGGGAAGAGATTTAACATTGCAACCTCCTTGTGATGGGGGAAGTGATTTAGTGCTGCACCAGCCTCATGATTCTAGCATTCTGGTGGCATGGGGGTAGGTCAGGAAAAAATACACATTCAGCTCTTCAATGCTTTTCTGTAAGGCTTCAGCAGCTAAATTGAAACGTTAGGCGGAATGCCTCTTCATGCCAAGTCATTTTACTTCCCTCAGAAACCCAGTTTGACAAACTGAACAGCAGATGTTAAAACCATCTTTTAAAGTAGCTTTTTGACCTTTAAAAATACAAAGCTATTACATTTTTTGATGATTTATAGATTGCATATTTGTCCACCCTTCAACTAGTTCTGCTGAAGATATAGGATTGCTTCTGCAAAAGTGGTCCAGTAAACCCACAAATTTAATTCCTGGTTCAATGGCAAGACTTACATTAATTAATGTCATGTATAAGCCAAGCTCTCGTGTTCATGGGAACGCTGTGAACTCTCGAAGGTTGTTAATGAATGGACTTTGGATGTAAAACCACCATCTGTCTGCATTTATCTGTGGCCAAAGACTGAAACAGCCTTGGAACATTGGTCTGCTCTGCCTACTGTCATTGATCAGCTCGCAGTAGAAGTGGAGTGATTGGCATCCCTCTTCCAGCACTCTAGTGCTTGAGCTCTCAGCACTTTTCTCATCGGGTTAAAACAGTCAGAACTTTGTAAACTTTTTTATGAATAGAAAATACTGATCTTTTGTCATACAAAAACAACCAATTACTATTTGTCACAGTATTTAACATAGAATGTACTTCTTTCACAGCCAGCTTTTAGATTGAGTGGGCTTCTGTCCATCTTGTTCCATTGTGTATTGAATTGTTTTAATCCATGTTCTCAGTACGAAGCTCTTGTGTGTGCAGTTGTTTAATTTTTTTTCTCCCAAGATAAAACTGTATGGCTTGCTGGCAAGTATTGTACAATGTTATTGTCAGTTGCTTTGGGTTTGAAATTGCAAATCTATTCTGTTTCAGTTTTACAATTCAATTTTGAATTGAGAGATTTAAAACTGGAGGTTATAAATGAGATCAATTGGTCTGATCCTTCTGTGCAGTCCTGTGTCAGATTTTTATGAAGTCCTGTATTTGCAATCTGCTCTGTTTGCGTCAAAAGAAGCCTGGAATGTGACTAATAATATCAGTCACTTGACAATAACTTTTAAAGCCTTGAACAAGGTCAGGGTAAAAATAGCAGTTGTATAAATTTAAATCATGTTTGCAGTACGGGACCTAGCAAATCAATTTGCATATTACAGGAATTTTAAACTTAAAACTGGGCCACTGTCTTTTTTTTCTCTAAATGGAGAAATTAGGAGCATTATAATCATACGTCATCCCTGGAACAAATCCATGTGCTTCAGTGTATTTATCTGGATCAGACAGAAAGGACGATATATATGAAGGGAATGTTGGCTGTTGGTTCTATTAGTAGTACTCTGAAGGACGGGTAGATTTCAGAAAGATTTCTGAGGATAGCAAAATTATCTTAACAATACTTAGTATGTCTAAAACTAAATGTGTTTTTGTTAGCAGTTTTATGGAATATAAATATGTTCTGAGTTAGATGTAGTGATTGTTTTCAGTTGCAGGTAATTTCTGAAGCTTTGGACTACTTGTGCAGATGACCCCTTTTTCGGGATATATGAACAAATTTGTATCCCATGTTTTCCTGTCTCTACAAAACAGTTCCGGTGTTTGAAGTGTGGTGCCTGAGTTAGTTTCTGCCTTCACTAACTGCACAAAGCCCCCTCAAAAAACACATTGTCTTTTGGTTTTCTGTTCTTTGTATTTGATACACGTGCTTTGTGGATGTCGCAATTTGGGAATGCTTTTCTGTGTTTCTATTATAGTAGCTTTTGTCTTATTTATTAAATAAAGATCAGGTGGTTTAGATTTTTTTTCCTTCTGTAATAATCATCTTAATAAAATGGTACACCTTTTTTGTTTTTGTGATCAGTGGTCCAAGGTAGTTTTTTTATTCTGAACCTTTTGTGTAAGTGCTACTGCAAGGTTTACACAAGGTTGTGCTTTCAAGCTCTAGTCCTCGGTGGCTTGAAGACTTTTCTTCTAATGAGCCCAATTACATTATTGAACTAATTATTTCATTAATTTTATCCCTTCCCCCCCACCCATTTTAATGCAGTTGATTTAGAAACACGCTACATGGCCCTCTGGGTTGAGACCTTTTGGAAACTAAGTGTAATTAAGCTACTATGAGTTCTAATTAAATCAGAAAAGCACAGTATAAGTGTAAGGATATAATTTTATTTTATTCTTATTATTATTGAATGCCACAAAGTCAACACAACACAAACGTATTTATAACTATATTATCATTGTTATTCGTGATCCAGGGATCAGCTTGCACCAGGCTTATCCCATTTTGACTTCCTGAAGTAATTGTAAGTCCTCTGGTCGCGGACGACAGGTTAGGGTCCAGGAAGGCTTTCCCTGAGTGCACCAGCTGCCCTCACAGCTCCCTAGGAGCAGGCGGAGAAGACTGAAACTGGGTTCAGGTGGGCGCCCTTGCCGCACCGTCGGGGGCTCGAACCCGGGACTCCCGCGTCACTCAGCAGGGACCCAGCCCGGTGAGCTAAAGAGAGATCTCTCTACAGCCCAGTAGCTGTGGTCCTGCTATCACAGGGAAGGGCAGCGACGTCACCTGCTCTGTTAACCCAGCTCTTACACAGTACCTGTTGGCCGTAAGCGTTATAATATCTTCTAAATTCTGTTTAAACCACTTAAATTAAACGAGTAATAGATAATAAAATGCAGTGAATTACTTATGTTCATGACGATGATTATATTATCATCTTTTAGGAACGTTTAGCTCATAATGCATACCAATGTGAAGTGATTCAAGCCATTCTTTTGCTCACAGACGTGAACCATGAAAGTATCCCAAATTGCTATTTGATACCCTCGTTGAGTTAGTTCAGCATACAAATGGCCGTTGTTCCAGATTCTTAGCTGCGAGAATCACATTGTGATAAGACCGGTTTTCCGATTCTTCCGTTCCTCTACCTGAAGTTTTGTTGAACCAGTGGAGCTCAGAAGAGTACTGGGGCTCCCTCTAGTGGCAAGCCTCAGTCACACCTTTTTCCCACTGTAATGACAGGTGATCGCTGCCAGTAGGTACTGTATCGACTCACCAAAGAAGTTCCCACCGCCTCTTGCTTTCTCACATTCCTGCTGCTCAGCTTCTGCCTGACAGCACTAGATAATTACCTTTCAGCTGGTCCCAGCAGCGATTGCACAAGGTCAGCCATTCATTATGCAGTCTAAAGATGGTATGATTAATATTCTCAAGAGGATAATACAGTGCCTTGCAGAAGTATCCAGACCCTTGCACAGTTGTCACATTTAGTTACTTTACAGCTTGCAGTCATGATATGTAGAATCCATATTTGTTACATGCACCACCTACTCCACAAAAAGCAAAAAACAGACAAAAAGAGATTAAGAGGAAACACAAATTTGGAAAATACAATTGCATACTGTACGTATTTTTGCTGTGGCACATCTACATTTATCTACAAAATTAGATTAGTGCAATAAGTTGTGTGGCCACTCTGTGCAATGATAGTGGTTGGCTTGATTTCAGAACAAATATACCTGTCTCTGAAAGGTCTTTCACTCAGGTAGAAACTTTCCCGCAAAGATTCAAACACGAAAACCATGGCGCTTTCAGAACAGCTGAGCGATAAAGTTATATAAAGATACAGTTCAGGAGAAAGGTAACATTTCAAAGAGCCTTGATATCTCGTTGAGCACGGTGAAGGTGGCCGTTAAGGAGTGGAAAGCACACAGACGCAGCCTGAAGGAAGAGGTGAGAGATACAGAGCTCAGTGGCTGAGATGGGAGAAAACGTCCGTGGGTCATCAGTGTTCTGATCACTCCAAAAAAGCGTGTGTATAGGTCTGAAAACAAATGTAAGATTTCAAACGTGGCAAAATGTTTGCCAAAATAAAATGGAAACTTTTTGATCTAATTGCAAAAGAATGTTCTTGACCGGCACAGTCAAAGGCCTGACTTGAACCCTACTGCTTTTACAAAGCAATGTTTCACTAGAGCTTCACGATGTGTGCAATGGGCTGTGAGCCAAGAATTCAGCTATAGCAAACTCTTCTGAGTGCGGCTGCAACATCCATGCAGCACCCTTGGCACTAAATAGCATTTCTCATTTAAAAAAGAATAAAATGCTTTACTGGTGTTCCTTGGTCACTTGCTGTGAGACAGATGGCAACATGGTCACATGTGATGTCAAAAAGGAAAACTTATTTACATTATTCTCCTTTTATCCCAGTACTGGCCATTGCCAGAAAACGTGCATGCTGCAGTACATGAAATTTACTTTGGTGCTTTTTTTTTGCAAAGAAAAATACAGAAATGTAGTTATATTACTTATAAATCTTATGCAATATTCATTTAAATAGTCTCTTTTGACCATTTGTTTGAGAGTTTTTTAAAGTGATTAATATTTTATGTTTAATAGAGGTGATCTTGCATCTGTTAGGTATGAATCTTCCTGTTGTCACTAATTATTGATTAGCTTAAAGATAAATATTCTAGGAAAAAAGACACCTAACTAAGGGAACTAAGGGAGGAAATATATAACTAAAGCACTGAATGGAATCCTTTGTGACTTTCTAGAAAATAGTACATTATAAATCATTCTCTGTAGAATTCAAAATAATCTTCTTTGAAAAATCCTTTCCAGGGGACTTCTTAAATAAACAGAGTGATAGCATTTGCTCATCTAACTATAAACTCATATCAACAGGCAAACGTTTTTGATATATGCAGCACATTATAAAAGTAGGCAAGGCAGCTGATGGTATCACCAAAAATAAAAGATTCTACAGCTGATATTATTAAATAATACATGAGTGCAAAAAGCGTAACATTGGATCACAAAAAAAAGACATGTGGGGTGAAAACTGAAATGAATAAAGAGAGATTTAGTGCATTGGTCTTTTACTTGCAGGGTAATCTGCACATGAGTTAGTTATGACCTTGTTTTCAACTCTTGGGCTCGAGAGATCAGACCTGCTTTTCAATTATGCAAGAGAACAATCTGCGCTTTCCAAATTTTCATGTCATTCCATCTTAAACAAAATGGCATTTATAGGACAAAACGTCAGATTAGGAAACATGCGGTACATAATGTAAATAAAAATGGACAGAAAAAGAAATTAAATCTAGTAATAAATATAAATTACATTCATAGCTTAGGAAGTTGAGAGTTTGCTTAAAAGTGTTCTTGGTGCAAGACAAATAGATTGCAATGAAAACAGAAACCTTTCTCCCCTAGTAGAACCCCAACCCTGTCACATGTGTTTTCAAAATGATCTTCCACAAACTGTGCAGGTGCCTTGATGTCCCAGTCCTGGGTGTACTAGGGATTTCCATGTTCTGCCTTGTTCATGTGTTTCCTTTGTTCCTACAGTATGTGCTTAATGATTTCATGCAGGTGTTATCCCTACATGAAGAGTGGAAGTGAGTCATCTTTGTTCATGATCCTAACCCCACAGGAGGTTAATGTGCAAGATGTCTGTCCATCATTCTAGAGTAGACCACTATTCCATTAAAGTACTGTAGCATCTGAAAAATCTTACACACAGCCAGTAAATGTGTGTGCACAAGCCAAGGGGAGAAAGAGTTTTGGTTTATCATTCCCAGAACTGCTTTATCCAATTCAACTCTTCGAACTCTTTGAACATGTTATTCATGCTGAAGGAGTTACAGTACGTAGCTTTGCAAGGAAGATCCTAAGATGAGTAAAACAATGGAGCCTTATACAGGAAGACATGTCAGCCAATAACAAGATGGTGTCACTCCTTTCTTTAGATTAAAGTCTGCTGTTGCTTTCAGGGGCTGATTCTTTCCTAGAGAATCCGTTTTGCTTTTTTCAGGGAAAGTTGGCTTTTGCACATGTCACCCTGGAAGAGTGGCTTCCACCTCAACCACTCCTGTTCTTCCCTGTGAGAATGAAATCTTCTGTGTGCTGGTAAGGTCATCTGCAGCAGTTGAGTGTATTTATTAGAGCTGAAGAGGACATTAATAGAAGCCAGCATTCATGAGGCTTGCCAGACAGGGAGACGTGATTATTCTGCACTTTTTCCTTTTCAAGCGCTGGACAAAGACAGGACTTCAAGGTTTTTTTGCAGCCAAGAGCCTTCTGCACAGCTTCCCACATCCCTCTCTCAGCCCCCTCTCCCCACCCAGCGGTTTCCTTGGTTACTTTACAGTTGAGTCTATACCAGGGCCAACAGCAGGTTCAACAGCAGAGGTATTGTTGTCTCTGCCTTTATTGCCTGTAGCTCAAACTCCAAGGTTAAATATCTCATTTGTCCTTGTACGCTTCACAGAAGCTCTGGCTCTGAGTTTTTAGGTAACTGCGGGCGACTCAACACAAGATGTTAATAACTTCAGAGCTTCCAGCTAAAATAAGAGTGTCCAGCTTACACCGTTTCCTCCTCCCTGTTCATTTGTCTCTGCAGACCATCCATCCCCTTTCAAAGCAGGTCATCAAGGAGACAATCCCAGAAAGCAACAGGCACAAGGCAGGACACACCCTGGACGCCAGTCCATCACAGGGCACACAGTCACACTCACACCAGGGCCAGCTTCCCCAGAGGCCAATTAACCTACCAGCATGCCTTTGGCTGGGAGGAAACCGCAGCACCACGCAAATGAGGAGAAATTAGAACCCAGGACCTCAGTGCTGCGAGGCAGCAATGCTAACTACTGCCCAGCGTGCTGTCCTCTCTCTACATGCCAATAATGTTGGGGGCCGATGGAGCCTCTATCTGTGTAGATCTGAGAGCCAGATGTCTCTCTCGCACTCCATAACTAGATTAATCCTCAAGTCACAACATCCTTAAGCCCTGTCAAGTTCATCCGAGAGTGGCAACAGATGTTGACAGTGGCCTGAAAGAACGAGATGGCTTTGGTTTCATGTTGCATTTTGTCAGTGGGATGTTTTTTATTCCAGATTAGAACAAGAAATATTTCTGTGTAGACCATTTTTTTATTTTTCTGTAATGGCCAAACTAACATAGATTTGACTAATTGAATTTATTTTTGGATTTAACCTGCCATGTTTGTTGACACAATGTAAATAGTTCTAAAAAGGTGCAATTGTAAACTCAAAGAAAAGACGAAAGAATAAACTATGCCTATTTTACTTTGCCGTTTCATCAGTAAATAAAAAGTTAAAATCATAGTTTTATTTTGATTCGATTAATTTTAATCATCACAAGTGTAGTTGAATTCTGACCATTTCTAGTTCAGGATTATTTATCTGTGATATTTGTATTCGTTTCACATGGTGATCATGTGTGTTAGTTAGTTCATTGCAAATACAAGAAAAAGAACACAGTATAAATATGACATAACCAAAATTTATGAATCCTACTTTACAGGATGGGCAAACTCTTTAGTAGATGGCAATGTGTACCAGATGACTCAACAATCCTCTTAATGTAGCCATTAACAACACAGAACCAATGTCAAAGTCAGGCATGTCTTTTGATTCTGAAGGACTGGGAATGAATGAATAAAACAACGTTTCAGGTATTTATATTGCTGGCTTCTCGTTAATGTTCTAAGCTAAGCTCGGAGTAGAAAGGTTGCGACATTTATAAAAAAAACAAGGTTACAAAGGAGGTAATTCGGTCCATCTAGCACATATATTCCATGCATATAAAAATATATAAAAACTAGTTCAGGTTAAATTTACCCATCCCACACCACTGAGCCGAGAGCAGACGGGGGTGGCGATGTGCGGCACAGCGTCGTGTGCGTGATGACGACGCCTACGCGCGGGGACGTGGGCACGCTACGTCCCGTTGAGGGAAAGAGGAGGAGAAGAGCGAAAGATGGCGACCTCAAACAATCCGCGGAAATTCAGCGAGAAAATCGCTTTACATAACCAGAAGCAGGCCGAGGAGACTGCGGCTTTCGAGGAGGTGATGAAGGACCTGAGCATCACCAGAGCGGCGCGGGTAAGCGGGCCCCGGCGTCGTTTTGTTGTGGTCCCTGGGCTGCAGCGTGCAAGGCGAGCCCCGTTACCTTGGCCGTGGAAGTAAACAATAACAAACCCCCCTATCAATGCAATCGCTAATCGATAGGCGAGATTGATGGCGATTCGGCTGATGGACGGCATCCGCGCCGTGCACCGTGCACGACTCTCTCCCCCAAAACCCCGGGGTTTCTGGTTCGGTCTCACCGAGGAAAGTTGCATCAATCGCCAAGACGGCACTGCAAGTGATGACAGTTCGCTGTTCATGTGTAACTTGTGTTGTCGGTGCGTTGTGTTCGGACTCTCCGCGGCGGTCGACTAAACGCGCCGTCCCCCCCTCTCCACCCTGTGGAAGAGCATGCATGTCCCCCCCGGTCCCCAGGCTGCAGCGTGAAACGGTATCGGCTGAGGCTGAGGCTGAGGCTGAGGCTGGAGGTGTGCATGGCGAGGACAGCCCGGACCCCCGGGTCGCTAAGCAGGCGTGGGGAGAGGGAAAGTCTGAAGGTGGCCGGGCAGGCGGTGCACCCCGCCAAGGCAGATTCCCACTTCCCGTTTCTGTGAGTAAATCGCGCCCACAGCTGTCAGCGGGAGCGAGTTGGCAGCGGGGAGGGTGGGTGTTCGCGCTGAACTCAGTAAATCAGATAAAAATGTGTTCACCGAGGTGAGCGGAAAATTGGAAATTAATTTCAGGGCCGAAGCATTTCAAGATACCGTACTATACTGACGCCGGGGCACGGGCGGTGGGGAGTTTATGTGTAATTTGCACGGGCGTTTTTCATTTCTGCACAGATTGACTGCGAAGTCCGGCCCTGGACTTCGCCCGAGGTGCGGTAGGGCGCTCACGCCGGTACAGACGTGTAGCTTTGGGGAAAGAGAGCATCAGCTGTCCGGCGGAGCCGCCGAACCCCTTCTCGTGTTTTTGCTGCATTAAAGAAATTGCACGGTGTTCAAAAGGGGCGGGCTTTTTTGGGGGGGTTGTTGTTGTTGTTGTTGGGGTGTCGGGGGGACGTGTTCGTGGGCAGGTGCCGGGTCGTGTGGGCAGCCTCACAGATGACTGTTTCGGTGCTGTCCGGGGGGAGATGAGGCATCACCTCACATGCAGCCAACTTGTTCCGATGCGTTGCTGTCAGAGCGGTCTTCTAATCTGATTGTCACGGAAGGCATTTGCAACCCCCCGGCAACCTTTCCAGATGTGATTTATTTATTTTGCCTAATACCGCAATTCTCGTGCATACAGCACACACACACGCACGCACGCACGCACACACACACTCCCTGACCTACTTCAGTTATGGCCTTCGCGTTCATCGATCACCAGAGTTCGGGATTTTTTTTTTTCACCCGTGTTGGGAAACATCTGGCGCTGTTATTCGTACAGATAGGCGAACTGCGTCGCACGTTCAGCGCTGGAAACGCATGCCAGTGCCCGTGTTGCCGCTGTAGCCATCGCCAGCGCCTGTCCGCTCCGGGAATCAGAAGGAAGCGCCTCTCACACAGGCTGTGCGTAAAAGCACCTCGCATCTTTATCAACAGACTTGTTAGGGTGTCTATTTAAAACCCAAAATTCAAATATACTCTACAATAAGTGTCTGCTTTAGGGTAGGGTAATAGTATTTGTCAATGCAGCGCATGATGTTTACGCACAGTCTCCATAATAAACATGTTTCAACGGAAGAACTTGACTAGCAAGATATGACACTGATCTTGATCTTGCTGCCTGGTATCTGATGTTCATCAAAAGTGCTCTACATCCTCTGACCATACACTTGGGGACTGAGTGTGCTTGATCAAAAGGGCACGTTATCATTATTGTTCAGTTCTTACATATATTTTTAGTAAAATTTAACTTCGGTAACTGTAAAAGTTCCTGAAATCCGTTTTAAACAGGCTTGATAGAAGCAGACTTTCCCTTGTTTTGTGTACGTCTCAGTTTGTGTTCAGCAGTCACTTGAGACATACCTTACTCATCATACTGTTTGCATGTTTGTTTTCTAACATTATAATATCACAGAATTATGCCAACTGATGCAGACACCAGACGTTTTGTCCAGATACCCAACTGGCAAAAGCTGACATAAAAGAAAAAGATGATTAAAAATAAACTGCTGTTAATTTGCCTCAAGTGGTTCTTGTAAACTGTCGAGTGTTATTGGGGAAAATGAGAAGATCAGCTTAACTTTAAAAAAAAACGTTCTGTCATAATGAATTGTTATAGGAGTACACTGTATATAAGCTTTTAAAAATATCCTGTTTTCACTTGCAGCGATTACACCGTTATATCAATTACTTAGTAGGCTGTGCTCCTGAGCTCTGTCTGTTGTCCCAGTTCTGATGGCGGATTATAAATTAAAATGAAGTAAAGCCTCTTTGTTGATTTCCTAAACGCCATGTTTTATTTAATTCCTTTGTCAGCCCAACGGAAGCTGGTACTTTACTGGGCGATCATAAATAAATTCAGGCACCCCGGTGTCCTCCGTCTATGGGCCATGATTCCTGTCCTTAGCTTTAAGCAGTTTCCCTGGCAGCCGTCCCCATCTTCCTTACCTCAAGAGGCACGAGCCCTGAAAATGACTTGGCCCACTAGATCTGTTTCGGAGATGCTGGAGTCAGTGTATTTATGCACCCAGCTTTTTTAGAGTTGCATCCGTTTGGTAAACGTTGGATTTTTCCATAAATCTAAAGAACCAAAGCCATCTGAAGACTGTTGATTAATTCTTATACGCAGTTGTCAGGATCCACTATATGTCGGTGAGCTGCTGGGTTTTTGTTTGTGTCTAGTGTTCGATGCTGTGCAGGTGAGTGCCAAGAGAAATCTTACAAACTGTTCCCCAGTACTTGGCAGAAGTCTCTAATATTTGTTGGCACTGATCAGAGCGAAGGAGTGCACATCGCGTGGAGCCGAACCTGCCCGTCATTGTTAAAACGTTCGAAGCACGTGGTTCAGGTTTGCGATGGGAGCACTCAGGGCCCAGATCCCGTGAGTGTTAAGTAAAACCGGAAGAGCTCAAGGCGGGTACTGTACCTCTTGTACAATGCCATGCGCGTGTTGGCAGTGCCGTTATTGCACTGCGGCGGAGAACGGCGGGGAGTGCCGAGCTGTTTAAGGAGGAGGGATTCCACGAGGGCGGAGGAGAAACTGAGCTTGGCAGAGCTGTGCAAAGATAATTATGTGAAGATTCAAATAGCGCCTCTTGGAAGGGAAGTAGAGCTAACTGAGCAAAATGTAAACACGAAAAACTGATGCAAGGTTTTGATCCGTCTGCTCTTCGTGGTGGTGGTGGTGGTGGGGGGGAGTGTAAGAAATTGCTTCACCTGGCAAAGACGAATTCCTAACGCTTTTAACTTTTATCGAACGCAACGTTCCAATCAGGCTCCTCCCTAGGAAGCTCATTCCACATCGTGCTCTCAAACAGCTGTGGAGCAGGGCTGGGCTGAGCTCTATGCAGTTCTCCAGGCTTCAAAATGTATGAAAGACCTTCAAGGCAAATTTGCATGCTGAAACGGGTAACAAGCAATTTGATTGTTCCAATTTGGATGGTTAAAAAATCTGCAGCCAGCCAGCTGACCGATTTCCATAAACAGCGGTGTACAGTTAATCAGTTGCTGCTGGAGTTGGACAAGGGGTCATTCAGCAGCAGTGACCTCAGGATACCCAGTAGTCACCCATGAGTTTACAGGGTTTTCAGTGAGAGAGTTAGCTGCTCGCTCGATCTCAGCTAGTGCTCCTGGGAAAATATCAGCATGCTCAGCTGATCAGGCTCAAGTGGCGGTTATTTCCAAATTGAGAGAGTATAAAATAGAAAGATTACACGCTTTTTTTTAATTAGGAGTGTAATAAGGCGCGGGATGCTCTGGAATCTTTTCTTTTAAAATGTGAAGTGTATCTGGAATTTTTTTTCAATTAGAGAAAATTTCACGTAACACTGGTAAGTGTGCTTTTTCACTGGCCTGATTTTCTCAAGCGTGATTATGTGATGGTGGTGCTAACACCATTGTACCATCTCGATCACAGCTCAGTTCAACACAAGTGATGTTCTTTATTGCCATGTATGTGCTTTCGGTGTAGAAAGGGAGTAAAATCTGTTTTACTGCACAGTGGGTAGGTAGCTGCAATATTATTTGAATGAGTAGGTGTGGCATTTGAGGTTTTGATCTTGAGGTAAGACCAGGCTGTATTAACATTCAGCTCAGATTTCCATCAAGAGCAGCTTGTACAGCCACGCATGTCACCAGTCTTTATGTAGATGTTTGCTATTTTATACCATTAGCAACTGTATTTAAAAGTGGTTCACATTACTGTAAATGGAATGGAATATTTGTCTGCATGTAGTTTTTAAATGTGCCTGCAGTAATTAATGTAGCCAAAGGGTGAAAAATAAGTTGTATAGGCTTTTGTTTAAAAATGCCTTTAATTTGAAATATCAAGATTTGTTTTGTAGAAAACATATTGATTGATAAACGTCGTTGTGATGTGCACAGTACAGGAGCAAAGATATATGTAAGACTGTAAGCTTTTATGTAAAATGTAGTATATAACATGTCCATGTAGTCAGTTTAATACCAAAAGTTATGAACTTTGTGGATCCTTTGGAAGTTATGCTTTAATTTATTGATCTGTCTTGATACAGATTTAAACTTTTCTATCACTCCAGTTACTCATCTGAGTATTCCCCATGGCTGGTTATAGCCTGCCCAAGTGGAAGTCTCCTCTGGTTGAGTTTGGGCTATGCTATTACCTTGCTGTGATCACATGCCCACTGTCAGTGCCATATAATTAGCTGAGGTCTTCCAGCTTGCTAGGCAGCTGTGAGCTTGCAGTAATGTCAATGGGAGCTACATTGCTCCTTATGTTAATGCTGACTGCCCCGTACAGTAGTTCCTGATAAGTGTGTCAGAGAAAAGCTGGTATGCGTCTCATCCCCAAACAACTTGTGCTTTTCTTATAGAATCTTGGGTGCTATCTCGCTGAATCCATCTGTATTTTATTTGCATTTCACTTTTAACGATAACAGCGCCTATTTGAATGGCACTAGTTGGGTATGCGGGCGTTTTGTCAGGAAGAGAATTTTCATTAAGGCCACATACAGAGATTCACAGAGTAAGTCCTCTGAAAGAAATCGCTCCTTTGTCGATGTGTGACGGTGCTGCTTGCCTCGTGTGGAAGGCGATGAGGATTCAGCGCAGGTGGCAGGTGTAGGAGGTGTAGGCCTGTGAAGAGCAGGGCCTCTTTACTGCCCGATGTAGCAACTCAGCGTTCAGGTCTAAGCTACTGTGCAAGGGGCTTGTTAGAGGAAGCTAGTGTAGCACAGCTATTCCTCAAGGATACAGTTCAAGGTTGTGACAAGCACAGTGATCTCTAATGTCACATTTGAACGTTATTAAGAAAACGTTTTACCCTGTCCAATTGCGGTTCATGAGAATCAAGAAAACAATCATGTTTTGTGTTATCTCTCCTACAAACTCATACAAGTCGGGCACCCGGCACAGGAGGAAGAGTTTGGGTTCAGCAGTGTGAAGCGAGTTCCTAGTCTTTCAAGTTTAGCTCGTCTAGACAGAGCACAATGTCGATGTAATTTCTGCAAGCTTTAATGCAATACAACACAATGAGAATGCAGGAAAGGATGACTTTTTGGCAATCTAATGTAGTTTGTCAGGCTTCAGCAGCTGTAGGTATGTGCAGATGAGGTGCCAGCGATGTCAGCTTGGGGTAATGCAGAATGAATGAGTGGCCTCTCAATGAAATTACCGCTCAGCCAGACAGTGCCTCTCAGCATCAGATTTTATAAGCTGGCTGCACAGGTCATGAAACCCCAAGCATGCTTGCATTTTCTGTATTATTTATACGTCAGGTGGGATTAGCTGTTATTTCAAAGGCCATTCTGGCAGTCGTCCTGTTTCTTCAAATGCCTTTGATTTTATTAGTGTAGAGGTTCCCTGTAGTGAAGATATACTTCAGCATATTTAGCGGTAAGTGTTTCTGTCAGCAGGTTTGAGAGACAAGGCCTCTCTGATTCGATTGCTTGAAGAAATCAAAGAGCCACCTCTCACTGTAGGCTTTGGCGGGGGACTTTTGCCCGTGGGCGTTTGTTTTAATTTCATTCGAGGGGTGATAGGATCAAGACTTGGAGCTGCCGATTCCGAGTTCTCAGACAGATCAATTCCTACGTCTTTGTTCCATGTGGGTAAGGTTGAGATGAGCAGGTGCTTCTCTGCTGGTGTGGGGCACGATCACTCTGCCACATGTGGCTTCGGCTTGGTGATTATCTATCTGCAGGTGCGTGTTGAAACCAGAAATCATTAAGGTGGATGAACTTGATTTATGTTTTCTAAAAGTACAGTTACAGTACATGCTATTACTCTCATTTTGTGGGCCACAACTCCTCACTGCATTGCGATGCTTAAGCTTCTTTAATACATTATCAGGCATTACTTACTGTATGAGTGTGGCTCAGCAGTCGCTTTCTGAATTCCAGTTTGCACTTGACAGCTCTGTCTACAGGCAGCTGTTGCACACTTGGCAAAGAAAAAAACACCTTTCCTATCTGTTATAGGTTAAAAACAGATACTGTTAGAGCTAAGAAAAAGAAAATAAAAGATAAAAAAAATGTTTTATCCTTAGATAAATAAGGGGGCATGTTGAATAAAGTAGTGATTAGGGCTCTGGACACTGGAAGGTTGTAGGTTCAAGTCCACACTGAAGACACAGTAGTTATGCACTTAAGCAAGGTCCAGTTCACCCAGCTGTATATGTGGGTGCTATCGTTTCTGGGGGAATCGGTGCAATAGACTAGAGTCTCAGTCAGGGAGAATTAATGTCCCCTTAATGTTACAGAAACTGGGATGCGGTCCAACCCAGCGAGTCTCAAGATCTGCGGATGAGCTTTAATTTGATTTCAGTTTAGTTGATCCCTTTCTTGCTGTGTGTTGAAGTGTTATGCAGTAACAGTTTTTTTTTTTCCCTTGGAATTGCTTTTGATGATTATTTCATATCCTGCGGATTCCTTATCTCTGCGTCCTGCTCTGCGTTTGGCACAGCTGCAGCTACAGAAGACCCAGTATCTGCAGCTCGGACAGAACCGCGGACAGTACTATGGAGGGTCTCTGCCCAACGTCAACCAGATTGGCAGCAGCACCATTGACCTTCCCTTTCAGGTGAGATCCTTGTTTTTCACCCCCCTTTTCATGATTTATCATTAAAAAAAAGAAAAAAGCTGCATTGGTGGTGGTGGAGGGGAATTATTAGGAGGCCATGATTGGTAAAGGCCGGAGGGAAATTTGGTCAGGACACTGGGGAACACCATTACTTTATCCAAGAAATGCTCTGGGTTTTTTAATGACCATAGAGAGTTAGGACCTTGGTTTTTATGTCTTATGCGAAGGACTGCGCCTTATAACACTATAGTGTCCCCTTCACTATACTCTGGTTTTCGGACCCACACAGACCGCAGGGTGAGCACCCTCTACTGGTCCCTCTAACAACTCTCCCAGCACCAACCTCAGCTTTCCCAGGAGGTCTCCCATCCAGGTACTGCTGAGCTTCAGTGCATTGCCAGTTATGAGCTGCAGGTTGATATAGCTGCTATGATGAAGAGTTACTAATATGAAGTGAACAGTACTGGTGATAACGGCTTAAAAGGGAAAGAAAAAGAAAAACAGAACTACACAGCATCGATGGGCAAAGACTCGCGAGCCTGTGTCAGATAACTGAGTAGGCGCTGGATCCCTTGGCATGAAAGTTTCAAGTGATATCTCCTTATCTTGCTTCTTCTTCTGTGAAAATCTCCAGGGTTTGTTCGGTTAGCGTGAGAGCTTGCGGCACACTTCACAGAGAGGCCAGGCGCTCTTCCTTTGCGCGCTCAGATCCGCGAGGCCTTTGCTTGTCGGCTTCTCAGCGTGGGGTTCCAGCGAGCCTTTTCGTGTCGTCTTCGTTAACGTCGGCAAATCCGGCTTCCCGCGCCAGCGTGCCAGTCTGCCTGCTAGCACCCTGGTGCTCTCTTTCAATCTCTGCGACACCACGAGCGCTCTTTGGCTACAAGTGCTTACCCACGGCATCCGTGGCTGCCCTTGTTACTGCATCCCACGATTCCTCTCCGTCATCTGGGGCTCTCGCTGCGCTATTACGCCTCCAGCGTTCCCAGACTGAGGCTGTATCTTCTCGGTCTTTTTTCCCCGAGATGAGGTGCCCCACAGCATGGTGTGCGTAATAGGATTCACATTTTGAGGTAACTCCCAGATGCTTCGGCTGAGTTGACAGCATGGTGCTGTGGCAGCATTATCAACAATCTTCACAGGGGTGTTGTTGATAATCAGTCAGCACCTAAGGCTCAGGGTTGTTTCTTGGCACAGTTTCTGGTGATGAAAGGGAAAAAGTTAAGTTTCTGCAGTCTTTCGGGTAATGTTAATAAGCACTTAGACCACATGTTGGAGAGCAAGTATTTTGAAATAAAACTCATAATGAGGGCAACAAAGGGGAATACATTTTTCCCATGCATTTAAACAAAAATGTGTTAGTAGAATGTGTGTAGTAGTGGGAGTTTGTGTATTGTATCCACAAAAGAGTAGCTACTCAATGCACAGCCTCTGTAAAGATTTTTGTGCGCTAATGAAAGGTTTTTTTGTTAGTGTAAGATTAGACTGCCCAGCCTTTAATAAACATTAGTTCGAGAACCGTGCTTTAAAAGCTCTGGAGTAGGGAGCTGACGGCACTGGAGGATGGTGTTCCTGTATCAGTAATGCTCTTACTGAACACGCCCCCATACTGTATGTCACTCATTTGTAAGAAATACAGCTCTTGGGAACTCATCCTCCTGGAACCCAGGCTAGTTTGTTTCTCTATTAGCAGTGATTCCCGCAGCACTCCTTTATCTGGATGCTCAGGGCTGAGCAAGGCATGGCTGTACAGTCAGTCCCTATGCGTTTGGACTCCATTGGGCACAGCGAAGAGGACACTAGCTCTTGCCAGCGTTCGTGACCCGGGGAGTTTAAGAAAGAATTCCGGAGAACAGAGGAGCCATCTGTCTCAGGCAAACGCCAGTCTGCGAAAAAGGAAACAGATTCCAATGGTTTTGTTTGAGCGTATTTACTTTGTTCAGGGTTAGGAACGCTAAATACCTCCATTTTTTCCATATCTGCTAGAGCTGGAAACTTTCTATTTTATTTAACTTTACAGAAGAGAACTTTTTTTTTTCTAAACTACACTTTGCCTTGATAGACACCGTTTCAGACGACCGGGCTGGACACCAGTCGGACGACCCGGCACCATGGCCTGGTGGACCGGGTCTATCGCGACCGGAACCGCATCAGCTCGCCTCACCGTCGCCCGCTGTCGGTGGACAAGCACGGGCGCCAGATATCCTTTCATTTCAGCGCTGTGTCCCTGGGTCAAGCTTGACACCAGGGCTGGATCCCATCAGCACTACAGGTCCCCTCCATCTCAGGACTCCAGTTTGTCTCTTACTGTGCTTTTCGTAATTGCTTCTGAATGATTGAATTGAGCTTGCTGCTGAAGTGCGCTTCAATAATTAAGGTTTGGTTGGAAAAGTGGAAAAGTGGCTTAGTAATGCCGTGCATGCTGTCTGCCCAGTGAAGGCGTTATTCAGCCCTGGCGCAGAAGTGGATTTAAGAAGTCATGAGGCCATTCAGTTTTTCAGCTAGTGTCGTCCTGCCCCTGCTCACCTGTGGAGCTGAATGAACAGCGTAAGGAAGCTTCAGCAAAGGAGGGCGCCCATGCATTATTCAGGCTCAGAGGTGTAATGGGATATTTGGAGCATAGCTAACAAAGTAGTCTTTAGTGTTTTGCTGCAGCTCTCTTTGTTACATTAGCCACTCCGCTCTCCTAAGAGGGTGTCAGCTTCCATATGAATAAAGAGCTGCTGCATTTTTTTAAGCTGGTGATTGTCTCGTTCTTCTGAGGCAAGTTGGATGTTTTCAGTAGTATACACATTTTTATGACTCAACTGAGTACTCTTCTTATACTCACATTCGTACACACATATTCCATCGCTGTGGAACAGGTTAGATTTGTTGGCTTTTAGTTCAGATTTTCCCAGCTCGTACAGGTGGTGGCATTTTTGCCAAGAGATTTGTGTTTCCTCTGTAAAGCTTCAGGGAGGAGGTCATTATAGCTTGTGAGTGATGCATTACATTTAATTCTATACTTAATTTTTTAAATTCCCATTTGAACCTCATGAGTTACAAAAAAAATATCTTAAGCAGACGTGTGTTCTCACTGAGCTTGCAGAGCACATGCGGGCTTGTTATCTGAATCAGGGAGCTGTGTGATCACGGGAGAGTCCTGCCGTCTTGCATCCTTAACAGGAAGTTGTACATTGACAGCTGTCCCTATGGCTCGGTGTACTTGTCACCACCACCTGACACCAGCTGGAGAAGGTAAGACAGGAAATCGTCGGCGACCTGCTTCGCTTTCGAATGGGCCGAAGTGGAGGGCGAAAGGTGTGTGACAAGTGGGCATTTCTCTTGATGTCTTTCATTAGGATGGCTAATAAGAGTTAAAGCATCTGTAAAATCCTAATGTTCTTGATAAAAAGAGGCAGCAAAAGGGTGCTGTTCTGTCACACTTTCTTTCTTGATAGCTTAGTAGCTAGTGTCTTGAGAGAACTCAACCACTCGGCTGGAAAGTCTGTTCCAGAAGCTTGCACCCCTTTGTGGAAGGGTATCTCGTCCTCCATCATGAATGAGTTCTCTTTTAGTTTGCTGTTGTGACCCTGTGTCCTTGTTTCAGTCTGTAGTCGTTCACTCGTTCCATATATTTGATGTATATTTATTCAGTAGAGGCTTTTTTTCAAAGCTACTTACATTTCCACCCATTTGTACCGCTGAGTTTTTTACTAGAACAATTCGAGTGCAGTACTTTGCTCAAGGGTGCAACAGCAGTGTTTCAGCAGGGATTTGGTGAATAATCATTAATGAAATATAATGTCAGTAAACAAATTAATTTAGGCAAGGGACACTGTATTTCAGTCATGCAGTTTTACAAGCAAGCTGTGTGGAGTGGAGATTTGTGTCATTGAGTTGAACTTTAGAGCAATCTTATGACAGGCTAAAAGCTGCTGTACAGCGACTGTGAAAAGAACAAAAGGTTTCTTGAAACACCAAAGGCGTCTGTTCAGAACTGCATGTACTAATTGAGAGGGTTTGCTTTTTTCTGCTCAAGCCTGTAAGCTCCATAGCACTGGTTTCTGATGTGGCAGAGACCTGCCCCCTAGAAGCTTTGTCAGGGTCTTTGCAATGATGTTTAATTTTATGTAATATTCGCTAATGGACATGTTAAAGCCTACATCACAATGGGCCTCACAGGAGGGCCCTAGCTTTGTAGTGTTTACAGAAACCTGAAATATCAGTGTAGGTGTTCTGACTGGACATTCATGTTTTCTTCTGCAAGTGTTGAAATATGAAAGGATTATGCTTTTTGTGCATTGACCTGTGGGCGAGAGAGGGTTTGTCAAAACAGTCTTGATTTTTTTTTTACTAATATGTAATTAGCATTTAAGTTTGAGGTGTTCTTATTGTTCTTGGATGTGATGTGCCCTAAGGGACCCTGCTGTTATGTTGCAGGACTAATTCTGATTCCGCTTTGCATCAGAGTACTATGAACCCCACTCCACAGGACGGTTTTTCGGGGGGCTCACAAGACTTGCAGCCGAAGAGAGGTAAAGAAAAGACGCTTGTCCCTGTCATTCTGGGGGGGGGGTAGATGGGCAAAGGGAAATGTCTCCATGTCACCCAGGAGAAGGTTCCCCAACGTTCGTTGTGGGAGAGATCGCTTTGGGGGACCCTTATCCATTGTGAGTTTCCTGCTGCACTAAATAATTTCCTGGTGAGGAATTGGGGTGCCCACCATGCACTAAAATTATTGGCCCCACCAAACAGATGTACGTGAGGATATATACGATAACAGATGTACAGTATGGGCAGATACACGGGAGAGGGAGCATCAGCCATTTTTTCTTAACGGGGGGCACCTTTGTTCCCATTTTTAATCTGGAGCTTCTCTTAGAGCTTGGGGTGCAGTTACAGTCGTGCTTGCGAGATAGGAAACCCCCCATTTGACACCCCTGACTGAAACCAAAAGTCTCCTGAGAATTAAATGTAATTAGTTGTGCTAAGAAAGGAATCCTGGGATGTGTGCTTTAAAAAATGTATCACTGGGCTGACAGAATCTTCTATTAAATATTAAATGCAGTTGATTATAAATGTGTAATGATCTCAGCTTTCTCCATCTTGGATTTGTCTTTTTTTGTAAAAGAAAATAACACTTTTTGGTTCCTTATTTCCCTAAAATTAGTTTCAGGACACAAAATACAAATGTATTGTTAAAGCCAATTGTGGCTGCTCAGACATGCAGTGTACAAACAAAAAGGCATATAGAAGAAATGAGACATGTAGAAAGTGTAAATTTAAATATTAGCATAAATCTGAACCTTTTCTTCACAATAAAACTACACCATTATCTCTTGTAATTTTTTGTCAACACTTTATGGGCAGGTAATAAGTATGGTGCTGTATTTGTCAAGATGCAATTAATTAAATTGCTGGGTTTCTTGCATTCCTCCCCACAAGCAGCTGCAACCTATAACTACATGTTGAAAACAGTATTTTTTGTAGACCTTTGGATTCATAGGAATGCTTCTGAATGATCAGAGCACCTCTGTTCTCTCTAGCTTTGTGTGAGTGATTTCTGTATAGAATCTCTCTATCGCTTTCAGCTTTTGTACCATGCCATAACAATACTGTATTGCACCGTACATCAGTGGAAAGTGTCCCGAGATGGGTGTTGGGTGCTTTTTACATTTTTTTACAAACCTGTTACTACAGGTCCTACAGCTGACACTCTCTCCTTCCAGTTCTTCTTCTAACAGTGCCAGGCACAGACGAGCAGGAATCTGAGGCGGACAAAAACCTCCAGAATCAAATCTGGGATAATAAAAAGGTATGTTGGGGGGGGGTGGGGGGGGGGAGGGCAGGAAGTTTATGTTTAGAAATTCAGAAATGCCTTCATGCTAACCAGATGGATTCAGAGGCCTTCTGTTCTTCTTTCAGAATGCGTCAGCAAGGCCGAAGTCTTGTGAAGTCCCAGGAATCAAGTGAGTTCCTACTGTCTATCCCCATGGCTGGCCTGTGCACTCAGATTTTCTGTTTCATTTTGTTTAAATTTGTTTTTGAAAGAGGTGCTCAGGGGTCAAGCGTTTGTCTTATGCAGTCAGCATATGCAGACTGGTTTTGGAATCAAAATGCAAAACTCTTGGCATCCACCCGAGCACTTAATACAGTGATACACTGTAACACCACTGCAATACAGTATTGCTGGCAAATCCCCTTGTTGACCTCTGCTCACTCGTTTAATTGCACAAGTGTGTAAACACATGCATAAACGACATTTTCATCAAACGTTGACCCTCATTTTCACAAAGGAGAAAAATTAACTCGCAGCACTGATTAAAACTGTTTTGTGCCAAGTGGTTGCTTTTTTTGCTCATTTTTAAATATAGTATAGCCATTCCAATTAGATTGTACATTATCAGCGTGCTTTCAGCTTGTTATGACAAGCTTGATGATTTCTGGCTAATTGGTGATGCTGATTCAGTTTTTAGTGTAAGTGTAAAATCTTTAGATGCACATTAAAAATAATGCTGTAGGTCTGTTTTTGCTCTCTAGCTGCAAATGTGTTTGGTAATTAATAATTGCAGGGGGGGGGGGGTTAAATAACAATGAAATAGTTTATAGAAAAACGTTTTGAAAAATGTATGAAGGTAAACCTATATCTGAAACGGATGGGTTTAATAAAGAGACTTCAGATTGTACATCTGAAATTCAAGATACAAAATGATATAAAATGTAGTTAGGTGTCAAATCATTCTAAATAAATTACAGATAAATCTAATTTCTAGGATCAGGTGATTCAACATAAAAGAAGTGTTGTAGGAACTTTCTAACCTGAATTAGGTCGAGGCTGAAACTTTGTCTGAGATGGGTGGTTGGCTGCAAATGATTCTCAAAGCTCCTTCAATGCAATAAAACAACTTTTCACCAGAATTGGAATTGGCACCGCACTGCAGGATTGGAGGGTCCATTTAGCACGCACTTCTGTGGAAATTTCATACTTTTCTGACAATAAAAAATTGTATTATTCAGAGCCCGATAGTGTAATCTCCCTTCCACCTATAAGAATTACGTTTTATCAAAATTGCACTTAGATTCTTTACTCTTCATCAATGCAGAATGAGTTAAAAAACAGATGATTGAAAAGCATATTCTAGGTAGCTGTTTTTAATTATTTAAAAACAGATAATAATAATAATAATAATTGCTTACACTTAATATAGTGCTTTTCTGGCCACTCCACTCAAAGCTCTTTACAGGTAATGGGGATCCTCTCCACCACCAGTGTGCAGCCCCACCTGGATGGATAGATATCTACTTGCATGTGTGTCTTTTGGTGGAGACATTTTATGATCAGTTTAGAAACTGCATATCAGTGCTGGTCCCTCTTGAGCTTAGAAATATGGAGACCCCTTTAGTTCTTGGGCACCACTGTAAAAGAAGGGTGGTCAAGCTTAACCATTGACACACTTTCTAAAGAGCCCTGTGAGAATGAAAGGAGATGTTATACCCCATTTTTGCACAGGTAATAAAGTGTTAATCAAAACGGCAGAAAGGAAAAGTGGCAGAAGGGAACTGAGCCGGTAATGACTCAGCAGGATGGGGTTTGACGTGAGGCATCTTATTCTCCTCGTTGGCTTGGCCACTTTCGTAGCGGGCGGAGGAGCAGCAGGGATGTTGTCATTTATCCAGGGAACGCGTCAGCTTCCCTGTGTTTGTTACAGAAGCACAGTGGGTGTGGAGAATCCTGACAATGTGTGACTCAGGATAGTCCTGTGTGTGTTTGGACACTGTGTGCCGTTCAGGACCAATGCCTAGCTGCAGTGGCAAGTCAAAAGAAATGGTAGCAAAAGTAAAAAGTCAGGAAATCACAGCGCTTACTGAATTTTAAAAAATGACAGTCTTCAGGGAATGACCACCTTTACAGAGGAGATTACATTAGAAACCCCTACAGAGCAGGATTTGGAAAGGTGGTCTGTGTTCTCTGTGGCACTCTGGCTGCTCAGTGGAATCAGAAAACGTTGGATTGATTGGTTCATCTGCTGCGTTAATTAACTGGTGTGGGCGATGCCGTTTCCATCAAGCTGCGAGCACAGGGCCAGAAAGAAGAAGCTGAAGCATTTTAATCCGCGCTTTATGCTTAAGAAAGGAGATACACCCGGAGGCCTGACTGGATCGAGTAATGTCAATGTTATTTTTCTTTTTGGATTTAGTATATTTCCGTCACCTGACCAGGAAACTACCACGTCTTTGATTCCAGCTGCGCACAACACGGGGGGCTCCCTGCCCGACCTGACAAACATCCAGTTCCCCCCGCCCCTGCCTACTCCCCTGGACCCCGAGGACGCCTCCTTCCCCGCGCTGAGCGCCTCCAACAGCACCGGCAACCTAGCGGCCAACCTCACCCACCTGGGCATCAGCACCGCCAGCCAAGGTGAACCCCTCAAGTAGAGCAGGCAGCCCCCGCGCGAGCGATTTGTAGCGCCTGCTGGTATTTCAGTTCCTCCTTGATCTTCTGCTGAGCTGTTGTTTTTGCTCAAATTGGTGATTTTTTTTTAATGCTGTGTGATACCCGAGAGCTCTCTGGAGACCTCAAAGGCACAAGTCCCTGCTCCAGCCTTGGGCCTTGTAGTGCAGATGTTGCAGGTTCGAATCTGGGTGCAGCAGGCGATGTTGTCTCCAGGGTGGGGTGTATATAGGTCAGCCATCCTCAGGGGGCCACGCAAAAGTGGCGTTTATGGTGTGCCTGACTGCCTGTGAGCTCGTGTTCCGACTCAGAGGTGGTCACTCACTTCAGGCAGGTCAAGTGGTCACCTGTGGCCCTGACCTAGTGGCTTGGTTTATATGATGTGCCAGCAGACCTTTGGAGAATTCTGAGGACTAATTCAGGACTTCAGAAGAAAGTTTTCCTTTAGCCATGAACAACAAATAGTACACTTCTGGGAGCTGTGACAGTAATGACAAGTGACTGATTTTGATCTCATGGCTATGGTTTGTTCTCGGAAGCGCTCAGTGTCGTGTCTGCTGAATTATTTTGCTGCCTGAAATGCACTTATGTTATCACTGCTGGGATCTTTTGATTTTCTGTTGGGTGTCAAATGCTAAATGCGAAGTCAAATGGAAGTTCAGTAATTATTATTTCTGTTGAGCTATAACAGTAGGAGGGCTGCATTATCCTGCACAGGAGTGAGGAGGTGTGGTGCCAGAAACAATGAAATTACAGTTCATCAGTCTGCCTCCCCTGGAGTGCACACAGTGTTGGAGAGAAATCTGGTGTTCTCTTCTTTCTTTTTCTCAATTCAGGGATTCAGATTTAAAATGTCATGAAGGCCAGTGCAGCTGGAGATTAAGTACAGCAGATTTTGTAATTATCTGTTTTGAATGAGTGGGTTAATACAGCAGAGTAATATAATATTGTGTGCTTTTCGGATCTGGGACTAGTGAGCAATTTTGATTGTCAGTGTAGCCAAGTTTTTTTCAGAGCTGTATATCTTTCCTCAGCCTTGCTACAGCAGTCCTTGGCTGGGTGTCTTAGGCCTTGACCTGATGCTGAATGCCATTGTCCCAAGACATTATTGTCAATATCTGCCATGTAGACAGGCAAGAGCTGTGTCTTTTAATGTTTTAGTCAAATTCCAGGTAGGAAATCTAATAAAATACCCTCCAACACTTGGGGAAAAAAACGAAAACTGAACAAGTCTTTTATGACCCCTCACACTAACACCTGTGTAATTCAGATTGTACCCGCGCCCGTAGAAGACAGCAGGCTGTCGGTGGCTTTAGCACGATCCCCTGGCTGCAGGAGAGTGAGCGCTCTGTGGGCTCTCAGGCTTCATGTTTATTACAGGTCTGGTGTCTCGTGCGCAGCCTGCCCTCGCACGCCTTCCTCAAACATGCGTTTCTCAGAAAGGGCCCAGATGGCTGTCAGGAGGAGGAATGGCACTTGGCTTGGTTTGCCCCTGCGATTCAAATGCAAACACGTTACAGGAAAATCTGTTTCCACCACAGGCGTTGCCTGGTGAAGGAAACCAGTTAGGACATTTTTACAAATCTATATTGCGTTTCTTTTACACACCACCCCTGCCAGGACTAATTTTACTTGTAACGTCACGAAACATAATGTAATTTTGTGATTTTTTTAATCATCCAAAATCCAACATGCATAATTCCCGTGTTCCATACTGATTCCGAATACCACAACCACAACTAGAAACCACCCTCAAACTAAACTATTTCACCTTGAAATGTTTAAAAGCCTCCTCCTCTCTTACCTGAATTTGAAAAGAGCTTATTAATAACAGAAAACACTCAGTTTAGTTCAGTTCCATATTCCATTCAGCAGTATTACTTGGCAGCAATATGAAGAAACATCAGGATGAGATCCTCCTATCACTTGTCCTCAGACAGATGCTGCTGTTTTCTAGGTGCCCTCGTTAATGGCAGAGCTGATGCTGGCAGACTGTAAGTCCTCAGGCTGTGAATTATTTTATGTCTGTAGGTGTCCCTACATCACAAGCCGGCATGACTGGGGCAGCTCAGCGCAGGCAGCAGACGGTGGTCCCACTGACCCTCAACACAGACTCCCGACGGCAGCAGACACAGCAGCTGTCTCCCACCCTCTCTCCTCCTCTGACCCTTGCACAGGTAATGGATGTGCAGCCGACGGCCTGGGCCAGCTGTGTCACTGCAGGACTCCTAGCAATTTCATTTTCTAGTTCCACTGAGCTGAGCTGTTCTTTCCTGGAACGATCGAGTCAGCAGGTGCTGTAATAAATCTGCATGCTGTTAATAAGGTAAACCCTTCTCCAACGTGGACTTGATAATGCACAGAGAATACAGTGGAAACAGATATCTTCTGGGCGCAAAACATTTCACTACCTACAGTCATGCAGGGTCGGCCAAATGTATTTCCTACTTTTCTGCTCCAGAATCTTCTAGTAATGTCTCCGAGACTCCCGCACCCCCACCCACCATCCACTCAGCCTCATCTTTTTTCACCATTTTGGTTCATAATCTTACAAATCAGTATGGCTGCCCAACTGCTCCTAGGAGGTGCAGGAGAGGCAACCTGTAAGATAGGTGTGAGAGACACCACCATTTAAACGGAAGAGTTTAATCGCTTTTGTAAGAGTCATAAATGATTATGCTTTTATTGTCCTACAGTATATAGATTTCTTATTGTATATTAATTTTGCACAGTTCAGTATAGCGAGTGCCACTCATTTGTTTAAAATAATATGCGTACCTTGGTATTAATGTAACTTAACACCTTATGTAATAAATTGGGATATAGGAGGTTAGTTTCCCACTGAAGTTCAGAAATAGTTTGCTTGTGTCTTTTAGTATTAGAGTGTAGTTTTGATTTGCTACACAGCATATTCCTTAGTGCATAGTTTATGTACAAGGGGCAGAATCTGTTTGTAAATCAACAGGAATTTAACATCAAGAAAGTCAATTTGCTTTTCTGATTTCCGCATGTCTTTTATTGTGAGCTTAATAAGATCATCTGAAGCTCGTGATTGAGCCTCCCACTTGTTTTTGTTATCCTGATTAACTCCTGAATTTGGTTTGCAGTTTATGTAAGGTTGCGTATTTCTAGTGCTGCACAGGTTTTTTTGGTGAAAAGGGGGGCAGCAGTATTCCTCCTCTCTGTCAGTGGAATCTCCCCTGATTTGAAGGAGGTTTAATCAGCTACCTTCTACACTGCAGAACCTCCAGCCAATTTCTCCCACACACAGCAGGGAGAGTCGTGCCGCAGTGCCTGTCTGGCTTTTCTTTGCCTCCTCGGAGTTCCCTCTTTTCCTGCTGCGTCTCCTGGGTTTCCGTCATCTTGCACACCCAGGAGGATTTACTCCTCGAACGTCAGCCTTGTGGCAGAACTTGTTCGATTAAGCAAACCCTTTGAGGACAGGCCAGATGTGAAATGCTCAAGCCACGCAGTTTACTTTAAATTGTGTGGTTTATTTAAAACATGGCTTATAGCATGTTTAAATTGTAATAAATTAGAAAGAGAGGTGTGCTGTAGTGTATTCAGTAGACTTGTGGCTTCTGTTTTGTATGGTTCAGGGATGATTAACTTTAACTGTCTTTTCTGTTATAGGTCCAAGCTAATCCAAGATTTCTCAAATATCCTTTAGCGACTGGAGCAATTATGTACCACTTCAGTAATTATTGTAATTACCTTGAAAGCCCTATAATAAGACTGGAATAGTCAAAGTTGCATGCCCCTGAACTGTACAGAACAAAGGCCACAAGACCATATCTCTACAGCAGACTGCTGTTTATCATTCATTGCAATTTAAGCAAGTTTTTATTCATGTCAGATTTGATTGCCGCTGGAACAGGTCACTGTCAAGTGATCTTCTGAGGGCTTTAGTTACTGTAGTCTTATGTGCTGAAAGGTGGGCTTTCCAATAAGGTTTCTTTTTCATTTGCAAAGGCAGTTCTGATTCAGCAGAGCCATTTTCACAACTCCACACAACGTAATCTGTGTGATTATGCGTGTAACTTTATTAACCCCCCATCACCACCTCTGGTTTTGCAGTTTACAATTGTGTGCAAAGAAGGGAGGAAACTTGAACTTTATTGCCATATGTAATGGGTACATGTACTGGTACAATGGAATTCTTACTTAGAGAAAGTCTCTCGATTGTTAAAGTGAAAAAACAGTGCATCAAGACAATATACAAACAAACAGTAGACAATGTACAAGTCAACAAGTAAACAGTTTGAATGTAAATGATGCAGACATGTAAACAATGACTGCAGATGTGCAATAAATAAGAAATTACAATGAGGTAGATGGTGTAGGTGTGGTCCGAGGGGCATGACCAAATGTCTTCACCAATCGCATTGCTTGTGGGTAGAAGCTAGTCTAGTGGTAAGTGTCCGTATGCTCTTGTATCTCTTTCCTGAGGGCAGTGGGGTGAAGAGCTCATGCCCGGGGTGGTGACTGTCCTCTGTGATGGACCTGCAGCTCGGGGGGTTTTCTGCCTGACGGAGCGTGGTGTTTGCTTGCAGGCGGTGACGATGGAAGCGCTGACCCTGGAGCAGCAGCTCCCACCCTACTCCTTCTTCTCTCAGCCCACGTCGCCGACGCAGACGCAGGTGGTGAGCAGCTTGCAACAGCAACAGCAACAACAGCTGCAGCAGCAGCAACAGCAACAACAGCTGCAGCAGCAGCAACAGCAACAGCTGCAGCAGCAGCAGCAGCAGCAACAACAACAGCAGCAGCAACAACAGCAGCACCAACAACAGCTGCAGCAGCACCAACAACAGCTGCAGCAGCAGCAGCACCAACAACAACAGCTACAGCAGCACCAACAACAACAGCTACAGCAGCACCAACAACAACAGCTGCAGCAGCACCAACAACAACAACAACAACAACAGCAGCAGCAGCAGGGCTCTGGCCTGCCCAGGCTCGTGCAGCTGCCGCCCCTGTCCGTGTCAACTGCCTCCACCCTGCCCCAGTCCCCCCCAGGCAACCAGACGCAGACCTCTGTGGGCATCGATATCAATTCGGTGAGTGCTGACCGCGTCGCGCCCTGTGACAACACAGCATGCCCTGCAGCTCCCCTCTGCTTTAGAGCAGGGCTTCTCAGACTCTGGACCGCCCACTCCGCTCCGCCGAAATCCTCTGACCAAAGGCGTCGACGCCGGCCAGTTTCTTTTTAAAGTGGGTCTTCGGAGTGCAAGTGAATCATTCGTGCAGGTGGCAGAAGACTTGCCCTTCAATCCACCGGGGCGAGTGGCTTTTCATTTCATTTTAGCTTTGGTTCGTTTCTGAATAAGCTCATCTTTCAGTGGGTGTGCCGTCGTCCTGCTGTCCAATGGACCTGCACGCTTTCTCATAAACCCGCCCCCTCATGACAACCGCGGTCATGGTTATGGGTTGTTCTGCTTGATGCAGAACATTTCTGTAGCGCAAACTTCCACCCTCTGTGGTCAGTATCAACACTCTGTCCACAAGGCGTAGTCCAGATAACACCTGAAGTAACATTATAGATAGGATGTGACCGTGTGATGAGTATTGATAGCAAGTGCTCTTGCTGCGGCCCTTGCTGTGTTGCACGCAAACAGCATGAAAACATGCACTTGCAGCTCATAAAGGACTGTTATAGAATGTAATATTTTTAGATGCAGTTTAATATCTGATATGTCCCCCATCGGGGGACCACATATTAAATGGATTTTTGGAACAGGGAGCTGGATCAGGAGCTTGCTCCGTCCTCTCCATGCATGACGTGCTGAAGAATCTATAAAAAATATGCATATTTCACAGGTCTAGTCAGGCTCACATTCATGTAGGTCTCTGAAGTTCAAACCACAGTAGAAATTAGAGGTATACACATTGCATTAATTGTATATTTCACACAGTCCCCTTAAATTAAGCTTCAATAAGTATGTTTGATTTCTTTTTTCTCTCAGTAGTGGGAGTGTGAGTAATTACTAGAAAACACACCTTTGTCTTGTATCCATGTCCGTCTTGGACTGAAAGAGACCAGTGTCAAAGTGTTTGCTAGTTCAGACAACCCTCCTGCTTTTCCGCATTTCCGGGTGGTTATTCCTTGCAGGTAAAGCCGTGATCTGGCAATAAGCCCCAAGCGTCCGTGACTGGTTCCCATCCCGACAGCTTTCCCCTTTTCAGCGCCCCAGCCACGGTTCGGGACTTGGGCTGGGTAGCTCTGGTGTGCCTAAAAGAGCCGTTGGTGACTTGCAAGGGCCGTGGTGGCCCGGTGAGGCACCAGACCGCTGTTGCGTCTTTGAGATCCAGCGCTGTAGTGAAACAGAGCAGCAGAGAGCTCTCGCCGGGTTTCCATGGCAACCCGGAGTGCCTGCATTGCTGACCTCTTCAACACAAGACCCACGATTTCTTCTCTTCTGTCGGCTTTTTGAGTTCTTTCAGGAAAATAAAAGAACATTGTTGGCAAGGTTTTGATCAATTTTGAGCATTGCTCGGTGTGGGAGCCCGCTTTGGTCTGGTTATTTGTTTTGCAGACCACATACAGTACGTGTGTGGATGCACATAGTAGCGTAGTTGTGACTGAAGCTGAAGTGAAGCAGCCATTTGTTATGGATGTTTCTGAATGTGTTAGTCATGAGCACTTAGCCGCAGCACAGCTTTTAGTGCTGAAGACTGGAGGCAGCAGACCTCACATGCTGAGGTTTTCTGTTCATTAAGTAAGAGTGTAACCATAGACGTGAAAGGATGCAGATTGTTTTTTTACTTTACAGTGAGTTAGTAAAGTACAAGCAACTATTATGTCAAGGCTGGCTCAATAACGTCTTGGTCCATTATGTTTCTATACAGTATATGAGAGAGTTGGAGCTCCTGGAAAAGTTTAGTCACGGTCATGTTTGTGTTTTTATGACGTGAAGCGTGAGAGCTGAAGTTGTTCTTCAGTTTTAAATAGGAGCTGATGAATCACTTTGAATTATTGCCTCTGGTCTTTACTTCAAAGCTATAACTGATTGACCAGCAGAAATGTAAGCAGCCATTCTCTAATATCAAGTGTGAATCATCTCGGTCGATATTGTTAGCCCCTCAGCCAGAAAACACTATTAAAGTAATTGAATAATAGGGTCATGCAGCTCTGATCTCTTGTAAACAGATACTCTAGTTCAGCTCTCAGGTTGTCTCCTGTCTTCCCATGTGTATATGAATTACCTTGTGCTGCTGTGCAGTAGGCAGTGTGTATCTCATTTCTTGCTTGTTGCAAGAAATTGCTTTGCTTACCCATGTGAATATCCCACCTAGGTTTTTTCAGTATATTGTTTTCCTACATAATTGAGAATTGAAAGTTAAAGTCTGCATTGATAAGCATACAGGCTGTGTAAACTGCTGATGTAAATTTAAAAGCCAGATTAGATCAGTAGACATGATGATGTCCTACAAACCCTTTTCTAACAGGCCATGTCATATGTTGTGCTATGAGTCCACAGATGCTGTGGTGTGGGCTCCTTTATAATTTCAATGAATTAATTTAATTTTAATTAAAAACAAATAATTCTCCTGATTAGTTTTAATTATACAGAAAAGGATGCTTAAAATCGCTGCCTCCTTTGTAAGGCACACTGACGTACTCACGATCTCTGATAGGGTTGTCTTACAGTTTGGTATTCAAAATGCCATCCGATCATCAGAAAGGTCCCAAATGAGAGGTGACCATTTGGCCCATTAGGCTTTATTGGACCCTTCTCACTCTAGTTCCTTCAGCTATAACTGGAATCATGTGGTCAGTCGTGTCTGTGCACCTGATGTTAGCCTATACAACAACAGAGAACATGCAGACTCCTCACAACAGGTTGCCTATCCCAGAATCTTACCCAGGACCCTGCAGCTACGAGGCAGTGGTGCTAAACCACCATGCTACTATGCCACATTTACCTTGTGCAGTGAACAAGCAAACAGGCAAAATTGTTTTGTGTTTTTTTTCTGATTTCTCATGCAGTAAAACTAGACTAAATCTACATTAAATCCCACAAAGCCTTAGAAAATCTGCAAGGGATTTTGTTTAGAAACATTTTTTTATTTGAAAGAAATGTTTTTCAGTGCAATCAATGTTTCAATGCAGTCTTAATAAAAGTTTTTTACAGCAGTTGTCAATTTAAAGGTAGAAAAAGAGAATAATCTTGATTACACTTTGTTATTTTGTACAGAACAAGAAGAATTTGACAATTAAAACTTCATAGTGGGCTGTTTGTGTTATAAGCACATTGTGCACTAGGTAGAGGAGCTGAAATAAGGATTTCGCATTAAGATAAAGGATTAATGTTTCCCATCTTGTACTGATCTGGAAACTCCTAATGTCAGCTTTCTGCAGACCTACAGATTAATCAGAGCCTGCCAAGCATCCCATTTTATTTGAAAACTTTTAAAACCATTTGCTTTGTGTTGTTTTCATCCCTTTTTCCTTGTATCATTTACAAGTGACAAAACTTACAAAAATGATATCTTAATGGCATTTTGTTTTATAATCAAACCATTCAACCATAATTTCTTCAGCCTCAAAAGACCTTGAATGCTACGTTTTCTTCAGATTTTTATTCTATCTGAACTCTGTTTCAGTGAATTAATTATGGGCTCTATTAGGAAAATGAAGCCCTTCATTTTCCTGGGTCTCAAGCCAGTAAGCACTGCAGTCTACTTTTTTTCTGCCTTCTGGTTCAGATAGATTGAATTATCTGCTTGTGAAAAAATGAAATTACGCCTCATAAAGCAAATAATTTGTTATAAATCAAATAATTAGAGTTCTGATAAGACATGCTGGGCTTTGACAGCTTGATCTGTTCAGTCTGGCTGTTCTACAGAGATAGTTGATCTGGAGCGTGAGTGGTCATTGTGGTACCTTCTCTGATCCAATTCAATCATTTACTATAGTGCCCTTCGCAACAGTCAATAGCTATCCATGTTGTTTAAGAACAGTAGACCATGTGGGCATGGAGGAAAGGAAAACAAAAACTCCCAGTGGGGTTGAAGAAACCTCTGTGGGATCCAGGCCCGGTAGTTCCCTCCCACCCCCACCCCCCAGGCAATGAGTAAGTGGTTCATCAAGGCCTGGGACCCTGCTGTCCTGAGTCTGTCATTAGGGTTGGTTGTCTTCATCTGAGTGAAGTAGCTGAGGTTTCCTGGGTCAAAAACCTCCCCTCTTTTGGTTTCCCATCTCCACTTTCAAGTGCATTTAGCTTCACTTGTGAGAGAATTAAAGATTCGCTGTGCTTCCAGAGGTTTAAATAATGGAACAGAATCGCCCTTTGTAGCAGGGAGAATAAAAGTATCTTGACATGACAGAGCAGGGAAACGTCGTGTTGGAATTGCGCTTCTAGAAATCTATAAAGAGTGGAGTGGTCGCTTTGAGACGGATAAGGAGTGAAATTCACTGAAATGTAAGTTTTAACAAGCCCTCTCTGTTAGCCCTTTTATGTGTCCAACATGCAAAAAACAAGAATATGGGTCGCTCTGTTCTTGTTCTTGAAGGCCCAGTGTCTTCAGTCCTTTATTCTAGTTAAACTTGAGCCAAATTAATTTAAATCTTTTTTTTTCTGAACTAATTTGCGAATGGGGCCTTTTGAACCGTTTTCAGCCAAAGGGAGACTTGGACTTTTGCGGTGATGTGAAAACATTCAGAGGCTGTTTGAAAGCTGCAGCCTTTTAAGAAACAACCATTTACATAATCATTTCTGCCTGCAAACTATTATTTCAAAGAAGTAGCAGGTCTTCGTTCTTTGACTAGGAGAAAAAAAATGAGAGGAAGCCAGGGCCCCCAGGGGCCAGAGTTTGGATTTTTTTAAAGTACCCTCATCATAAGAGTTTTGGATTTTCCATTTTAGTTTTTAATCTGGGGCCATTATTTCATTCTAGGTTCTGTCTCATGCAGTAGTTCAATGACGTTCTGAGCAAGGTGCATTTTTCAGTTAGCCAGCCGTCTTTCACAAATGCACTGCAGTGCTTCCTTCAGGATCACTAGGGCATAGTTCTGCTTTCTAGTTTCTCAGTGAATATGGTTCATCTGCATCACAGGGCCTGTTTTTCAGATTGGTCAATCAGCAGGCAACTTCAGCTTGTACTGCTGAGCAGAATCCTTTTCCAGTCACTGAGCTCAGATTTGCTCTTTGCTGTCGGAGGGAAAGCTAGTGGATGTTATCAGAGCTACTTCTCTTCCTTTAATATCTATCTATCACTCTATCTGTCTATCACAGCCTGCACCGGGGCTGTCAGACTCCGTCCTAGAGGGCCTAGTGTCTACTGCTTGCTATTCCAGCCTGAGCTGTCAGACAGCAAGCTGGGAGCTATCCAGTGCATCTCGCCCTGTTGATTGTGTTTGTGGTTGACCACAGTGAGGGAAAGGAGAAAATGCATTTTTGCTTTTAAATGATTTTGTCTCACTTTTGTCTCAAAATTTAAAATGATGAATCGGAATTAAAATCCTCGTTTACCACAGGCAGCTGCACCAGACTAATAATCTAAACTGCCTGAATGAAAGCAAGAAGTAACGAATGTGTTGTAGTGTTGAAGTCTCCCGACACCACCAAGAAAAGACAAAGCACCCCTTTGAGCTGGGTCTTTCCACTGTGCAGTGGCTTATCGGAGGGCACGCTTCTCTTCTTCCTATTTCAGTCCGGCCTAGTGTTCAGTACAGCCTTTTAGTGTGAGCAGAACCTTGTGTACACGTGTGTGTGTGTGTCTGAAAGTACTTTAAGTTTCCTTCTGCAGCCCCAGGAGCTAAAACAAAGTAACTGTCCCGTCTCCTAGGTGTCAAACAGGCGAGCAGGATCTGTTGGTCTTTAACTGTAATATTATCCTGTAGGCCGCCCTCCAGCAGTACCGCAGTAGTGCTGGGTCCCCTGCCAACCAGTCTCCCACTTCTCCTGTCTCCAATCAAGGCTTCTCTCCTGGTGGCTCTCCTCAAGTAAGGGCCGATGTGCTTTGCTGGGCCTGGCTTATCCACCGTTCAGCTCCTCCATCTTTGAGCCATGGTGTCTCACTGTGCTTTTGTCTGCATCACATATCGCCACAGCAACGTCCTCAGCTTTGACTTCCAGTGTGCTGCTGTTTTTAAAAAAAACAAAACACAATGTCTTGATTTTCATGAGTATCTGTGACTTGAGTGTTTTTCCTGGTTGTTGCTGTTTTTGGACTCCCCCCCCCCCCTCTCCTTCAAACTCATTCAACGGTACCTATGCCTAAAATAGTTTAAAATCTATTATTTTCCAATATATGGTTAGGAAGAGTATGCTTTAAGTTTATTTGTTTAGTGAATACTGTTCTGCCTCCTGAAGTCTTTTTTTTTCCCCTTCACTTTTGTTTTAAGTTGTGTTTCTGAGTACATGTGGTTGAATGTTACACTCTTGGGGCTCACGAGTGGCCTTATCTGGTCAAAATACTGCATGAATTCCAGGCTGTGTTTCAGCCACCTAGTCCTGCTATTTCCAGTGATGATATCACAGAGGATTCATTGGTTAGCAGTCATTGTTCTAAAGGCTGTGTAACAGGACGTTGGCGCTAAACAGCTAGTGGGCAGCTTGTCTCACCTTGACTGAGCCAGGGTAAAAGGCTTTGTCTTTCTCATTGACTGAAAACAGCAAAGGTTACAAGCAAGAGGGCCTGTCCGGTTGCTATTATTTGTTTAGTGACGGTGGTGGCTGAGTATAAAATCCAGCCACTCCCTGAAGGAGTCAAAGCATCTGGCTTCAGTAATATAGCTTGTTAGACTACACAGACTGCCACCATCTCTTGTGTAAAAAAAGGATTAAATGCAGGTCACCTTAGTTTCTGTAAAAGACAGCAAGTCTCACCTTAACAGTTAATGCGTAACATTTTTTTCCCCCCATTTTCAAGTATTTATTCAGAAACTCTAAACACCTGCATTGGAACATTTTCTCTTTGGAAAGTGTGAAGTATATTTTACCATGGACATATATACCGGAAGAATTATTTCAGTGTACTATCACTGCACAAGTGATAAATCAGTTTATTCTTGTAATTTCAGCATACTGTAAGTGCTAAAAACCTGAAGCTTGCTGGTCTCAGGGGTTTGAACTTACAGGATCACTGAGAATAAGGGTTAAACACGTCAAAATTTGCAAGGGTGCAGCTAATGCATTGAGAAAGATCTTTTTCAGTGCTCCTACATCTGTATTTTAGATTGCTGGAATCTGTTAACCCAACAAATTTACAGACTCCAAGGGGCAGTAACAGAACATTTTATAAAAAATATTGACCTTATATTTATGATCTGAATGTTTTGGGAAATCTTGTTCATGTTATGCAACAAAAAAGGTTTTTATGCCGTTTAAGTCCTTGTTTCTGTATTCTGTTTCAGCACAGAGCATTCCTTTCCGTAAGCACACTTAGTGAGTTGAAAGACGCCCCATATAGGACTGCTCTCCCTCAGCAGACAGAGTTACATATACAGTGATAACCTTGAATATAATGTTGCATGCGGTTTGATTTTGATTTTACGTGGTGTGACACAGGCTGTGATTGGAAACAGACATTTTACATGCCAGAACTACTTATCTCGGTAGTATCTGAGTGATGATGTAAGTTTTTATTCATGTATAGTAAATGAGATTTGGAAAGTTTGCATTACTTATTAGTTCAACAACAAAATCAGCTTTGAATTTAATTAGCAGTGTTCCTGATTGCTGATTTTATGGCATGTCATTTTTCTGGCTTGTGAAATGGTCTGATTCTACTTTTTGTTCTGTGTTTTGTTTTTTTTTATCCTTAGTAAAGACTGCTGTGGTTACAGGTGCATTGCACAGTCCTTGGAACATATTTAATTGCCACCTTTCCCAGTACTTCTGGATGAATATTCTAAAACATTTTCTTTGAACATTGAAGCCTGAGTTTGTAATATTAATCTGCAAGCACATATTAAAGCACATGAAATGGAAGACTTTTTTTATTGAAGCATATTGTTTGTTTAAATTACTCAGAGAGCTTTGGAAAAACAAGGCGTGTGGACTGTGGTATTATAAATGAAACTTTGTTACCAGTTTTTTTAGGAGAGAACTGCTTTGACGTCTAGTAAATATATCCATGCTTTTATTCCTTTATGCTCAAGTCTTCATAATTACTTTGTGTGCTTTTGTTTTAGCACACATCAATCCTTGGCAGCGTTTTTGGGGATTCTTTCTATGACCAGCAGCTTGCATCCAGACAAACGAACGCACTGTCCCACCAGGTGAGAGAAGTCAGTGCTTTCTAAACCACTAAGGTCTGCAAAGTTTTCAAGCTCTGCTTTGGTTTTAACCACAAGTGGAATGATTGAGGGTTTGGGTGGGAAGACATAATGATTCTGTCATCAAAATCAAATGCATTTGCATAGGTTGGAGTGGGAAGCTCTGATAGCATGTGAGGTGCAAAGGAGCAAATTGAGGTTATTACCTCAGTGGAAAGTAGAAAATGCAGCATTCGGCTGTTGTTCAGGTGTCTATTTTGCAAAGCGTGCCGATGCATTTATGTGCAAAACAAAGCAAAACTGTGATGTGATTTTCCACAAATCATGCTGATCTCAAAGTACCAATTACAGAGCAATCAAAAAGATTACCCATTTGTTCTCGTGATTATGTGGTATAATTCTAAGTTGCTTTGTTTCAGTGTTTTTAAAAAGATATGTAAAATATAAGTCAAAATGAAGCTCTGACTTGACTGTACAGTATAGTGCAAGATTGCTTCTTCCTTTTAATAATTAATCCAGTTGTTTCAAGTAGGCTGTCATTAAGTATAAAATGGGCTTGTGCAGAAATCAAAGGGAAATCTGAAGTTTTCAACTCCTCCTGATCGTCTGGAGTTCAGCACTGCACAAAATAGGAGCAGGGGCATTTCTTGCATCTTGCTTCAGTTCAGTCCTAGCTTTCCAAAGTAAGACAGGCGAAGATGCAGTGTGCCGTTATGAAACACAGTACTCTGCTGGGGAATCCGAAACAGCTTGTCTGTTCTCCCTGATCCCTGATTTTGGGCATGGCATTACTGTGATTTGAAAGCAAAAACTAGCATGTGTTCAGGGAATATTGTCAGTAGAAAGGAAATCTCTTCGGTCTCTTCAGGACAGCAATGTAGAGCACTGCTACTAATTAATTGTGACATTAGGTACAACTAATGTTGTACCCTTGAGCAAGGAACTTCTCTCCAATTGATTAAATTTCTTGATATTTTCTGTTTCAAGTCTTGATTTGTTTAGCTTCATTTATAATTATTTCCAATATATGACTCCAGCTCTTTTGCAGGAATGTTCTGCCATATATCACTGCACACATGTCTTGTTTGATGGATTCCCTGTGTTAAGCCCCTCTCACAGTGACATCTATATACTGTGGGTTTTAGCACAGAGGCTTCCACCTTCCACACACCTTTGAGTTACACTTGCTGCATGATTTGGATCATCTTGCTGTTAAGAATTAGGATTATTAATACCGAAGAACCTCCTCTTTTGCACAGTCCTTTATATTTTAAATAATAATCTTCCAGTCTTCCTGTTTTGTCTTTCCTTTTCTTTCTCTCTGTCCGCCTCCTAGCTGGAACAGTTCAATATGATTGAAAACCCCATCAGCTCCAGTAACCTGTACAGCCAGTGCTCGACTCTGAACTACTCGCAGGCCGCGATGATGGGGCTCACCGGCAGCCACGGCAGCCTGCAGGACCCCCAGCAGCTGGGCTACGGCAACCACAGTAACATCCCCAACATCATCCTGACAGGTACCGCTCCCCGTTGCCAGGGCGGTCTGGGCAGGCTCCGTTCGCGGCAGCGGGCAGAGATGCAGCTCGTGTTGTACTACAGTTAACAAAGTAGAGAATGTTAAGGTTCTGTTCAGGTTTTCTTAACAGTGCAACAAGGTAATTGTCCTCAGTACACATCTTGGTTCAAGTGAAAACTTTCAGTCAGGTTTGGTAATGTGCACAGAGAAAGCACCAGTTCGAAGCGCTGGGCAAAAACATCTTTTAACATCTTTAATCTTTTAAAAAAAACAAGTACCTTACATGCTTAGCTTTCCCTTCTCCCGTCTGAGGCTGCCTGCCTGCCTCTCTGGCTTCATGCGCGGGCCTGGGAGAAGTGCTATAACTGTCCTGTTCGTGGAACGAGTCGGGTTCGAGTGCCTCATCTGTCCCTGTGTCCTCTTGTCCTGCCAGTCACGGGGGAGTCTCCGCCCAGCCTGTCCAAGGAGCTGACCAACTCCTTAGCCGGGGTCGGCGACGTCAGCTTCGACGCCGACTCCCAGTTCCCCCTGGACGAACTGAAAATCGACCCCTTGACTCTGGACGGGCTGCACATGCTGAACGACCCGGACATGGTGCTGGCTGACCCCGCCACGGAGGACACGTTTCGGATGGACAGGCTGTGAGGAGGGCCGGCCGTTCGTGGAGGAATGGGGAGCCACGCAGCAACACACACGTCCCCACCCCCACCCCCTGCCCCAACTTACGCCAACTCCTGCCCCTACCCCTGAGGCCCTGCCGGGACGAGCAGCCAAACCGATTGGTCAGTGACGTGCTGCTCCATGCTGTGGGGGAAGAGGGGGAGAGGAGAACTGCAGCACTGACAGGTCCAATGATATTAAGCTTGTTGTTCTGAGCTTGTAATGCCAACTGCGCCCACTGTACGCTTATGCCATGCGCCCCTTGTCGCGGCTGACAGCTGAGGTTTCTTCGGCAGCCTCCTCCAGACTTTCCTTCAACACCTGCTGCAGGTTGTCAATTTTTTTTTATTTTCCTTGGTATTTTATAAAGCTCGTATCTGGTCATCTTAAACAAGGTAGTGTATTTAAAAAGAAAACAAGGGGGCTGAAGCACTACACCCATCTTAATCGCCGTTTAATATTAACGCCGTGTTGTCTGAGTCATGGCTGCAACGCGGTTTTCTTCTGTCATGTCTTACTTTCGCTACACTAGATTCCCTTTCCTTTAACTTACCATCTCGGTCATCTTTTTCCTCAAAAGCCAGAATGCGTGATTATCAGCAACCAGTGTTTCTAGTGTCCCTTTTCTCTCTCTGTTTGTCCTTTTGTTTGTTCTGGAATTGACCAGCATTCACTGCCTGTTTTTGTACCCTGCCAAATTGTACTTATAGTTTTAGTAGGCGCGTTTTTCTTTTTATATATGTATATAGTTCTTTTTTTTAATTTCAGTTTTGTATTTATTTAAAATCTACCAGCACTGGTCAAGTTTTCTGTTTTCGTTCTTTGAATTTTTTTTAAACACAAGGAGTAATAACCCTCCCCATTCTAAATGGTTTTGGGTTCCTGAGGTATTGTTCAGTTGCTAGTGTGTGACTATTGCTTTTATCTCCATAGAGTTGTCTTTGCTCATCTAGCTTTCTGTGCCACCTACAGTACAGTATGTTCTCTGTAGGGCTGCTGGGCTCGGCTGTCCGGGAAGACCCTAGGGGTAGAGCTACTCTTTCTCGGGATCGTGAGGAGCTGGCTGAGGTGGCTTGGGCATCTGGTGAGGGGACCTCCTGCTGGAGGTGTACTGGGCACAGCCCACTGGGGAGACAGACCCAGGACACGCTGGAGGGACTCTGGCCTGGGAGCCCCTGGGTGCCCCCCAGGAGGGTGTGGAGGCTGTTGCTGGGGAACAGGTCCTGCCCCACTCAGCCTGTTGCCACCACGACCCCCGCCAGGCCCGAGCGCTTACAAAATGAGATGAGAGCAGATTTATTTCAATGTTTGATCTGACTCGGCGTAGTCGCCCCTTACTGGCAGGAACTGATGACGGCGAAATGCCGAGGTTTCAAACATTCTCCACGTATATCACGTCTTTGCACAGAGAAGTCCCTGTATGTACACACCAGACGCGCAGCACAACACTTTGGTTACTCTACAGAGCTAATATATAAACAATATTTTATATACTGTTTTTTATTTTCTTCGTAAATGGCAGATATCCCGTTTCAGTCTGAAGGCGCATCACCGTGCCACAGCACACCACCTGAGAAACCCTGGCCTCAAAGAGAACCAGACTACTTTCCACCCGCTCAGATTGTTTTTGTTTTTCCAAATGAGGTCAAATGGAAAATATATGTCTCTGTAGCATTTGTGACAGATTCTCAGACTTTTAAAAAAAAAAAAAAAGGATGTGGACATTATGGGATCACTTCATTCTTCTTTGAGGTGGAAAAACAAAATGTGAAAATGGGGGGAAAAAAAACACTGCAACCAGCAAGCCAACTCCAGCGCATCACTGTGAGATCACCCCAGATTGCCTTACATGAGTCAGGTTCTCTTTTCAATTGTCCATTAGCTCGTGAATATGAAGAAGTATCTCCTGAATGTTTTTGTGCTCTGTTTTTAGAAACCCCCAGGAAGAGTATCGTTTGTGCCCACGCTTTGTTGTGCAGCACAGACCTGCGCCCCCTGTTCTGACTTCCACCACTCCTTTCACATTGTAATTCCTTGGGTATTGTAGCCAGAGCCTCCAAGCTAACAGGTGTAGTGGGAGGTTTACTACTCCTTGAGGGTGCGGGATGCCTTTTTCTGGGTGGCTTGTTTTCATTTTTATTTCTTTGTCTTTTGGCACCTCCCAAATTCAGGCCAATCTGGCAGAAAGAAGTTCTGGCGCTTGTCCAGTTGGGACACAGCTGAGCAGTGAGTCCTGTTCCATCGTTGATTCTTGTGGCTTTGTTTCCTGTTATGTCACATACCTAGGGGGGGCAGGGTAATTATTAACCTTTTGCTCAAGTGCAGTGTGAAGTTCATATCAAGTGTATTTGGAATTATGTATATACTAGGCAAGCCAAGTTTTTTTCTAAGACTAACATGACCACAAAAAACATTTTCCATTCAGATTCAGTGAAATAGGTTTGGATCATAAGGGATGTTTTTCAAACTTTCTAGCATGATGCTATCACTTACATTTCCCCTACTGTTAGACCTGTATGTACAAAGTTGTGCAAAAGTCTTAAGAGTAAATCAGGAGTTAGAGCTGATGTATGTTGTGAGGATCAATAATTACTAGAAGCCTCTGCTAACGTTATGCACACTATTATAACAGCAGCATCTGTTATTAATATCATTTAATTTGGGTGAGAACAAACCAGGCTTTTAGGTTTTGCAGTCTTGAATTCACATTGCTCACCTTCAAAATAATTACAACAGTTTAAGGCATAAATATAACCGATGCATTGTCAGGTGTTCCTTATTGTTAACGTCATTTGATCTTCTCGTCTCATTGATAAAACTAGTAGCATATTTTGTGCTGCAGAATACAGATCTGTTCAGATCCAATGTTAGTTTAAAAGGTTGAAAACATTTAGTAGATGATCACCAAGAAGGAAAAACGTGAAAATAGTAAAAGATGCATACTAAGACTTTTGTACAGCCATGTATGTATATATGTATAAATCAAGATGTGATTTTCATATTTTCCTTATACTGAATACTGCTGTCTTGAATAGAGATCCCTGGCAGAAATAAATACTGGTTGTAGATCCGTTGCATGATGTTTAAATATGATAAGGCTCCTAATATGTAATAGTTTAAGTTTTAATCAGTTGATTAGTCATTTAGCTTCGGTGGCTTATTGACTAATCAGTGGCTTGAAAAGGCCTCCTCAGCTTGGAGGCAGAAGTATTAAATGATATGAACCCCCCTCTGACTTGGGAATGTTGTCAATAGTGGATCATTGGTGAAGTGATCAGTTTGGGAAAACAAGACAATTATCACATATCTGGTGTGATGAGTGAACAGTTGTTAACCTGGGCCAAATTTCAATATGCAGATTGCCATTTGGTCGAAAGCACTACCTGTTTTTGTGGAAGAACAGAAATAATGCAAACTTTGCTGGAGCAGAAGCGCCTTATACCTGTCCCTTGCTGCATGCCATTTCTGAGTGATCACAATCTCCTGTGTTTCTGTTCCGTCTCACCAGAAAAGTCAAATCGTGTTTTCCTTTTTTCCAGAGCATGTGTGATTATCTCACGACCAGCAGAAAGCTGTAAAAACCTGTAACAATATTGATTATCCAGTAGATAAGTCTATAGAAAGTCTTGCTGGAATGCCTTGGACAATGCATGGCAGGGGTGCAGGGCTCCTGTAAGCAGGATGATTAACTTCTGTTATTCATCACGCAGGATTGAAGAAAAAACTTTCCGTCTGTAATAAAAGATTGTCACTACCTGGCTTTTATAGCATTAGAAATACTGCTGCAACCAGAATGTATGTAAACTACAGCCTGATAAAATCCACTGTATACCACAGTGTCAAATAATGTACAGGAGTCCTAATGTTGGACCCAAATCTCCGACTCTCCTAAAAACTTTGCCTTTTGATAAGCAGCTTTGAAATTTAACAAGTTCGTTAACAGGCTGCTCCTTTGTAGTTATAGGATGCATTTTTAAGAATGCACAGATGTGTTGGGAACATGCAGTAGTCAGAGCTGTAGAAAGGGCTGTGGGTTTTGATTCTTTTTGTTGATCAAACATCTGGAGAAACCCTTTGTGTACAGTCAGGCTCTCTGCAGGGTTTGTGTGATTTGTTTGGCATTGCTAACAAGCTTTATCATATTTCAGTGGTTTTATGTGTTGGTGAGATTCATGAACGAATGGGGACTTCATGAAGCACTATGACGTTCATCATGTGTGACTGCTAACCTCATACTTTCTGAAGCTGTCCTCTAGCTGTGCAAAGCCACTCAAGTCTGCACAGCTGTTTCCACTATTGCACCAAACCAAAACTACTGACGCCTTTTCAGTATTAACTATCAAGTAGCTCGAAAGATTGCTTTTACACTTGTTATTGCTGCTTGTTTCTAAAGATGGCCATTGTGATGTGAGCAATTCATGAAGGTGCATTCATTTACAAGGTGTGTTATTATTATCACGTGCCTTGGTTGTGAGCTTGAAGTGAAAGGAAAACTTTGACTTTTTCAAAGACAGATTTTTACTTCATTTTAACTTTGTGAACCCTCAGCAGTTCAGTGGTGGACGTAGGACTTGTGTGTAAGGCTGAATTAAACGTGAAGTAATGGAATGCAGAGGTCAGATCCGATAACTGTTAAGTTTCAGTTTGTAGGCTACAACGTGTTGGTGGATACATTATGTTATGAGATACATCAAAATTCGGGGTGCATGTGTTTTGTTTGGGTTCAGTAGAAGCTTATTTTCTTCAGACATATCTTACACCATTGTCCAGGAGGGAGTTATTTGCAATTGAAGATTTTAAATGTGCTTTTAACTTCTGTTTACATTTCAAATTGTAAACACAATGTAAAATACTAGGCTTAAACTTAACCTCATTATTCAGAATTTATCTCTTCTTTCACTTTCCCAGATCAACCTGTGTTTTGGAAGCTTTGTTGATGTGGCATTTAATCCTTTTACTTTTTACTATCTGAATGCAGACTTCTGCTAGACATACACAGAACCCACTGGAAAAATTTCTTTTAATTGTAGCTTGGGATGCCCAGTGTAAAAGGCATAGTTAAGTCAGTTTTTATTTACTGTAGTCACCCATTTAATACTAGCTGCTCATAAAGGCTGTGGAGATTGATTTTTTAATTAATTTGACTTTAGAAGCACAATATAATTATTTTTTTACTCTAAATCATTAAACTGGATGGTAACTTGAACGTAGCTCCAGTGTTGCAGTTACCAGTAATTTAGAGTGGGTGTTGAACAATAACTACCTGGTTGCAACTTTGTGATGAATCCTGACCAGACTCCTCTTGATGATTCTTCAATGCATCCTAATCACCTTTTTTTTGAAAATGCGTAGAATATGAAAAACTCAATTGGCACGTGATCCTGAAAGCATGTAATGCATCAAGCTTTTACAGAGAAAGCCGATATGTTTCAGGTACTTTCTGCTACAGCACGTTTGTTTTGACAGCTAAATGTTACATTTCAGTCTTCTGTGGGTGTCACATCCCTTACAGACCTGTAATCTTTTTATCAGTATAAATCCCCAAAACAGGGATTTTGTGGTGTTTTTAGAGCTTCAAACTGGAAATAAAACTGCCTTAAATCACCTGACAAAGGCAACTCTTCTCTGTACATAGTCTTGATTACAGCATTATATTCAGTTTGGTTCCTCCCTGTCTGCACTAGAATGGCCCAGTAAGCAGCTTTTGGAATTTGCATGAAGAATGAGCAACATATCGATCAGACGGTCCTGGTTCTTTTTTCATTTTCTTACTAGAAATGCTTGTGCATGTTAGTGAATCAAGTACCAGTATTATATCACTGTGCAAAACGTTTCTTGGACACACAAAAAAACGTGCAGTAACAAGTTAAAAGAAACAAGTTAAAAGAATTCTCACCATTTCGTTGCCACCGTAGCGTTTGTCTGCTTCACGCTTGACTATCTTTGAGTCTGCTTTCTTTTTTCCATCTTTGAGACGAACAAGTTTGCACTTTTTTCAGCCTGCTGAATAGGAGAAAAACTGGTGCATTAAACACCATCTTAGCATGCAGAAAGCCAGTCACTATTTACAGTCATGAAATGTACTACACCCTCTGAAAAAAACAACTTCCTGCTCACAGCTGTTATTGTGGGGGGGTGTAGTGGGGGAGTAGTCTGAACAATTTTGCTTTTGTTGGGTCTGGTGTTTCGGTGTTCCTTCTGTGTTCTTTAATTTTGGATCCAGTTTGAATTCTGTACTGTAGGCATGTTGCGCATGGTATTTTTTTAATGTCAGTCTTTATTTTGGTTATTTAAAGGCCAGCACGATGTGAAGATGAACTACTATTGATTTTTATTTCCTTTCTTAAATGGGTGGACTTAATACATTGCAAGTGGAGCACTACACTGTTTTTGTGGTCTTTCCCTTCTTCTACTGACACGTTTTCGTTGATGGTTCCAGCTGTGGTGTAAATTGCCTTATGTCTAAGCTTGGCAAACTTGGGTTTGTTGAAATGCAAACAAAGTCTGTGTCCTGTGCACATGCAGTGTGTGTGTTCAGTGTCTATAGCAGCTAAGACTTTGCTGCACATCTTATTTCTATATTAGTTTATTTTCAGATTGCCAAGAAAAATACTAAAATAACTAACATGCAGCGTCTTAAAAAATCACAATTCTATACCACAATAAAGGTTTACTTTTTTAGAAGCCAAAATGTTTATGCCAAATGTACTTTAATATTCACTGAGCAGGAGCTCAGTAAAGAAAATGGCAATTAGGCTATAGGCAAAATGGCAAAAAAGTAGGATTTTTAAAGAGAAGTTCTACCTCAGTACAGTTACTGAGGAGAAAAGATTTTTGCAAAAGTCTTTTGTTATACTTTTTTGCAAAATTCATGGTTTTAGACACTGTACATGTGCATACATGTGTACATAACTATGTGTATGTATTATGTTTATTATATGCACATGCATTTATATGTATAGGTAGTGTTATTCTATAATTGTTTACATGTCAATACAAAATGTGAGTGAAGAGCTGGAAATAAATATTGAAAGAATACACCACCCCATAAATAAGATGCAAAATACATAACTGTATTCAACCTAAATCTGCCAAGCTTAATTCTATACTGTTAAAATGCTTTTAACTAAAAGAGGATGGTTAAAATATTTATGCTCTTTTATTTTGTCAAAGGTGAAAAAAAATATTGTATTTTCTGAATGTGTACAAACGGATTGTTGCACACTGATTTGTTGTGAGGTTTCCATCCAGGAGAGCCACAGGATGCAGTGAAGAGCAAGCTTTTATTTATATAATAATTATTTTCAAGTTTACAACATTTTTAAAGCTAGAGTTGAATACTCCTTGAATGCATGTACAAGTTTAATTCATGGTGCCATGCTGCATCAGTAATCAAACTGTAGGATCACTTGTTGGCAAACTGATTTCTGTTCTTTGGTTTCCTGTAAATTTGCTGCCGATCATGTGAGGGAAGAAGCAAAGTTTATCATTATACCAGCATAAAAGAGCAAGGGATCTATTCACTAACTCTGTATAAGGCTTCTCTTTTTTGCAAGACTCCTGTGTTTGCACATTAACAAAGAAAGAAAGAATCTCTTATGCAACAATGAGAGTAGTACAGATGAAAGAGAATGGGGATGGGGAGAGAAAAACTATGTATTTACTTATTTATTACGTTGTCTTGTCTTTTATGTAAAACTACAAAAATATATATAAATGTAAGCTTTTTTATTTTATGCAGTAAAAAAATGTTGTGTATTCAGTCTGTAATTGTGAAAGCTCTCAAAACTACAGAAATTGACAGAAGCAAGAATGCTAAGCTGAAATCGGCTCTGCTACCAATTTGTCACCAGGCTGCAACTGCAGTACACTTTCTGTTTGTTGTGTCCTGTATCGTGTGCGTTGTGACTCTGAAGTACCAAGAAAGGTTGGGCAGTTTAGCTTTCCATCAGTTTGCATGTACGTTTGGTGCATTTCTGATTTTGTTTCTGCCTCTACCGGCAATCCTGCAAAGGCAGGCAACAGCAGTCAATTCTAAAATTTAAAGAAAAGCTTTTTGATAGAACTTGTTGGGTCCTGCCAGTAGAGGGGCTGTCTGTGTGCAACAGCTGGTCGGGCCGGTGGACTCTTTCTGCAAGACAGATATTGCTTCAGGTGGAAGCAGGTGCTTGCTTGCTTTCGGGCGTGTAATGTTTACTCCGGACTGAATGTGAGAATAAAAAAATGTAAGTGACGTTCTGTTTATTTCAGCATTTAAGATGGAAAAGGTGCAGAGCTAGGATGAAACAGAAAAGGGTGGGAGCTCTGAGTGTTATTTTCTGAGACCACTGCAGCCCAAAGCTCTCATATCCACATGTGCTGCTGTTTCTGTTACCCTTACTGTAGATCCTGACATGGTAATCCTTGTAATAAACAGAACAATTCACGTTTCCCACTCTTCTCGTACCAGAACTCACACTAAAGTGCTTATTCCTGAAATTTGAGTAAGAGGAAAGGTGCAAGGGAGGATTATTGGTGTTGCTCAAAGTGCGCAAAGCTAATACTCCTCCCCCTTTGCTCTTCCTGCCTCTCTAGATGCAGTCAGTTGCAGATGTGCATCTAATGGAAAAAATCAGTAAATTGTGTCAATATACGCCAGTGCACAGAGCAAGGAAAATGCAAAAGGTTTAAGGCCCTTCCCTGGATATGCTTTACAGGGAAATGTTTCATGTCCTGGGGTCTGATCTGTGGGTTTTTTCATCATCTCTCTGGTTTGCTTGAGACCACGAGAGGCAGAGCTATATCCAGGTTGTCCAGTGGTGTCTGTTTGACTTCTCAAGGCCACAGAGAATGTAATTAGTTTAGTGATGAGTGCCTCCAGATTATCCATCACCTTTGTCTGAATGTAAAGTCCCAACCGCAGTCAAGCCGGAGGTGGCAGCAAATCTCACATTCCCCGAATTCCGCATTGGGTGGGTTCTTTTCTGGGAAGTGTCTGGTTAGTGTTTAAATTTTGGGATTCCTCTTCTAAGCTTTCAGAACATTCAGTGAGCAACTGGAAACTTGGAAAAGTGCAGTGCAGTGCACTTGCTTTTTGCACGGAGAATTGTCGGTGTGTGGATTGGGTTACTTTCTCGAGACAAGAGGTGCAGGGTTCTAGGCTTGACGTCTTGATGAAAAGGTATCCTCATGGCATCTTCTTTTTTGCAGCCATTCAGTCTCATTTCCTTGTAGGGTGATAACTAAGCAGATTGACCTTGATTTGTAGCGAGAGTATGGGACTTAACTCTGGTTTCCCAGATTAGGAGACTCAGAACAGCCTGTGAATGCATTTGTATGGACACTGGTCAGATTCATAATGCTGAGTGTTTGTTAGCTATACTCAAACATCTGCAATGTGACTGTTACTAACATTTGTAGTGTGCGATTTGTTTGGAGGGGGGATTCTGTACCAGGATTGCTGATACAGTTGTGACTGGACCTAAATCCAGGCCTTCAGCTCCCACACCAGGTCATGCCCTCACCTACTATACAACTACTATACAACTCGGCAGTCTTTCCCAGGAAGCTTAAAGTGTCTTTACTACCAGGAAGGGCAGCTCTCACTGGTGATGTGCCTACTAAAGTAGAAGAGAAAAGACTGAACTGGATAGGATTCAAATTTGGCTTAAATACTTGGCTTCACAGTCCAAAATACAAGAAACACGAGAGTTTAGGTAAGATAGCAACATAAGACATTGGTACTTAGCTCCTAAAAGAAAGGTACACACAGTTTTGTCCTTTTTCTGATAGTGTTCCTTAGTTGCTTAAAGTGTTACAACAGTTAGCTTGATTCCTGGTTTAAATCTGTCAACAGAACTTATATTCTATAAGACTTGTCTTTGCCATATTGCTTGCTGGTGCCCTGAAGAAAGCTGTATATGGTATTTGCAACTTATTTTATATTCAGTCTTTCATATAAGCTTATTTTCCTTTAATGCATTGGGCCATAAATCATCTATATGTTCCAGTCGGATGTAAAAAAAACGGGGTTTGGTTTGAATGTTGCACTTTTCTGTTTCAAAATGTAATTTAAGCAACATTTCTCCCCCCTCCCCCCAGCAATCTGGATATACTTTGAAGCATTGCACATTGTTCTGTACCTCGGAGTGCTTTGCAATGTTGTCAATAATGGATCCGTTTCTGTGTTGAGTTCTTTGTTTCTAAACGGGAGTGGGGGGAGGACACCGTTGCTTAAACTTTACGGCATTGAATTAGCCATTGAAAGCCAAAGTTGAAATATGTACACATGAATTTCGTCTGCATGCTTTTGTGCGTTGATAAATCTGCACTCACGTATCGGACGCAAAATGCTGTGTGCATCGTATGAGCAGTTCTGGCCATATTGTGACACTGATCAGACAACGAGGGGAAATGAAGAATGTTTACTCCAGGGAAATTTGGACAGATTATTTAGTCCTTTTTTCACCATTAAGTGTAAGGTTTTATATGTTGGGGGTTATAATGTGAACGACACTGAAATCACTGCGACTGAATTGTTTACGTGCAGAATAGGGACTATGAGAGTCATGTGTCATCTGCGTTTCTCTGTTAATTCCACCCACGTCGCGTATCCTCTTACACTAGATTGACCACAGTTCCAAGCCACCACTGTTATGTCTGAAAAGACTGCTTAAGCACTACCGATTGAGGGATTTGGTGGCAGGGGGTTGCACACAGTTCAGGAAGCCATGGTTTTCTGTTAGGTTGCATAGCATTGTCCCACAGGGAAATGCTTCCCCCAGAAGGAACAGGGAGGTGTGACCTAAGTTGCATCAATCTTTTCAGATGGTGCTGCTTTTTCAAATTAGTCCCAGCAATCCACATATAATAGGATATGCAAATCAGAAATGCAAAAAAAAACAACAGAAAAACGCAGGTGAGATAAATAAATCGGAATGATCCACAGATGTAGAAAAAAACTCCTCTAACTTAAGCATTAAATGAGATCTGACTGTTCCATCAGTTGTTTCTCATACATGGCAGCTAAAAATGTAAAATAACCTAGTTTTCTGCGTCTGACAATGCATGTGTGTCCAACAGCGGTTCACAACACTATGACAGGATCTGTACAATCATTTCTCGCTAAATATGCAAAAACTTACATTCAGTCACACAGCTCCATGATCCCAAGTTAGTTTTGGAGAGCTGGCCCTTTAAAATGTCTGGTTTTATTTATTGTGCTTTTTATATTAAAAAAATAAAATGAAAAAAATACGGGGGAAAATCGAAGTGGGCTATAGATGTGTGCTAACTCAGAAACGATGTGAACGCTTGATCTGAAACAGTACATTTTTAAATATTTTTGTTGTGTGAAGGCTTCTGTCTTTGTATCTTTGCATTACTATTTGTAAATGAAATATAATAAAATGATGGGAAAAAATCATGGTTTTCTTAGGGTTTTTCTCCTGTTGCGTTTTTTTAGCTATTCGGTGAAAATAACATTTCCAAATGAAAAGCAACAGAAAGTTAATTCTTTCTGTTAATTTGTGTCATATTTTGTGCTGCTAGGTGTGCTGATTCCCTTATAATTTTCACAATGTAAAAAGAAACTGTTGTGCTGGTGGACCGGTAGGTGGTGCCCTTCCCCTAATATCAGAAATTCAGCACCAGTGCTCCCAGTATGAACATGTTTTTGAGTAGTATGACACATTAAAACCTTGTTCTCTCATAAGAAGCAGTTACGAGTTACTGTGGCGGTGGTGACTTTTACAGCGTGACCTGTCATGATGGTGTAAATTTAGGCTCTGGCTGGAGTAGCAGGATAATCAGGAAGGACACATGGCAGTTAAGCCGGCCTTCCCCGTTATTAGGGGCTATATTTCTCTGTTTCTGCCATCTGCTTTCCCACATAATCATGTTACAGGTTCAGGATTTATCATCGTTAGTTTAACAGAACTCGGCAGCTCGATGAAGGGGCGCAGGAGAGGCCACACTGGGGGTATCAGGCTTCACAGTTTGTACAGCCCTGTTTTCAGAGAATGTGATCCTGACCCCTGACCTTGGTGGTCTAGTGTCCAGTGCAATGCAGTGCATCCTGCAGTAGGATGTCCCTCAGCTGTGCAACAACATGGCCAAGAGCTCTGCACACCAGCAGCAGGGCTCGGGATTCTGCACTGGCAGGTCCTGGGTTCAGATGGGATCCTACTGTTGTGCCCCTGACCAGGATCCTTCAATCACATTACTCTGATGAATGCCCTGCAGCAGATATGGGCCATCACTGCACGCGATAATTTGTTAAGCGACTTGCAACCTAAAGTTGCACAACATCTATGTATAAGACACAGTGTAACTGCCGTGATCAATAACTTATTTTTAAAAAGTGTTTTCTTTGCATCTGTTTTAACCTTTAAATTTCACTGTGGTCCCCTTAACAGTACAGGTATGTCTTCCAGTGGTTTGGCTGGAAGTCAAAAGTCATTTTTACTTTTCTCTTTTTTTACAGATATCATATTATTACAGTTTGGCATTATTTATTTGCTACAAGAGGAATTCTGTGGCGACCGGATACTTCTGCACAGACTACCAGGCTTGTACCTCCCCAAGGACAGCGTCAGGTGGTCCACACAAAACCAGGATTCACTGATGAAGAGGATTTAGCTAGCTCTACAGATGAGAATAGCATGAAGGGGTTATTACATTGATAAATGGGAAATATTGATTCTTTCTGTTTATTCTTGATTTACAGTCTTATAAATATCACAGCTTAAGATCACCAGCATCCAATCAATTTTAATGAGATGATTAATGGAACAGTAAAAGTCAGCCGTGTACCGTGATTAGTCATGATCGATCAATTAATCACTGGTCTAAAAAACATTATTCAGTATGCAACATCTATATATTTTATTTTCTGAAAACATACATGCTTAGTTTAGAGGGGTTTGTTTTGATGCTTAGAATATATATAAAATGGAAAGAACTAATTAAGTGAAGGAGATGTACAGTATACGTCCAGCTTTTTATATTAGAAGTCCCACTTAATAAACATTTCTGCTATTTTTCCAAAGAAAAGATTTTTTAAGATTTAGCCCATGACTCTGTTCTCTGCTAAATTGTTACACAGTATAAAAATACTAAAAAGAATACTATTCATGATACTGTGGTTCAAACATAGTGACAGTTCAAATACAGGCAAATGTAGCAACATACAGTACAAGCAGTTTGAAATAAACACCCAAGCTAGGTAACATAACAAGAGGATTACTACAGTATGATACGTTTTCAGACCTGTTGCTACTTGGTCCAAGAAATAAGTCATCCAAAATCTTTCTCAGAGAAATGTTTTTTTGACACACACACACCACCTATGAACAATGCTCCACTTCTTTCCTGCATTTTATTGCATACCAGTAATTTACATAAAAAGCTATGATGTATCGACTTGATGAGAGAAACGGATGACTGTCCCTGTGTGTTCAAATCCCTTCAGGAAACGGGGAGTGGAGACAAGCAACATTGCTCACTAAAGGATGAATGAAAATGTGTTGCCTTTATCTTTGCTTTTGGGTAGCGAGGTGGACCTGCAGCTAGATCGGGAACTGGCTCTGTTGTGTCCTGTATGGGTCGAAGTCCTCGGGGAGGGTATCTGGAGAGAAAAATCCAGCGTTTCTGAGGTCAGCAACTGGAAATGAGCCCCTGATACTTGGGGGTCCCGAACGTTATTGGTATTACACAATATCTTCTATGACAATTCTGTAAAGTCCTGTGGAAAAATCATCTTTTGCTTTCACCGAGCAATAGGAGCAATTTCTGGAGTGGTACCATCACGCTGCGGTACAAAGAATAGTACGTAGTGGTACCCAGGGCAAGAGCTGTCCTGTCCTTGGCAGACTGTCCCTGTACTTTCCTGCTGAGTGCTGTATATTTGACAGAGGGGTTCAGGTTTGCTTTGCTTTGCTAGTAGCAGTATTTCACCAGGAGCTATGTGGTGAGAAGGGCTGTGCCGGGGGAAAGCAGCTGGAAATCGTACGTACCGTTGCAGCGGTAGCGCAGATTGGCCCAGATGATGTTCTCCTGGGAAAAGCAGAAGACGCCGAGCCGCCCGCCCCTCATGGTGGTGTCTATGATGATCCCTGTGTCCGCGACCATCTCCGGGCCTTCGTAAAACCGCACCCTGAGAGCAGTCAGGAGACGGGAGAGTCACGTCAGCTCCTGGCGTCTAGATGCGGGCTGTCTGCTGTGCTCAGCCTCCCGACATCCAGCAGGGGGAGCATGTTTCCCCTTTGAAATCACGCTCAAAGGATAAAGCCTCACATGTCCAAGATGACATGTTGTCAGTATGTTGTCAATATGTCTGGACTGATACAAGTGCACTTATCCTGTAATGACCTTGTTCCACAAGTGTGGCATTCGTGAGTACGATGATATGCTTCATTTGTTGTCCATTTTTTTCTTATTTAACATGCATTTGCAGCATTTAGTTTGGATTTTTTGTCCATTTTGAAAAACTGGATCATTTTAAAATTTTTTTTTTGCGGCGTATAAGGACAGATCATAAGAAGCCAGAGAAGTCCCAGCAAACGCCCCCCCCCCCGCCCACCTGATGTAGCCGTCCTGAGGCCTGTGCTGCAGGAACCAGCGGTACGAGGTCTTGTCCTTCCAGCCCACATTGCGGGCGTCTTTCCACAGCAGTTTCGCCTGGCCCTCGGTGTGCCCCGTGTGCCACAGCGCGTTCCGCAGGTTCTCGCCGGGGCCCGTGTTTGACTTCACCGCCTGAGAAAACGCAAGGAAACACAACGGGTCTGAAAAATCAGTCACAGACCGTCCCCGGCGGGCAGGGAAGACGGCCGCCCGTACACCCAGAAGTGCACGATGTGGGGTCCACACGCTTCCTGGAGGGATGAGCAGGTGTTCTCTCCCGAGATACCGGCCCACAGTGAACATCTGGCATCTTCGTCTTCTAGTCTTGAGCTCCGTGCCAGATTTTCTTGCTCCATCTGGTGCAGTCAAGGGATGTCATTTCTGAGGAGTGAAACGCTCTTCTTCTGCTGGCCTCCTCTGATGGAATTCCACGGCTCAGCAAGGAGAAGAGTGCATTCTCCGTTCTCTGGGAGACCTCCGGGTAACACATCCCGCGCAACGGAGCTGAAGGGGGCTGATCTGAGCTTCAGTGCTTGGGAGAAGAGCATCTCTTCAGCCTGGCAGGGGTGTGTGGATCCTATATTGACCCTATCAGGTACCTCTGGCTTCAAGGAAAACAAACATCCTCCAAATGTGGGACAGCCAGTGAGTGAAGGCCTGAGTAATGACACAAGTGGTAGACCATGATCCACAGCAGAGCTCCTACAGCAATTAAAAACTTTAAGAATTTCATATTCTATTCTATTCTATTGTACAGTGAGCCTTTGTGTTAAAAAAAAATAAATTCACAACAGTAAGCTTGTAATGAAGCCAGCAGAGAAACCTGACTCAGCTGTTCACCATTGATCTCTCTTTCGATGAGCCTATTTGTCCTAAATGAGTCATTAGTGAAGCTAGTCCAAAATACAATGAGGAATACAATACAAAATACAATTCGTGCTTTCCCTGAGCTTTCCTAAACCAGCCTGTTGTAACGTGATTTGTCATGGTAAATGTTCCTGGATGTGGCCTCCAAACCCGTTACAGTACCTGGTGTTTTCACAGTTTAGTAAAGTTCAGCGTATACATGGAAACATACAGTGAAGGCAAGAGCACTTTTTGAAACCTGGGAGCCACAACGAGATGCTCTTTTCGGGCGGCCAGCACAGTTGAGGGACTTGCCTTAAGCTGAATTCCCGGCTCGGCCACAGCACGGAAAGGGTTGGCCTGCCAGTAGATCTGCTCCACCTGCTTCCACATCACCACGTAGAAGCTGGAGCTGTCCTGGTACCCGAATATGAATCCCGCGTAGTCGTCATCCGTCACCGTGTTCACATGGAAGGTTCCTTCGAAATCCACGCCATTGAAAGCAGTGTAGCCTGCAGGAGGGAGAGTGCAGTTACTAGTGCTCGTGCGCCTCTTTATTCACCACAGTGTAACTCCAATACCAGGCTTTGGTACACTTGAGCGATGCAGTCTGTGTGAGCCAGTGTCCAGTATATATGTGTGAAAGGCATCAAATTAGCTTTGCTGAAGGGGATACAGGCATCTGACTGCAATGTGCCAGAAACTGCGAGCTATACAATTTCATCAACGTTTTTTTTTCTAGATCATCAAGTTAGGCCTCCACTCATTTGCAATCACTCTGATGGCAGACAGAAATCTTTTCATCTTACCAACAGCTAGTCCAGGGTCACTGTTCATGGTCTGAACGATTTCTCTCCCCTGCCAAAGCAGAAAAAAGACTTAGACCCCCTGAGAGAATACCGCCTGGCAGGTGTTTCATCTCTGAGTTGGATGTTTTTTTTTAAGAGGCAATGTGCCGATACCTCTTTTTCCTTGCACCTCGGTCCCAAAAGACATCAGGAAAAAGAAAGTAAGCCCATTTCCTGGGATTCACTCAAACATTATAACCGGCTCCTTTCAAGTGATGACGTTCACCCTTACCCAATCCATAGCCTCTCCCTGCCTGATAATACATGTCAAAATTTAAGGTATTTTAAGGAACACACTGCAGGTCCTTTCAAGGAAGGGCTTTCTGGGTCAGGCTTTTCCTTGTGGTTTGGGAGCAGTCAAATCAGAAGCTGGAATGCAACACGGCATGTATGTTTGAAAATGAGCCCAGACCTGATTGAGGACCACCCAGTTGGGGTCGATCTGGGCGTCACCCTCGGGGTCCAGCACCACGGTCTGGTAGGCCCGGAAATCGGTCAGCGTGACCTCGGCGTTCTCCGGGCACACGTCGATGATGTCGATCACCGTGTCGTTGTCAAAGTCGTGCTCGCAGGCGTTCCCGATTCCGTCTCCTGCGGGAGCAGCGGGGAACACGACCCTGCTCAAAACGTGCAGTGGGACAGCATGCTGCTCTCATGGCGGACTGGGGTGAATCGTAGTGCCGATTTATTCATGGTGGTGGAGGAAGAATGGCATGGTAGCGCAGTGGTTGGCATTACTGCCTTGTAGGGCTGGGGACCCGGGTTCCCAACAACCAGCCTGCTATCTGCGTGGAGTTTGCATGGTCTTCCATGTTCCTGTCGCTTTCCAGTGGGTGCTCCAGTTTCCTCCCACCGTCCAATGACATTACTGGCAGGTTAAATGGCTTTTGGGAAAACTTGCCCTGGTGTGTGTGTGTGTCTGTTTGTGCCCTGCAGTGGACTGGCGTCCCACCCAGGATGTACCCTGCCTTGCGCCCTTTGCTTGCTGGATTAGGCTCCGTCCCAAGCCCCACACTGTGACCCTGGATTTCATGTAGAGATTAGAAAATGGACATTGGAGGAAGTAGGGAGGCAAAGGTTTTGTTTTAAAGCAAGGTAAGTTTGTGGCTATAGTAGAGACCATTTGTAATAAATGTACTGTAGCTCAGATTGGTAGTCTATTGATGCATTGAAAGAGGAAAAGGGATTGAATGCAGGCGTGCCTGTCCTTTGCCCTTTCCCTGGCCTACTGGGAGTCGGGGAAGCAGACTGGCTCACCATCAGAATCCTCCTGGAGCGGGTTGGGGATGAGCCGGCAGTTGTCCGGCCCTGGAGGGAGGAGGTCAGGAATGCTGTCATTATCGTCATCGTCATCACACTCGTCTCCCACTCCGTCCCGGTCAGTGTCCAGCTGGGAACTGTTGATGACAGCCGGGCAATTGTCCCGCGAGTCCTGGTGTCCGTCTCCATCGCTGCCCGGGGAAAGGAGCAAGAAGACAGATTGGGGTGCTGGACCACCTTGCAAACAGCTCGGGGGTCACACAGCACGGATAAGAAAGCTGGGGCAATTGTGGAATTACCCTTCTAGATGAGGGCACAAGAAACGAGGCAAAAGCTTTTCATTCTCACACTCCTTTGTTGAGCACAACAAAGTCTCCCCGAACACTGACTGGCCTTGGACTAGACAGAAAGCCATAGCCACAAGCTGAGCAACACTGGACTAAGCAGGTTATGTTTAAATCACTAGGAAAAACAAGAGCACGGACCATGTTCAGGATGTCTGCACTAGTGGGTTTCCCAATGGGCTTGGCCAGGAAAAGCACTTGTTTGGACTGCAGACAGCCCGGCTCTATCCAAAGACTGGGATGAATCAGCATGGGTGCTACTGGACTAGAAATGCCAGGATTAAGTGGTATTGCGTGGGCAGTGGCATCCCAGTCTCACTGAACCAGAGTGAAACTCGCAGTGTGCCTGTGTGCTGGAACTGTCAGGGGCAAGGCTGACAACTTCATTTGTCCTCTGCTGTTCACTCTGTGGACCTAAGAGTGAGAAAAACAACAGGCAGCTGTACCTTTTTAGAAGACACACGCAAACCTTATCCTGCTATACTAGTAGGGATAAGCCAAGCAGATCAGTTAGGCAAAAATCTCAATATTCTTCAGCATAAAAAAGCAAAACATCTGGCCATTGCAAATTTAGGTTAAAAAACAACGACGTGCCCTATTTGCAGTTACCTGTCCTTGTTTGTATCACAAGGGTCTCCTATTAGGTCGTTATCAATGTCCATCTGAGGAAACAAAACAGAGAGTCTTTGGGGCAGCTGGAGACAAACTCGCTTTCTCTCATTAATTGACCCCCTAAAGTGTTCACATTAACACCAGTATAAATTAAGCAGTAGAAGAAAACATTAGAAGTCACTTTGACCATCAATGCATGACAAAACCATCATTAAGGATGAAGTAAACTATTGCATACATAAAACAGCTATTCAATGCAGGCAAATGTACTTCACAGTGTGAAATCCAGACACACCTGATCGGGGTTTCTGACATAGGGGCAGCTGTCACATGCGTCCCCTACATTGTCTCCGTCCCTGTCCCTCTGGTCAGTGTTGGGCACCCTGGGGCAGTTGTCCTGGGCATTGCGGATTCCTGTAAAACCAGCCCCGCAGGGTCACGTGCAGGTGATGGTCTTTATTTAAACAGTCTCCGGCTGAAACATACTGTACAGTTGTACGTTGTCGTACACCCTAGTTTCAATAACCATGCGTTACTTTATTAGTTTGGAATCATCAGCATCTTTTCTATCCATTCTCTCAAATTTGGAACTGCAGATTGCTGATCATCTGACTAGTAAGACTCTCGTGAAAGCTCAGTTTTTGCCATGAATGCTAAAAAAATACTGAAAACGCAGATAATACACGTCTCATCTATCTAATATTTAAAAAAACATTTTCAGTGCTGCTTTTTGCAGGGACTGGGGGTTAATCAAATGAGTGTCGGCAGTTTTGATTCATCGGTAAGCTCGGGCCCTCCAGTGTGGAATGAGGAAGACCGAGTCTCACCATCGCCATCCATGTCATCATCACAAGCATCTCCTTTCCCGTCCCCATCCGTGTCTTTCTGGTCGTTGTTGATGATGAGGCGGCAGTTGTCACAGGCGTCTCCAAAGTCGTCGTGGTCCGCATTCCTCTGGTTGACGTTGGGCACCAGCACACAGTTATCCTGTCAGTGGTAGAAGAGAAGAGGCTGTGTTAATCAGTGAAGGACAAGCAAAGCGGTACTGGAGGAACATTTTTATGGCTGCTCTGTTCGGAATTACATAGCGCAGCATGGCTGTATAATAAGAGGCATTCCTATGCATTTACAGACTGTTGCTTTCCGGGCCTCACACACTGACCTCTGTATTTAAGATGCCATCACCATCTGCATCTTCATCACAGGCATCTCCCATCCCATCGCTGTCTGCGTCCTCTTGGCCAGAATTGGGAACTGTCAGGCAGTTATCCTGAAGGGCACAGTAATAGGAAACTCTCACCTCCGAGGCTGTATCAGAGCAGGTTACCAACAGATAAATGTCAGTAAACGGACCAGAGTGTATTCCTCCCAGTTCATCAATGTCTTTTCACCGTGTTTTAACTCATCTCTTCATCAAATTCAGGGTCGGGGGGGAGTCGCAGAATCTATCCCAGGAAGCCACAGGCACAGGGCAGGATACACCCTGGAAGGGACGCCAGTCCATCACAGAACACACACAGACACGTGCACACTCCCTCCTAGGGCCAATTAACCTACTGTACCAGCATGTCTTTGGACTGTGGATGGAAACCCATGTGAAAACAGGGAGAACATACAAACTCCACACAGATAGGACCCCAGGTGAGTCCAGTTCTGGGAGGCAGCAGTGCAGACCACTACGCCACCCACAACAATTTAAACTTGGCAGGACGTTTGTAGATTTATCCTGCAAATTTCTAAAACTTTCTAAAAGCCCCAAATCAACCTTCTCATCCCATATGTCAAAAAATATATATTGCCATTCTGATGCAGGAACTCTGGTTGTCCTCTGCTCCAGGGGGTATATTATATTCATATTATAGGTACTTGTAACAAATGTATTCTCTTCAGAGAACCTTAATAATTGCATCATTGGTTTTAAGGAAAGGCAGCCCATTCTGTCCTCAACTGAAAGAGTATTATCTACAAAAAACTTACCTTTTGACAGTTTCGTTCTGAGCACTCCAGGGTTTCATCAGGAAAGCCATCAATATCGATGTCAGGCCCACAGATGTACCCATTGCCCGCCCATCCAACTCCACACTGGCATTAAAAAAATACTTCAATTACTTTGTGCAAATTTGCAGACAATTCCTGTATCGAGGAAAAAAGAGAAGCCAGATGTCCCAGCAGCAGGGAAAGGAGGATGAAGGTGGAGAATCTAAATCACGGTGATGACATTTATTATTATTATTAAAATCTGTGATTAGGATGTGACCTCATATTGAAGGGTTTTTGCGCCATTAACTGCAGCCTCATGGTCAAATCAAGTCCTAAATACTGGCCTCTAGCCACCTCCTGGCCCAACCCATGCAAGTAACTTAATTAATAATAATAATGGCTTACACTTATATAGCACTTTTCTGGACGCTCCTCTCAAAGCGTTTTACAGGTAAGGGGGATCCCCTCCATCCCCAATGTGTAGCCCCACCTGGATGATGCAACGGCAGCCAGAGTGCACCAGAACACTCCCCACACACCAGCTCTCAGTGGGGGAGGAGAGTGATGAAGCCAGTTCAGAGATGGGGATTATATTAGGAGGCCATGATGGGTAAAGACCAGGGGGAAATTTGACCAGGACCCCGGGGTGACACCCCTACTCTTTTCGAGAAATGTCTTGGAATTATTAATGACCATGGAGAGTCAAGACCTCGGTTTTACGTCTCATCCGAAGGTCGGCGCCTTTTTACAGTATAGTGTCCCCATCACTATACTGGGGCATTAGGACCCACACAGAAGCAGGGTGAGCGCCCCCTACTGGTTCCACTACCAGCTCTTCCAGCAGCAGCCTCAGCTTTCCCAGGAGTCTCTGCTGCTGACTTGGTTATGGTTTTGAAAGGTCACGTGCCCTCGGGATGTCTGGACTGGAATTGTCAATTAATCCATGACAGTTTGACGATCGGCGACCCATCTTACAGCACACGTGGCAGTCCCATCCCGGTGGACGGCACACTCAGCATTTCTGTGACAAGGGCTTGGCTGACCGCTGCCACATGACCCGTCCGGCCGGCAGCCACGCCGCTGGTCACCCACGAATCCAGGCTTGCAGGACCCACACCGGAATGACCCCTGCCGGACAAAAGGCAGCTCATCTACAGCTGTAGTGTCAGATTCATGCATAGAATTTCCTTACGGGGCTTAAAGGCTCTCTTAAAGGCAGAGAGATGGAAATAATTGATCAGAGCGAGAGTAAATTAAGGGATTTAGTTTACGTATTTTGGCAATCTAACTGCTCACTTCTTACTGTATTTATGGATGAAACGAAGTGTCTGAACCCCAAGGTTTAAACTGCCGCCACAACACTAAACAAATGATAATATTCCAGTTTGAATGATCTGCAGAATCAGAACTGTTCTGATGCATGAACAAAAGTTAAGCAGCCAGGGCCATCTCAGGACCACAAAACAGAATACGTTTGGTGCTGGCTAAAGGATGTCATTTGTTTTGAGCCACCTGCAGGACTCCTGATTATGGCAGTTTTGACCACATGGTGAGGGTGTTCATGTAGTATTTGCAGCTGACTGTTCCCTCAAGCCTGCGTGCCCTGAGAGCACCGTGTGTGACAGGCCCGGGCAGTGGGAAAGCTATCCTCTGTGAGGCGTGAGAAGACACGGCACTGTACTTCACCGGCGTGTTGATGCAGATGGAGTTTGCCACACAGCCGCCGTTGGCAGGGCCTCCGCATTCATTGACATCTCTGCAGACCTGCGGAGGGACAGAGCAGAGGCCGCTGAGCGCGCGGGGCGGGACTCTCCCCGGCGTCAGCGCGAGGGGGAGGCCAAACGCTCGCTGCTGATCCGGAAGGACGCGTTACAGAGTCTGTACTCAGGTTCAGTCTGAAGCCAAGTCTAAATACTTTCGATCGTTCCCTATTTCATGTTTGCGCTTTTCTTCTAAGAAGGCCACAGCCAAAGCAGAAAATTCCAAAAAATCAAGCGCCCTGTTCTTCAATTTCGGATTCTTGAAACGTCTTTCGACATTGGTAAATTTCCATAGATGTATTATTCTCTTGAGACACACATTAAATACAGGGTGAGATTTAATTTGTTTCCCTTTTCTAACCTCTATTTGGACATTGTCCTTGTCTGCTCTCTGATCTATTATCAACCTCGACCCCTTTCCTGAAAATCCTTGGTCAATCAACATTCACATCATTGCTTCATACCTTCAATATCTTCCCAGTACAGGTGTTGGAGACACCAGTTTCTGACGGCTTTTATTCCGACAGATTATTTAATTGAATGCCAGGTTTAACTATAACTGTACTAACTAGACATCTTTAACTGCTTCAGCTCTGCAAGGATTAGAAATATTTCTAAATCACTGCTGAATTTTCGTAAGTAATGCAACATTTTAGGAGCAGAAAACAATGGACGAGGTCTAATCGATGAAATGATTTGTTCATTGGGGGTTACATGAAGCAGTTGAGCGCCCAGCTCGAATAATAACCAGCAGATGCTGGTGACAAGAGGGCCTGGTCTGGGAAGCTCTGTTACCAGGCTGAGCTTCCTGTTCTGGTGTGTGAAATTGCTCTGCTGACCTCACTGTTGGCACTGTTGTAATATTTGTTTGGGAATTTGTCAACCTAATTATTTAACGAAGAAAGCTGCTGTGTGGCTGGAGCACTGGTTTACTGAGACTGACTGACTGCCATGAGAGTGTGGGTACAGGCTTAGTTCTCATGTGCAGGGCCAGTCAGCAACTAAAAATGTTAGTTTTCAATGGCACTTTTTTAGAATTTCTACATTGTGCCAAGACAGATGGGAAGGCTAAATACAGAAATACTATTACTGAGATGAAATCTAGCTTAGTCCTAAAAAACGCCACATGGTCCGCGCACAGAATAGAAATATTACTTCCTTTTCCTTTAAAAGGCGCAAAGTGAGGGACATTAATTTAATTCAGGTTTGCCCGTATTTAAGAAAACCCTTTCGGATTTTTGTCAATCACATGAGTCATTCTCATCATCAATCCACTGTTCAGATGAGCAAGGCTCTTTAAAATGTTTGTTTTTTTCTTGCGGTCGTTTTCTTACTAGCGCCAGTGAAAAACTCCTCCCCTAACGTTTGTTTATAGTTTTACGGAGACCCACACACCCCACCTATAGCGTCTCATCTACAGCTTGTGTTCGGGTCCCTCTCGATTTACAACTCAAATGCGATCCTGCAAGTTACCGCACGACTGAAAAACGCGTGAATTAAAAATAATAATAATTTCCCCTAGAAATGGCGTTAATGGGGGTGCCTTCTGGTGTAAGACACTGAGGCACTGCTCCCATTTTCTAAGCGCTCCTCGGGGGAGCCGGAACCCGTCCCGGCAAGCAACGGGCAGGATACACCTGTGACGCGACGCCAGTCCAGCACAGGGCACACAAACACCAGCCTCCATTTCTCATAGAAGCCAATTAACCTACCAGTATATGTTGCCAAATAATAAAATGTGTAATAGTTGCATGCACAATGTGAAAACGTTGTTCGCGTGTCAGTGAAAGAGTGGAAAATGTACGAGCCACGCACCCACAGCGACGTCCTGACTGCACAACTATCTTCGGTCCTTTCTACTCCAGGTAAGTCCGTTTTAAAAGCCATTTGTTTTAAAGTGTCGTAAGTACCACTGCACCTCTTTTATTCATAATGTGAGGTTTTCTCTCATTATTAATCGTAGACTGGTTTGTTTAACTGTTTTATTTGTTGAATCTTGAGGTTGACGATTTTGTTTTTTCGACGTTTAAATAAGTCTCGCAATGGTTTGTTCACAAACGATTTACTTTGAACGTGCGTTGCATTGAAGCTTTTTTAAATGTTTTTCGCGCATTTTGCGTACATTTCTATTGCCTTTTATCAGGGGCGGAGAGCGGCTCTGTGGTTATATCCTGTGTTCAGTGCCAGGGGCAGGAATTACGAGGAGTTCGTGTGTTCTCCCCATTTTCACATGGGTTTCTTCCCAAACATACCAGCACTGTAGCTTAATTCTCTGGAAAAAGTGGCCCTGGTGTGAGTGTGTGTGTTCCCTGTGATGGACTGGCGTCCCATCCAGGGTGTATCCTGCCTTGTGCCCGTTGCTTGCTGGGAGAGGCTCCAGCTCCCCCACGACCTTGAATTGGATAGAGCCGTAAGAAAATGGATGGATGGATTTCATTAGCTACAGCCTAAAAGACGATGATGAGAAAAGAACAGGGGCTGGAAGAGTGCTGAGACCAGAGACGTCTCAAACACGCTATAAAGCTGTGTGCTGCAAGAAAAGCACCTTTAAGCAAGAACTGATTCGTCATAAATCAATAAATAGCACAGATTCTTTAGGCACGCTAAACCAAATGAGCACAAATTAGAAGTGCCTAAATCCCAGATGTGTTCTTATTTGATTAAAAAAAAAGGGGGCCAGTGTCCTGCAGCTGCTGGTTCTCGCGTGCGATACAGCCCGTCACGCTGTGAATCCTGATCTGACCGTGTCTGACCTGACATCTGAATCCTGAGAGCGGCCTGGAGCCCTTGACGAGTGGGACTGGAGCCCCAGGGAAGGTCCCTGCAGGCCCGTGGGAGCTGAAAGAGCAGAGCAGGCGTCCGGCTGGAATCTCCTACCTGTTTGTTGGCCCTGGCGTAGGACAGGCCGACGCCCTGCGGAGTCGGTCCGGAGTACCCGGCGGGGCAGGGGTCGCAGCGGAAGCCGGGGAAGGTGTTGATGCAGCGCACCTCGGGGTGGCAGGGCTCCTGAGCACACTGCGGGCACCAGAGCAGCACGGGAGGGCAGTCAGGGCATGCAGCATCTCTAACCCAGCGTGCTCCGGTTGCAACGCTTACAGACGGGATTCCGTCGTCTATTTAATCCGCCTGTCTCCTGCAGAGGCCTCCTGCAGCGCGAGCCGTTTGCTCTCGTGTTCAGTCCTGAGTGCCACGTGGCCCAGGTGTAAGCTGACCAGAGCCTGTAACCATCTGCTCGTTAGTGCCGTGAGCCCCGGGCCGTGGAGTGATCTCCAGGGTGCAGTAGGGTGGGTGTGAACGCTGTGCTGCTGTGAAGGCCGTGCGATCCGGGGGGGGGTCTTCGTGGAAGAGGACGTGCAACGCGATGAGGGCGACTCACCTCGTCGACGTCCGTGCAGTGCGTCCCGTTCCCCGTCGTCCCTCCAGGACACGGCCCACACTTGACGCCCCGCGCGGTCTCCGTACACGTCACCCCAGGGTGGCAGGGACTGGGCAGGCAGGAGGGCTGGGGCTCTGGGGGATCCACTCTGTCGCTGCGCATGCCTGCAGGGAAACGAGCGTTGCAGTACGTGTCCAACCTCCGTCCTAGCTCGGCAGGAGCCCCTGCCCATTGAAGTCGCTCCCGACGAAATGGGATGAGGCACCATCTCGAGTCTTCCTGTTCTGAGTCGTGGGGTTCTGGGAAAGTATCCTACTGGTGTAGTATAGGGGGAACTGGAGAACCAGAGCAAACGCACATGAGCACACGACAGCACCCCAGGACAGTGCCACAAATCAGCCAGGGTAACCGCTGCGGCACCCTGCTGCCTGCAGTGAACCACACTTCTGCCCATATAGATGTTATAGAGGCGCCTCAGTCTGATATAGATCACAGCTGCAGCTCAATGCGATGAAGGGAGCTTTGCTGTGAATTGAGTGGACCGTGTTTTATCACGTGAAAAAGCACAAACTCTCACGGATATTGATGTAATGTAAAAGTCGTATACATTACACAGTTTCTAATAACTCTTTTCTGCCTAGGAAACATTACAATTAAAATCAGATCTTTCACCTTCGCAGTCATGGCAGGATGAATAGCAAGAGTCCAGAAAAGAACTGGAAAATGTTAGTAATCACTACTGTTTTACTGACAGAATACTTCAAAGGATATATAAAACCCATTTAACCAGTGAAAATTGGTGCTTAAGACGATCCAGATAAAACCTGTTATTGAAGTACTGTCAGGTTTAGATTGCCTCTGGATCTGCAGTGCTGACAGTGTAGGTGGGACCTTGTTATATTGTGGCTCAGCGACTTGGCTTGGAATTTCTGCAGCAGTAAGAATGTCAGCTTCTGATGTCCTCAGCACCTAGCCCAACAGGGGAGAAGAGCAACACCTACTGGTCTCCCTAATACCATGTCTAACTGGAGTGCTTCCCTGGGGATTTGCCTTTGACCTCTGTCACCCAGGACCGTGCCAGACCCAGCCCACTCTGACTGGGCTCCCAGGTGATGGGAGTGCTGTCGGCTTGCAGTCACTCGTGCGGCCAGGGGACCTCTATTGGGCTTGCACTCACCACACGCCTCACACTCCATCACGGCATTCTTCAGGAACACGATTTCTTTCAGCTGAAAAATAAGATGCCAAGATGAGTCAGATTTGGGAAGGTCAAGAAAGGAGGTTTCTTTCTGTGAGCGATCCCCAGTTCCCAAATCGATCAGAGATTTGGTTCCTACAAGCTATTAAGTTGTCAGTCTTGGAAATATTCCCTAACTAGATCACTGGAGCCTCAGGGCAGGTCTACACCCTGGATGTATCTGGACGTTCAACTGCTTATGAACGCTTTGTGTACTTTCCATGTACATAAGAATGTTTCTCCTTAGGGGAAAAAAACCTGATTCTTATTGAACTGATTTGTCCTATACTGCACGTGGCACTTGTGAAGTTAGGTGTCTTGCTGAGGAATGGTTGCATGAAAACTGCACTGTGGCGCTGGTACAGATGGGGCCAACAGGAACTCATTCTGCGATGATAAACTAGAGGCAGCTAAAGACATCGCTGTTACCCACCAGCTCGCCTGCAGTACGTTTCTAAGCAGCAGAACAGCTCACACGCTGTAGTATACTCTTGCTGTCCATGCCAATGTAATCCCAGGTGTCCCATTTGTATGTGTAGCTATTTGCGCCAGGCTATGCCAGTTCTGTTTCATTAACAGTGTCGGCTGCTGTTAACTTTGCTTTTGCCCGTTACTGGCTCAAGTGCTCAGCATCTTTCTCCAGTGCGCTGCTCACCTGTTGCTTCAGCAGCTCTTTAATCTCTGCCAGAGCCTGATTGGTGCCTTTGATCTGATTGATGGTATCACTTTCTAGAAAAAATTAAAAAACAGACTAGTGAACGATCACCAGCACCGTTAGTGCAGTGCAGCTTTGAGATGGCTTATCAGATTTCTAAAAAGATAACTACTGTTCTAGCTATCATCAATTTACAAGTAATAATGGTACAAAGGTATTTGGGAATGCCAACTTATTATGTACCATTATTTCTATTATAAATGCAACAGATGATTTGCAGCAATTACTCTGTCGTGTTAAATAGCTTTACAATCCCACGCTCTTTACTGGATTCTGCCCCATGTTTAGGAGATATTTGAAGAGTTTTCTTTTGTAAATCCTTTACTGAAAGAAATCGTTCAAAAGACAATGAATGGGCTTAAAACATCCTAATAAATTAGATTTTATGGAACAGTGGTTTATTAAAATACAGTGTTAACTGTAATCTGTTGCTCCGCTTGAGTTCAGTTCCTGAAGCTGCACCTTTTGGTAAAAGATAGTAAATCAAAAAGTAACATTCTCCTTCTTTCCCAAATCTTCAGGGCATCTAAAGTGTCCTTCCTTTTTAACTGCTGCTATAAACGAGTGTGTTTTCAGAACTCGATTCCTCGGGGAGTGAAGGAATAGTGTAGACTAAAAATCAAGAGTCTTAACAGACCTGCACTCAGCTATGTCAGGATCAACTTGGCACAACCTAACACTCTTAACAGCTCCCTCACGAAATCCATTAATGAGATCACAAATGTCATTATGTATGTCACAATCCAGGCGGAAAAGTGTATTGCAGGTAACAAAGATTTCTTTTGTAGTTCAGAGGCAGGTGAAATACTGTATCTTCATGCAAGAGACCCCGAATCCGTTCATACGTATGAGGCCGTTTTCATTTCTGAATAAAACAATTCTGACAACGCAATTACTCCACAAGGCAGCCGAGCTCCGAGTGCAGTCTCTTGGGCACGTGGGAAACTGAAATATGGTTTTGACGTCCTTGGCAGCTCCGAGGTGGATCTGAGTCCAAGACTAACACGAATGGATGTACTCTGCAGATGTTCGGAGCAGGGATCTGCAGCGGCCTGCTCATTCGTCATTTTTACTGCTCCCCTTGCTCTCCTGCTGCTTCTCCCTTTTGATGATGGAAGGCGATGGCGCATATTTCTGAGAAAATAAGATCGTGTGGCGGTATTCTGACGCCACGTCTCGAGTGTGTGTGAACGCAGGACGATGATTCAGTATGCAGGCTACAACGGAGCATCCCCGGCTGGACTCGCGACTTGCACAAACGTTACAGATCTGTTCAGCGGGTACCGATGATGCGATAGATCGTATGGATCCTCAAACGGACTGTTTTAGACGTTACCGCTGATTGACTCACGTTTCTTATTTACATGACATCAACCACAGTTCCTGTAATGTAATCGCTCTCTACATTGAGCGCTGTCCTGGGAATGCTGTAGGTCAGTAAAAGAATGAGATTGTGCTGCGTGTCTCTAATTCGTTTTGATAATGTGGAGGGCGTCGTTTACTTAAATGACTTTTTATTTTACTTTTCAGTCAACCTGGAATGTGTTACAGTATCTTCAAAGTTGTGGTATTTATAGACTTGTCTATATTGCATGATGCGTGCAACATTCGGGTTATTGATTTTGACAAGCATGTAGACTCTTGCAAAGATACCTGTATGAGTGCACTCTCTCCATGGCTCTTGAAAAGAGACTGGAGTTGCCCTTAGAGTTCTATACTGCCTGTAAGCACATATTTCAAAAGCAATTCAATATCATACTGCAATTGTGTGATAAACATGTTGTTTCTTTAGACACTAAATACACTAAATACACTAGAAGTGTCTCCCACACTTCTAGTCTTGAATAGAAAAGACCACAAAGGGACTTGATTTAAGTTTTTAAAAGTCTTCAGAGGCTACTGACCACCCAGTGGACATCTTCATTATTAACGAACCAGAGGACCCTAGAGGACTACACCAGATGGGAAGTGCATTAAAACCTGAGAACAAGAGGCGTTTCCTTACCCAAAGAGTTGTGGGAGAATGGAACAAGATACCTGGCCATGTTGTTGAAGCATGTGTCGTGACTGGATTTGTAACCAAATTAACTAAAATGGCTGAATAGCTTCTAGTTTGCGACCTTTCTGCTGTGTATGTGTCTAATGATCGATACCCTGCTTACTTAAAAGCACCATGATTGATGCAGTTTGTGCAATGCAGCCACTGCAGGGACCAGAGATCGCAGGCCTGGGAGTCTCGTGTGCCCCCAGCTGTGAGGGCGCAAGTGGTGTCTGTTCACGGACACTGGTCTCCTGACATGTTATTAATACCACTCCTGTGGGCTGTGAGAGAAGGAAGTGTGCTGTTTCCAACAAAAACATCACGTTATTTTCTTTTTAAATTCCACAGAAACGGCTCTTCCCACTCATCTCTCTGCATCCTGAATTTTCAAAGGTCATATTCCCGAAGACTTCACCTGTCCTTCAGGAGCAGAAAGAATTCATTTTTTCAGATGCCAAGCTTGCCCTTATGAATTTGACTGTCCCTGGGGTTTCATTGTGGACTAATAACATTTTATTTTTATTCTAAAACCTTCATTTGAGTTTTTTTTTTAAACTGTGGAGCAGGAGAGCTGCTTGGAAAACTTTGCGGAAAGGACTTTTTTAAATTTATCACATTTATCTGGATCTTTACAATAGTTTGACTTGAAGGTCCTTTTCAATAGTTCTGTTATTCAGACTTTTTCAGAATTATGCTCCTTGTGCATGTCATATGACAGTAACTTGTAGGTGTATTCAAGTTCAAAAGTAGTAGAAAAATAAAAAAAATAATTAAGTTTACTTAAAGCAAATGTACATTTTTCTCCAACATAACTACAACCTGGTGCTTTGCACTAAGTCTTGATAATCTGTCTTGACTTATACTGGCATGTTTCCTTAATATTTACAGAACTCAGCAACCACAGAAAGCTTTATTTCATAGTTCAGATGCAGATGAGCATGCTGCAGGTTTCTCTCCATATACAATGAGCTCTTTTTAAACATAAGAAGTTATATCATAAATGTTCATGCTTACATAAAAAAAGCATTTACATGAACTGTGCTACTAATGCTGTTGGTAATTAAAAAGAAGTATATTCAAACAATAATGCATTGAGCTAAAAATAAAGAAGGTTAATCTGAGTCATTTTAATACAGTAAATGGTTTGTTGTTCAGTCATCACATTCACAAGGTTTAAAGGGCTGTTCAGAAAGAACTCACATCACTTGTGGTGTTTATGATAAGATATATGTTACATCTTTCTCACAACTGATCTACTGATTAAAAAGCACTGGCCTTATTAAATTTACCTAGAGTGAGTTTATTATAATAAATGTACCTACCATAAATATGTTCAGATTAGTAAATGTAATATGGTCATTTTTCATTAAGAAACCATAACTATTACTGCTTGTACGTTACTTTTAAAAGATCTTTGTTGATCATACGAAGTACTCTAATTTTTAATATCGCTAACCCTACCGATATATTCTTACTAGAAGAATAAAGGAATTAAATAAAGGAATGAATGAAGAAGCATACCTCTTCCTGACGCTAGCTGACCGCAACCATAGTGCCATCGAGAAATGAGAGCAGAAAGGAATAGCAGGATTTTCCACATACTGTAGCTGGTCCTCTGGGTGCTCCTTTTGTATTTGAGAAAAGGAAAAATCACGAGAACAAGATCAAGTCCCAGCAGTGAGTGGACAGATTGTCCGCACAGCTCGGAGGGGCGAGAGTCCAAGCTGGACAGGAGTCCCAGCTGTTGCTGGTGGATTCCAAGTGAGAGGGCTCCCAGCTCCTCGCTGGTCTTTATACCTCAGTGCCTGACATCACCACTGCCTGCCTGTGACACTTGTTGAAACCGTTGTGAGACGCGTACCTCTGGAAAATACTCCGCAATTCAAGAATCTTCTCATCGTCCTTGAACATTTCAAGGGGAACGGTCACATAGTTTTTGGTGCAGAAATCTGAGCTCAAGTTCATTAGACCCCCATCTAGTAACTACTAACACACCTTCTGCTGTAGAGTAAGTCACAGAAGTTCTAAACAGACCTTTATTTGTTGAAATTTCAGGGCAGGAAGTTGCTATACTTTTACTTGTTCTCCCCAAACCTGATTTTTCCAAGGCTAATTCTTAGTTTTATGTTTCTGACAAATGTACTTTGACTATATCTGCAAAATTTTGACCTGATTGTGCATCATTTTGAGTTTTTAAAAGAGGATTTATACTTAAATAATACAGATTCTGGATCTGGGAGAAAAGCTTCAAACGTTTTGGGGGGAAAAAAACAACTTTAAATGAAAACATTTACTGGAACTACAACTGCAGGAATTATCAAAGACCTACAGTATACAGAATATACAGGAATTCAATGTTCATGCACATTTTCAAGTTAAAAAAAAATGATTTCACTTAGACAGCTCCTTCTCTGGAGAGAAAGTGGGCTGTAAATTATCCCTTTTCCAAAACAGTTTAATCCTTCAGGGATGGGTAAGACTGCTTCAAGACCACAACAGACTATCTTTCTGTTCACCGAGAGTAGAAAGCTGAAACAATTTGCTTGATGTGGTTTGTGTGTGTATGTCTTGTTCACCGATAATGGGATGAGCAGATGTTGATTGATTTCCACATGAATGCAGTTCTAGGGATAACGGAGTCTATACACCAACAACAGCTTGTAGCTACATTCCAGAATCTTCCCCCCTCGGCTCTTTCCTGGACATGGATGGGAAAACCTTGAATTCTTCTCCCTCTGCTCATTCAAATACTTTAGCAAAGATGCAGCAAGCAAAAACACAGCTCGCTCTCACACAGTGCACATCCAGTTTCATCTGTCCCTCGTGGCATACTGCCTGACTGGCTGTTCTCAGAAGTGCAACTTATGTTGAGTTTGTATCTCACTATAAAAGGCTGAAGTCAGAAGTTGCTCTACTAATACAACCTCATTGTCTTTCCCTTCTTCTGACTTTAATAATTGCCTGCATCTTTTATGGTCACTTCAAATAATGAAGACCCATTTCAGCCACTTGGACAACAAAGTCCTTGCTTTCAGTATACCTGGGTTCACTTATTTACCCAGGTGTTTCCATTTTTATAACTACAAGCTTGTGTTGTAGATGTGAATCTAAAATTTCTTATGCATGACTGTCCTCTGCTGGTTGTCTGTAGTAATAGCTGTTGCTAGCACTGGTAGTGAGGTGCAGCGCGGGCTCAGTTCCACCGAGTCCATTAAATTCATTTAGTTTTACACTTTTTCCCCACAGCAATGAGGCACAGCTGTAGCTGGTGGAAGAATGCAGTTGTAGCTTTGGTATCTACCTAAAGACAGTCATTCAGATACACGTGTATATATGGAGCTGTTTGTTCAGAGCAAACACTACATTTGCAATCAAATAATTTTATATTTTGTATTTATGAGGCTGACTTTTAGCCGACTATAGAAAAAACCCTCATACGAAATAGTAAAAGAAAGCACTCATCATATGCCTACTGCTTTTTAAAATTGGATTTTTACAGTTTCATATACACAAACACCTGTAAAGAGCTTGGGGAGATGGGTAGGTGAATTTAAGAGTTTAATGCCTGGAACAGAATTACATTAAACACTGCACTTATTTACAACTTATGCACAGAGTATATAACATACCAGGTCACATTTTGTGATAACTTTTAGACATTCTTTAAGCTGTACAAGTTGGCAGTTGTGATGTTAAAGCAAGAAACATAATGAAGGGTACACAGGCAATTGGACATTATTCTGGCTGTATTACAGTCAGATTCTCTATTTCAGCACATTTCAACTACTCCAATAAACACCATTGGTTCTTCTGGAGACAAAGAACAACCCATTTACTAGGAATAAAATCCAAAACAGACAAACCCCCCCTGTTCTTTCTCAGAAATAAAATGGAACATAATATTTTTGAATCCAAGGTTTTACCCATTTTTAAAACCAGGACTTGCCTAAAGTACAGCCACTCAAAACAGCCCAGGGACGTGGAATGGGTAGAACTCCAGGAATGCATCTGCAGAGATCCCTCTTATCACAAGTGACCAGATGTACTTTAAACCTTGAGAATAAGTCGTTTGTTGCATAGCCTTGCTGTGAGGGAGAGAGGCCCAGTTTACGGACAACTACAGTTAAAACTAGGCGTGTATAAACCCCTCAATAGAACTGTGCCCTTTAATGGTCACATTCAAAATTGCCTTCTAATGCTCAGATTAAGGCCCTTTACAACAGGAGAAGGTACGTAAGGAGTCATGCACAACCTGTCCTCTGCTTTTCAGGAGGCCCTTCACAGCTCGCTTCCTGGAGCCCTGCCTACTGCACTTCCACCTTCGCTTGTGATCAAAATCCCCACTGAGGAAGGGCACAAACTGGCAAGAAATGAAACGGTTCGAATAGAATCCCGATCCTTTCACACCAACCTCCGCTGTCAAACACCGCAGGCTCGGGCTGTGCATCTCATGTCCTCATTTTCCACCTGGTACAAAGTGTCAAATTCTTACAAGCACAGTCAGAAGTGCTCCCATCAGAAAGAGGGGAAAAGCACATAATAGACGAGCAAGAGTTACTTCTTTTTCACAGCACATTCTGAGTAACCGCCTTGCCTGCTCATTTCTGACATTTTAAAAACAAGTGCTTTTCACAGCGTCGGCATCCCCCAAAGAAAAGCAGCGGCACATAAAAGACATTAATGAAGGAAAAAAAAAGATGAAATTTAAAAAACTGATTAAAAATTAAATTCTAAATGTATCCCTTCTCAATCACGCACCTCTGACTTTAGGAACAGCCAGAAATATTTAAAGACCTGATTTTAATTGCTAGATTTCAAAGAATACAATTTTAGATTTTCTTTAAAAAAAAACAGTATAATTCTATGCAACTTCAATTTCTATGCCTGATTTTACCCCCTTAAATATGTCTTCCTTACGACTTAAAATTCTCATCTTGAAAATAAATTAGCCTTTTGGATTTTTAAACTAAAAAGATGCCCCCTTTTAAACTCATTTTTCTACAGCATTGGTTGATGCTTCATTAAGGCTGCTTAACACCAAATGTGACCACAGAACAAAAAAAAACACAGAAAATTAGTTACTTAACTGTACACTGATAACAAAACTTAAAAACAAACATTCAGAAAGAAATTCCTTAAATCCTTATTTGGCAGTCTTGAAACAAAAGTCTTTTTGTAAACAAATGTAATGGTTAGGAAAAAGTTCTTTTTCAGTTTCTTCTTTGCTCCAGCAAAAGAAATTGATGGAATTACACAATGAGTCTCATGCAAGTTATGGTGTATGTGATGAAGAAAGTGTATTCCCATTGAAGTCTTTTGCTGTTTTCCTGTTTTATCGTATCCTGGTGAAGAGGTTTAAAACAGAAACTGATTCCTAAAAAGAGAGAAACACAAAAGTGAGATTACAAGTAATGATATACATTTAGACCTTCCTTATCAAATTGCTTATCCAGGGTAACCTAAATCATTTAAAGATTTACATGAAGTAATGACTATAGTGTACATCTTAATATAATAGTAGGCGAGGTTACATGCTAGTACAATAAAAATTACAATGCAAAAGTACAAATGCCCCACAAAACAAAATGAAACAGCAAGCAGTAAGACAATAAGCAAGCATATAAGGTAATGTGGATACAAATCAGTAAGGAGAAGCGTATTTCAGCTGGAGTCTCTTTATAGAAAGAGCAACAGAACATGTTTGTCACAGTTTGAAGAATGCTTTGTGAGGCAGCAATTTAGATCTGTGAACAAATGATTTGGAAGTACCTTTGTTGATCGTGTTTTGCTGAATACATTCCAGAATCTTAGCGTTTCATCCCCTGCTCCGGTCACTATTGCTTCCCCATCAGGAGACATTGCCTGCGGAGAGAGAATCCGTCAGGAGATGGAAGAGCTGAAGGCTTTCCTTTTGCACGATGCCACCTGGGTAACTTTAAGCAAGCTATGCATTGTACAGGCTGTGCACCAACAGAAATGATGCCTCAATTCATTTCATGCAGTAAATATTTTAGTTCAGGTGGGGAGCTGCGTCAGCATGTGTAGGCTGCGAAGGAACAAGTAATAGGTTTATTCCATGCTGAAAAGAGAAGATAGAAAACGCAATGTTTGGGCTGTGAAGCCTTCTTCAGGTGCGAGTAATATTTATTTTGTAGAAATTTCAACTTGTTAGTTTTTCAGATATGAATCCCCAGTTGCCTCCTTTGGAGACGCTCAAGGTACGACCAGATCTCATTTGGAAATGTCTTGCCACCAAAACAGGTCTAAGAACACCAAAACAGTTTGGTGTCCAAATGCTTGTCCAAGAAACCACACAAATTGAGTGAGCTGGGGCAAGTCCTCTTCCAAATATCATTCATTTCAATTTAATTACATGCTGAGGTAATTAAGTGATGTTTGAAAGGTATCCGTGGTTAGATGCCATTCATTTAACATTAGCACTGATGCTACTAATATTTCTTTTATAGGAAAAGCTCATTGTGGGATGCGCTGATGGGAAGTGAGCACCCCAGATAACCGTTTAAATGTGTGCAAACAGTGACTTCTGGTGCAATACAGTGAAATGTAACCATTATATGGAAAAAAATAAATTTAATATACTTTCATCAAGCAAACAAGAAATGAGAATGTTTATTAGCAAAAAAAAATAAAGCTGCTATTTTATTATAACAAAATAAGTTCTGCATCATTAATAATGTAAAACTGAAAAACAATGCAGAAGCCAACCCCCTCACCTGCACAAGACAATCCTGGGTAACAGTCTGTAGCTGGTGAATTCACCCCCAAAAAATTAAACCCAAAAAACACAGGACTCACCAGGTACAAAACTCGGTACGAGTGCCCCGTTAACTTGGCTACTTGTGTCAAGGACGGGTATTTCCACACTAAGATCTGGTTCTGAGAGTAGCCATGTGTGCTGACCTGCAGGAAAACACGTATGTAAGCAAAAGTACAGGAAAATCTTACACACTGAACTCAACACCATAAGCTTAAGCACACGTTTGTATTTCTTTTCTATAGGACAGTTCAAGAGAAAGCTTTAGTATCTCAAAATCAAGTATTACAGAGCTGATCTCTATAATGTACAGCCTAATGTAAACAAATCCGTGTGCGAATTCTCCCATTCAAGAAATCAAATATCAAACCGTGCCAAAAAGAAAAAGCCCAAAACGGGCTGTTTCTATACCCTTAGACATTTTAAGGCCCACACTAACAAAATGCATGGCACCACAATGTCTTAATAGGATTAGTTTTGCGTAAGATGTATAAATATAGAGCTAGGACAAAAGGAGAGCCACGCGTGTGAACTGCTCGACCTGCGCTTTGTGCCTTTACAGTACTGCCACAGGCTTGCAGTAAGCTAGGCAGATGCCGTGTCGGCCGTCTCCGGGCCCATACGTACCAGCTCGTTCGCGTGCTTGGACCAGGCCAGGTTGCAGACCTGCGAGCCGGTGTCGATGCACTGCAGGGGCTGGCCGGTCAGCGTGTTCCAGAAGCGGATGCACCGGTCGGCAGTGCCTCCTCCCGAGGCCAGCAGCCCGTGCTGGTGGGGGGACCAGGCAATGGCCTTCACTGCTGCCAGGTGCTCGGTGTACTGCTGCACTGGGATCACGCTCGAGTGGTTCCAGACCAGCAGCTTCTCGGCACAGGCACACAAAAACAACACTGTTAATGCTCACCTTAAGACACTGCTGAACTGCATCACCACACAGAGGACATACTACTTAGAGTTCACCAACATAGTACTGTACTTGAAATTCTTTATAATTAACAATGCACAAGTACTCAAACACCACCTGAATTATTGGCTTTTTTTGCCATACTCTTCATGAATCATTACTCAGTGATCATAGTCAGCACATGCCAATTGTATCAGGATATAAAATAAAGGCTGTACTAAATAACACAATTTGAAGTTTACTTCCATTTTAATGACAGAATTCATCAAATAAAAATACTTATGGCATTTTTATATTCACCAAAAGACAATAAGAGCTTGTAGGAAAACAACAGACTTTTTGTATGGACAACGGTATAACTCCCCCCATACAGGATAAATCTGTACTTTACAAATGCTTAAACACGAATAAAGCCTGAATTTTGTCTGCATTGAAGTGTTCCGATTTTCAGGTGAACTCTGCCTGTAACCACACATCCAAAACCATTCCGCACAGCTGGGCTCTCCCTCTACCTTGTTATCGTTGCCTCCAGATGCCAGCAGCTGGTGGTCGGTGCTCCACTTCAGGCCACACACCTCCTGCCGATGGCCCTGTAGCCGGCGCTCCGACTGCAAGGGGGGTGTTCGGATGTCCCGCTGGAGAATCATCCTGTCCCGACTGCCGGAAGAGAGCTGGTCAGCATTCCAGGCCAAGGCCCCTGTGCACGGGGAGAGAGAGAGAGAGGGAGAGACCGGTGAAGGTGAGAGGGCATTGCTGCTGTACCCTGCAATTACTTTTTTTTTTAAACATTTAATCTGGACCATATTATCCCACAGAAAATCCCAAAGAGAAGAGAGCTAATTTTTAAATGAATGCATGAGGGCAGCTTGGTATTGCAGTGGTTAGCATTGCCAACTCGCAAGGCTAGAGCCCTAGGTTCAATTCTTGGGATGCTGTCTGTGTGGAGTTTGCATGTTCTCCCTCCCTGTGGTCACAATGGGTTCCCTCCGGGTGCTCTGGTTTCCTCCCACAGTCCAATTCATGCTGGAAGAGTAATTTGCCCGTGTAAAAATGAGTGGGTGCATGTTGGGGTCTGGTGTCCAATGATTCCTCAGACAGGCTCTGGACCATCATGACCCTGAATTGCAGAAGTGGTTACTGAAAGAGATGCCATGACGTGATGAATGCATGTTCGCGACTGTGACACCCACCCACGCGAGCTGTGTGTCCTTCCAGCGTCGACAGCTTCTTTCCAGCAGCAGCATCCCAGATCTGTACAAATCCCTTGTGAGTTCCCACTGCTACCAGGTTTCCCTGCAACAAACCAGCATAACCTTCTAAACCGAGCACAAATACTGTATCAAAGACTTAGATAAAACACTTACACTGACTGCATTTAGCATATAGCTCCTATAAAAATGACAATTACTATAATGTTCATTTTTTGTAAGATCTGCATAGGAGAAAAAAAAATGCATATAATATTTCCAGTCATCTTCTCATAACTTTTTTTAAAGTACACATTATGCAGTTTTTTTTATTATACAATCAGCATTTATACAACTGCTTTATCCAGTACAGGATCATGAGGAAGCCAAAGCTTATCAAGACAAGCAACAGGCACAAGGCAAGATACACGCCGGATGGGACACCAGTCCATCGGAGGATACACACAGACACAAACACACTCACACCAACTTTCAACTTTCAACTGGCCAACTTTCATAGTAGCCAACTAACCTACCAACATGTCTTTGGACCATGGGGAACTGAAGCACCCCAAGGAATACCATTCAAGCGTGGGAAGAACATACAAACTCCACACAGACAGCACCCCAAGTCCAGAATTGAACTGAGGGCCCCAGTGCTGCATGGCAGCAAAGCTGACCACTGCGTCACTATCCCACTCAGTCTGCATTCATGTGAAATTTCATTTGACAAGTTCAAACTTACTCTTTCTGACCAGCCAACTGATGTAACAGAATCACCTTCCACGGAGAGATCACACAGGCGGGTCACCTGTACATACAGAGCATAGAGGACATGGTTTTGACAATTTGTTTCCTGCTTTACATCGAAGGAGAGAGGATGAACCCCTAACTACTTTCCTTCTCTAGGTCTTGGGTACTATACCAAGTGGTAACGCACACTTCATCAGCCATGATCGACTTCTTAATTTTACTTTGGAGTATGAAGATATACTATAATCCATATCCAGTTTACAAACCCAGCACTTTTTTTATGCAATGAAAAACATCAATTGTAACAAAAGGGGTATTTTTCTGCATAAAAGTACATAAGGTCAATTAAATGCGCAAACCAGAGTAAAATACCAGACAGTTGAAATTAAATCTGCACATGTTAAGAGAGTCTTTACTCGCTACACAAACCCATAGATCTAGCAGGGGGAGACGACTCTCACCTGACTGGTGCAGGCGCTCCAGAGATAGACGCAAGTGCCCAAGCCCACACTGAGCACATTGAGAGAAGACCAGTCCACCAGGTTCAGGTAGAAATCGTCCTGCAGCTCCGGGGCGTCCAGCACTTTGAAAGGGATCTTCGAGATCTTCCGTGTGGGTTTTCGAGGGGAGCGTAACAGCTTCTGGCTGCAATATTGGAATTAATCAAAAGTCACAGATCAGGATTATCCCTCTGGGTTACTTCCTAACATCCATTTTCTAACCACTTCTTCCAACTCAGGGCTGTGGCAAGCACCAGGCACGAGGCAGGATGCACCCTGGATGGGACGGCAGGGCGACGCCCACACTCACTCCAGGGTCAGCTTTACCAGCAGCCAAGTAACCTACCGGTATGTTTTTGGACTGTGGGAATCAAAATTAATCCAAGTAAAAAGTAAAACTCGTTTGGTTTTACAGTGAACAGCCTTTTTGTCGACGCAGCATGTGTTTTCTGATGTCTTGAGCAACTATTTTTCCAATAAATGACACAACATAAAAAGAGAAACCTACATGCTGTAAAACAGGATTACACTGATGGCTTCAATGTACTCTTGTGATGTAACAAATGTGTATATTTTCACATCCCCCCCCCCCCCCAAGTAATATTTTATGGTACACTGATTGTGAAAGTTTTAAATGAACACAAAACTACTGAAATTGTCTGTAGTAAGATGTTCTTGTACTACAACAGAGAACTTAACTGGCCAAGAGCAAATTCACTTGCTTGACAGTCTGCCTATGTGCTTTATGTAACTGCCTTTGACAAAACATCCAGGAGAGCCCTTAGATTTATTTCTCCATCATCACGGGGATTTCTCTCAACACCATCCTCTGACAGGCAATTTTTTATTTTATTTTTTTAAAAGGGAGGTGCAAGTTAAATTCTTTTTGAACACACATTACCAAAGGGAAAAAAATAAGTAGGTCTTTATAAAAATACATTTGGAACATAAATCTTTTATCCCTTCAGGTTTTTAGTTGTTATTCTTTCCAGGGGACTTGAAAGGACTTTTTCCGAGATCCTTTTGTGCCACTGACAGGATATTTATAAAAAGACTTCACAAACAGGACTGAACAACAAATCACATTTGCAAACAACTGGTGATTAAAACTGATTAAAACTGACCTTTTACTGCTGACTGGAGATAGGGAGTAGGGGGAAACACCATTTCCATCATCTGGTGTAGAGCGCTTGGCACTGAGAGAATACTAAACACAACAAAGATGAAATTACTTTAAAGCAGGACATACTGGGCCAGCAGCACTGCAGACCTGTCTCCACAACAGCCAGCGATGCCGTGTGCATTAGTGAGCACGTCCTTACATTGAAGAGGCTCCTTCTCTCTGGAGTGGAGGGCTGCAGTCTTCGATCCTCTGTCTGGGGGTCCTGCACTTTCTCAATGCCTGCCCCCAGCAGCTCGTTCTTCAGTAAGGCAGAATACGCCAGGCCATCCGCTGAGGAAGAGAATCGTCATGTTTGACTACCAGCTTGTAGGTGGCTAGTGCAAGACAAGTCCCCATTTTGTGAAAGCCTTTCATTATTGATGCGTGAACATCATACCAGGCTTTTTATTGACAGGGTACAGAGAAGAGATGTTACTGGATTAGACTGACTAGGGTCTTGGTGAATGTTACCTTTGCTAGTGTCTGATGTTGCATCCTTTGTTTTTCTGTTCTGACTGGGAGACTTCTCATTTTCCTGATCAGGAAGAAAATAAATGTTATTCACATTACATTTGCAACTTAATCAGTGCATTTTTACCCTAAACAAATACTATAAATGTGATAATTCATAACATATATTTGTTAAAAATAAATTATAGAAGAATTACACTACATGTGAAATTCTTGGCACATGAAAAAGTACAATATATTTACTGTACAAATGAAATATTTTTCTAAATTAAATTATCTGCACTTAACAATTACAATCAAAATTCTATACAAGCCAGCTTTGTAGTTTTCTCATTTCAAAGAATCCAGTAACATGGGTTACAAGAACCCATTTGTCAGCAACTCCTAAATATTTCAGTTTTGAGCCAATAGTCCCCACAGGCTATGACATATGGCACTGCATTATACCAGTGTCTCTGAATTTTGTTCAAACTGCAGTAAAAGCAAGCATTTTTATATAACTCTAGTCCTTTAAAACATGAAAATATCTCCATGCATATGCATATTGAATATTACAATTTCAGTTCAAAAGAGTTTAAGGGACAAAAACGATTGTTGATCATTTGGGTTTTCATTTTGTAGTGTAGTGCATAAAACTTTTCATACAATAAGAAATTGTGCAAGAAAGAATTTTACAGATTTGTCCTGATCTTTCATGACATGCTTTAGTAAGCTTCACTGTTGTCCAAATCGTCTTGTTTTAGACAACAGCAATGAAAACAAAAACTTTAGTATTAACACCACAACAATAAAAGCCACCACCACACACAATAACCAGCGATCACATCACTGCTCTGCCAGTCCTCAGAAAACCCACAAACTGGAGAAACACAGAAGATCTTTCGCTCAGCTTCCTGCGAACCTACATTGATTCTGTGGAAGTTGATGCTCCAGTTGGCCCCGGCTCTGGAGGGGATGAACCTGTCCCCGTGTTTGCTTGGGGAAGACATGGGCGAGTTGGTGGGCGTCAGAGTTCGCATGACTTCAGGGGCTTTCTGTAAAAGTGCCAAAAACACCCCAAAAAAAGTTTTAGCTGGAGATGCAGAAATACAGACAAATGACAGAGGAAATAATGTTCGTCAAATGTTTAATTTTTGTCCAAATGATTTGACTAACAGAATGGAGTTTCACCATTCTCTCCTTCTTCTACAGTACTGCCATACAAGAGACAAAGCCCTCCTGTTACAAAGTTTACAGTTCTCTTGGATGCTCAGTGTTGGCGTCTGAAAACTGTTATTGCTGCAGTTCTGGGAAGTAGTTTCAAAGCTTTGCAAAGTCTGGCATCAGGAAAGGTTACTTTTTGCTACTGTGAACAAAATATCTTAATCCACATAGTTCACAGTTGCTGCTAAGGTGCAAGTTCTCTGAAGGATTCAGCTGATTTCCCATTTTTCAAGAGCTGGCTATCTACTGCACAGTAGACCTTAGAGTGTTAAAAACAACCAAATCATGAAGTAAACAGTTCACTTCCAATTTATATTCATTAGGATCTATTTTTTTAGAATTCTGCTGTATGATGAGGTACAATTACAGAAGATGAGAACAAAATTAATCTAGAAGACAATTACTCACCTATTCAAAAATGACACTTGGATATATAACAGAACTTGGTACAATACAATTACAAAAATATTTTCCACTCTGGAATCAGTCAAGAGAAGAGCTACTGGATACTTGGGCTCAATGGAATATCCTACACTGTCGGGCTAGAAGTACAGAACCACATTCATTCTTCAACTGGAAAGACCTGAATATTTAAAATTCTCACAGCTACCGACAAGTAAACCCAACGGACCTCTTGAGAATCAACGACAGACTGCACAGGAGGACGCAGGTGGGATCTATGGGCAAGCGCTTTTAACGCCGAGAAGACGGTGGCACTTCTGTACACAAAGGAACGTAGAGGTGTGGAACAGCCACGTCGTTGAAGCCGATGCCACCACTCGTTTCAGGCAACGACGCGTCAAGATCGTTTTAATTGGCTCCAATAAGCTAGCCTCTTCTAATTGGTAATATTACATGATCTATGTGTAACGCGACAGATTTAAGAGATAAGGAAATCCTAGTCAAGAATGGGGCACCGACTACTTCCGACGGCACGCATTGCGCAGCCTGTCAGTCGGTCGGATTCCTTGTCCGACACATGCTCCAGGCGAGCAGCAGCCCGGGGGATCGGTCACTCACGATGGGGCTGGCGTTCTCGTTCTGGATGTTGATCTGCCGCAGCAGACGCCGCTCGTAGTCCTGGTCCATCCTCGGGAGAGACGATGAAGACAAGAGCCCGACCTCGAAACGTTTCCTGGGATGGGGCGGACGAAAGAAGAGTCAAAACCCTGGCCTTTTTCCCCCACACAACTGGAAACTGCCCCAGTTTTTTTCTCCCCCCTTTTTGCTTCTCGGCGTCTGGCCTGCATTCGTGTCCTGGCAGCTCCCCATTCTAACCCTCTGAGAAATGCCTTTCTCCATTTTTAATTTCAGAAGCAAAGCCCCAGATTTTAATAGGCTACCTTGAGAAAGGTGCATTTCTAAAAGACAACAAATGCACGGCGATACAATCACTGGATCACAATGTCAAAACTGCAAATGTGGCCGTGTGCTAAGATTCGACCGCTGTACACATCCGGCATTGATTCCAGATTTAGCATTTAGGAACCTCCAGCGTGTCGGCATCATTCTGTCCCTTAACTCCTGGATCAGCCACTACTGCAGCTTCACCAGCTTTGTTTTGTTTTTTTAAAAGAAGCTTTGTTTTGTGGCCCAGCGGGCAAAGGGCTGAGTGCAGGCTGGGCTCTAAGATCCCAGGTTCAAGCCTGGGTCCTGTCGCTACCCGGCTGTGAGAGGGATTCCCTTGGCCAAGTGGCGCCGAGTTTAGGGTGGGATTATTTAGCTGGCTCTCAATAACACAGCGCCCCTCTGTGGCATCCCGGGACTTACAGACGTACAGAGCTCTCAGTGGGGAAAGGCCTCTCCTCTAACTAGCACTGACCTTTCTGGTATGGGGCTGCGATACCCCTGAACGGATGAGTGGCTTGAAGGAGGGCAGATCAGAGGTATCTGCCTACAATCCCCCCCTTTTCCCTTGTGCACAGTCACGTGGATTGTACCCAAGAGCGATATTTAAAATGGAATGGGAAGAGCAAAAGAACAACTGACAATTCTATTTATGTTTTCAGTGTGCTTACAATTTGTATGATGGCCACAATGCAATAATGATTTCAATAGTACAACCTAGAAAGTAAAACAGACATGTTAATGATTGCATTGCCTTGTTCTGCACAAAAATAAGATGTGTACACTACTGTGTACTACTACTTAATGCACCTTCACACTGTAAAGAAATATATTCAAGACAAGCTTCCATAACAAAGAAGAGAGCACCTGCCTTTATCAAGCAGCATGTAGTTTGCATACTTGTTTGAGAAAAAGAGTAACAAAAGACCATCTGAACCATTTTTGTCTCTGCCGGTAACGAAACTCTAGGTCAGTACGTTTGATCACAAACTTGCCCAGTGATCTCACTTTCCCTTACAACTTACAAATTCACACAATGCAAGAACTGCCATTTAAACATGTCCTCACTAAACGCAGAAGGCAAAGTAGTAAGTTTGATCATATATTCAGGGTGAATCTAAAATCTGACTTGATTTTAAGGCGACTGCAGGCTGGATACAATTTTTTTTGCTGCCATTTAATAGACTCATGCGATTGATTTCAATATCGTTTTCGTATATGGGAAACCTTTACGAAAGAAGGGCACAAGCAGACCAATACATGTACAAATATCACATGAAGCTTAAATCCTTGAACAGTCTGCAGCAGGGCTCCATCGGTCAGCTGTGTCAGGGCATGTTGTGGGCCAGGTGTTACAACAGCTGTGACTTCCAAATACCACCCACTCTGCTCTTTTCGTCAAAGCAAATATTCACCCCAGATCGGGGGGGGGAAAAAAATCGACATATCTGCCTTATCCTAATCGACTCCCTTATTTCTTCGCCTCGGAAACCAGCCGCAAAAAGCGAACAGGGACACCAGCGCATACGACGCCCCCGTCTCCGAATGGACGGACAAGATGGGCTGTCCAACACGTAAAATGGGACATCAAAACAAATACCCAAAATTGCTGTACTCCAGACATCCCTGTATCGCCTACTGAACTTCTTACTCGACACGAAAAAGCAAACCGACCGCACCGTCAACTACCGCACACTGACAGTTGAGCGCAGTTGGCTCTCTCTTCTCTTAATAATTGAATTTCGTTTCTCACAAGCAACATCATCACCCCGATTTCAGTTGTTAAGCAAATATCTGAAGAACACGCATTTTCATTAACGCTGCAATCTGTCTAGAGGTTTGTCTCCATACAAGGTCCACAGATGGGCTCCCATTCTGCTAGTAGGCGTTAGGGATGAGCTGAGTCTGCAGCTGTACTGCATTTCTTCGCTGAAGAGGGCATATCCCCTCTGAATTAATTAATGGAGATTCGCTTTTCTTTGAAAAACAGCAAATCCTAATGAGATAAATACCCCCCCAAACAAAGCCTCGCCTTCTCCCAGAGTAGACCGTTTTGTGCTCTTTTCTTCGGAAACTTACCTCTGCCGAAGGGTGCCGGTTTAGAAACTGCCTACAGATCTCAGCGCTGGGGGGGTTTAAAACGTATCGGCCGCTATACAGACTCAGCGAAAATCAGCACATCAAAAACCCCCGCTCGGCACCGCACAGACAGGTATTTACGGTTTTGTTTTTGATTTTTGATTTCTTCCTCCTCGTTCTCTCCCAATATGGCGGACGAGCAAGACTACACTTATCTTTCGCCTCCCGGGGCACTCTGGGAGCCAGCGTGATGACGACACAATGTTTGAATCAATACAAGAAAAGGCCGGGGCGCGTTGCTGTGGCAACGAAGGCCACGTTTTCCAGACGCTAGGTGGCGGTAGTGCGCTCAAGTCATACACACATTATTGCTAAGTTAGTATTACAAAGTTAGTATTACTAGTTGCCATCCTTAACATTTGATTTATATAGCCGACACGCTTGTCCAAGACTCTGTATGTGCAGAAACTGTAAAATATTAATCTAATATACTACATCAGTTAAATTAATCAAGTCCAAAAAACAAACTAAATAGTGCAGGAACAAGGTAAAAGCATTGCGCTGTTGGAAAAAAATGACGGACTCTTAAGGGTGAAATGCTCAAGTATTCGAGATATTGTTTTTCTGAAGGTCTTCTCACCTGGCGTTCTGAGACATAATTTCGGCTTTTTTGCAACGTGCAACGCACGACATAGCGATTTGTAGCTTTTAACTATGAACTATGAACTATGAACGGCTGGAGGGGTCGCAAGGCCTCCTCTCGTCTGTAACCTTATGTTCTTATATACTAGCGTTACCGTACATCTGTGACCCACACCAGGGAAAGATTCAGTAGAAGAAGGCGCAAACGTTTAGATACATTCAGCCCTTTTATACCTAGAAAGGGCTAGTGGAAACAGGCATAAAAACCCGGCTCCAGTGGTCCAACACAACAGGCCGGTTACATATATTCTGTCGGTGTTTCGGGATTTGCATGTAAATGTGTTAAAACAAGAGATGCGCCTGTTGTCGTACTTACGGTAAAGGGGCGCAGTGTATTATTCACCCGTGACCAACAGGGGGCGCGCTACCGCCATGTCTATTTCCCTCTCCCTTCCCGACACAGGAAAAACGAGCGCGTCGCTCATTTTCGACTTCCTTTCAAAAGCATTTTTTTCCTGCAGCTCTCTGTGGTTTGACCTGGCTCTTGGAGGAAATGGCTGGAGAAGAAGCCTTACAGCCCTTGATGTTCCTCCTGCTGTACATGCTTATGAAACGGAGAGCAGATATTAACAATGCCAGTGTCCAGAGACGAAATGAAATACAAAGGCGAGTCAGACACAGGCAATACTTTTTTCAGAGGCAGAGGAGGATGCTAATGGTAAATATTGTTGAACCAGTGAGCACTAGTTAACCAGAATTCGCCTTCTGCGAAAATAGTTTTCGAAGTAAACCAGGGTTCAGTGTTAAATCCGAAGTGTCCTGGGTACTGGACATCTCTCCTACCAGTGTACTGTGTGCAGTGTCACTAGGTCCTGTTTCTAAATGCACCTTCATTTTGTTGTATCCTTGCATGAATGCGCATCATCTCAGCCCACAGACAAGTACCGCAGCACAAGCATGATTCCCTCTGTCTTTGATGAACACGGTTCATCCTTGCTTGCATTGCCGGGATTGTGTGGTTGCACCTATCTTTAGTATTTCATTAATCCTAAAAATAGAAGTGTTTTACAACATTCACCGTGGGCACCAGCTCGAAGAGATACGAGACAGCGAGGAATTGCCAATGTTTCATACAATTCGTCTGGCAGTGAATAAACTTTGGTCAAAAAGAGAACCTTTCTTACCGGTTGATCGTTAAATACGCTGGCTGCAGCCTCTCAAAACCGGGGGGGAAAAAGTCCTTATCTGTAGCTTCAGTGTGCAGCCTTTCGTTCATGGCCGTTGTTTTTATTTCGTCCAGCCTGAGTGTTGTCCTCAAAGCCAGCGTTCACCTTTTTAAACTGGATTCAGCCTCTCGAAATTCCTGACTCGGTTTAGGTTTGGAAAATGTTCTACTAGAAAAACGAAATCGCCGCCCCCAAGATAAAAAAAAATCCAGATTACAACTAATCCAAACTCTGAAAATCTGATTTAAACGTAAACGTCAAGGTTTAAAGAATAGAGTGGGAGCCGACGGGGAGATCAACGGGTCTCTTGCAGGAATGGATCAAGAATCATTTGTCGTTGATCCATTGCTGTTGATAACATTGTTCTGTTGTGTTAGTATTTCTTCACTTGACAGAGCTCCGCTGCTGGGTGGGCAGAGTGAAACACACAAACAACACTTCCTTCTTCTCCCGTTCCTATAGGTTAATGTGATGTTTAATAACTGGAGACACTAAGTCAATGACAAGTGGCTCTCGGACTGGCATAAACCCACAGTAATGTGGAACCCTTTTTTAAAAATACCTTTAAATTTACTGTCGTCTGCATTCGCGTGCCTTTGCTGAAATGTGTCCATTTTTGTGAGTCCACTTAGTTTTTTTTTTTCAATTTGACAACTTTCCGCTCTGCTTTTTACATCTTCTGTTTAGGTCAAGTTGAAGTTAAAAAGCGTGTTAGCAGCTGTTCTGATGACGTTTTTGGAATGTATTGTGTTACTCTCCAAAGCTTTTTGGAGATTTTGGATTTTGGAAGCGCGTGTGAAAAGGTGTACAAAGGACTCGAAGCCTAGATGTCCAAGCGTCGTATGATCAGCTTCTTTCTTGTACAGTTTCTTGACTTTTTGTATTTTCTTTATTCACTTATCGAACCTATGTGCTGTCACATTTTGATTTCCAGTGCTGTCCAGAGTTGCGTCAATGAATCCGCCAGTCAGGGTGTTTCTGGGATGGCAGGCGACGACGTAAATTTTGTCCAGCCCGCGTACAGTCTATAGGTATCCCACGATACCTGCTCCTGCAGGGGTTGATGGGATTGAGCATGGCAGTCGCTCCCTTGTGCCCGAAAGCCACAAACCGCTAAGCGGATATTTCTTTGTATTGGGATTGAAAAACGATTTTGGATGAAAATTGGTTTTCGAACCCCCCCCCCTCTGAGTCCCTGTTCTTTTTCTTTTTGGCTCTGAAGATGCTGGTGGCGCGCAGCAGTCGCTGCACCTGCAGTTCTCGCACGCGGGCCTGGACCAACATCCAGAGCACGGACTGGTGGGAGCGGGTGGTGATGAACGAGTTCCAGCCGCGGGACTGGCTGGAGAAGTTCCGCATGTCCAAGGACACCTTCTTCTACATCTGCACCAAGCTGAAGCCCAAGCTGGCCCGCCAGGACACCCACTTCCGCCTGGCGTTGCCCCTGGAGAAGCGGGTGGCCGTGGCGCTGTGGCGGCTGGCCACCAACGTGGAGTACCGCACCATCAGCGCGCTGTTCGGCGTGGGCCGCTCCACCGTGTGCAAGTGTGTGCGGGACGTGTGCCACGCCATCGTGGCCCTGCTCAAGCCGCTGTACCTGCAGGCGCCCAGCGCCCACGAGCTCGACGACATGGCCCGCCTCTTCAACACCCGCTGGGGCTTCCCGCACTGCGTGGGCGCCGTCGACAGCCTGCACGTCGCCATCATCGCCCCCCCCAGCTACACCGCCGACTACTGGAACAGCAAGGGCTGGCACTCGGTGGTGCTGCAGGGGGTGGTGAACGGGCTGGGCCAGTTCTGGGACGCCTGCGCCGGCTTCCCTGGCAGCACGGAGGACGTCACCATCCTGCAGAGCTCCACCCTCTGGGGCGCCGCCAGCGAGGGGGGGCTCTTTCCCGAGCCGCCCAAGGAGTTCATGGGGCGGCCCCTCAAGTACTTCCTGCTGGGCGACGCCGCCTACCCGCTGCAGAGCTGGCTGCTGAAGTGCTACCCGGAGGGCCCGGAGCTCACGGCCCGCCAGCTGAAGTTCAACTACCGGCTGAGCCGCGCCCGCAGCGTGATCGAGAACGCCTTCCTGCGCCTGAAGGCCCGCTGGCAGTGCCTGCACAAGCGCAACGACTGCAGCCTGGACCTGGTGCCCACCATGATCCTGGCCTGCTGCATCCTGCACAACGTCTGCGAGGTGCACAGCGACTCCTTCAACCAGGAGTGGCTGGAGGCCGTCGGGGGGGCCGACTGCCCGCAGCCCTGCGACAGTGTGCCCCCCAGCATGGACGACCCGGCGGCCGAGGAGGTGCGGGCCCTGCTGTGCGATTACCTGCAGCGGGAGCAGGACTAGATCCCCTTGGCCAGCACACCCCGTCGGCGGGAATCGTTTCGCTCCGGAGCTGCGTGGGGCCTGGCAGTGGTCCTGACAAGGTGGCAGCCAGTCAGTATTACTGGCTTGTGGTTGGGGAGAGATGTCACTTCTCAAGTCGTGCATTGTGTGCCTCCTAGGAAGTGGCGCTCCAGGGGTCCGATAAGGTTAATTCCAACTGGAGTTCAGCTTACTATAACTTAAACTAGGTATTGTTGACGCGTAGGTAAGGGGGGCTCATTTCTCAAAGCTGAAAACAGGACGTGGGCTGGCCTCAGTATTGCTGCCCCGGAGCGCTGGGGCGGCTGTCTGCGTGGAGTTTGCATGTTCTCCCCGAGATTGTGTGGGTTTCCTCCCACAGTCTAAATACACACTGGTAGGTTAATTGACTTCTAGGAAAAGTGGTCTTGGTGTGAGTGTGCGTGCGTGTCTCTGTGTGTCCCCTGCAATGGACTGGCGGCCCATCCAGGGTGTACCCCGCCTTACGCCCGTTGCTTGCTAGAAGAGGCACCGGCTCCCCCATAACTCTGAATTGGATGAAGTGGTTAGAAAATGGATGGGTGGAAAACAGACCTGTGTTTATGTTTCACTTCCTGGTTCCCTCTCAGAGCTTTGTTGCTTTCTGTGGTGTTTAAGTGTGTGCTGGTGTGGGCGGGTGGCAGGGGGGCTTCCTGTTGATTTCTGCAGAGGAGTAGAACAGCTGTATGCTCACCCTGTGTTTAGAGGTACTTCTCTCCCTGTCCCACCTACTCAACAATGACTTTTGTGTTTTCTACAAAATGCCAGCAGAGGGCGCAAGAGCACTTTTTTCATTAAACCAGTCAAACAGAAAACACAATTGACAGTTGTGCTACCTTTATTATAAATGCCAAAGTGATGTATAGCTGCAGATCTAACTCTGTGATTAATGATAAGACTTACCAACAATCTTTGAATCCTTTCTGTCTTGCTGTCCCAGTACGATATTCCAGAGGGTTCCTGTACATCACTTTACAAATATGCATGTGGCAGAGGTATGGCTGTTAGCATTGCTGCCCCACAGCGTTTGTATCCTGCAGTCGATTCTGGAATCTATGTGGAGTTTGCATGTTCTTCCCAGGTTTATGGGGATTTTCGCTATGTGCTTCAGCTTCCTCCCATCTTCCAAAGACATGCAGGCCGCCACAGGATTACCCCCATGTGCATCCCCTGTGATGGACAGTGACCTGTCCAGGGTGTAGTCCTGTGATTCCAGGGTAGGAAAGCCATTCCTCTGGATGGCTGAACCCCACGCCAGGAATAAGGTGACCTTCAGATTAGGTAACACAATTGTCAATTGTTTTTTCACTACTAGACTTCTCTAGTAGCTATTCCTGGGTCATTGCATTGATGTAGTTAGTGTCAGCAAACAAATACCATCTTCTTCAGAGATAAGGTAACATTTAATCAGGGACTTTTCAACTGCCTCAGACAGGCCAGCTTGCAAGCTCCGTCTGTAGAATGTAGTTCACTGGATTATCTGTGTTGTCAGGTGCCGTGATAAAAGATACCTGTAGTTTTGCTGTCAGCATGGTGATTGGTTCTTTTAATAACAAATAGTATTACCCTGTACTTACTGTATGTAGAGCTGTTCACATATAAAAGGGGACCCCATCCACACCTCATTGAAATACAGTCCCCAGCTGGATGCCATGTGGTAACACATCAGGTTCTGCTGCACCGCTGCACTGCAATTTAGCTGAGAATGAAAAACTCCCCACCGCTAGAACTATTGGGAACTTTAGGAAGGTCATTTCATAGAGGTCAAGAGTGGACTTTAGCCAGGAGACCAGGGTTAACACCCCTACGTTTTCAGAGATCATATCATTTTCATATGATCTTTCATTGCAAAAGTGGTCTAAACAGTAGTTTTAATGTCTCATCTAAGGGACAGTACTCCCTATAGCACCACACTGGGACATGTGCAACCTCCTGGTCCACCAAGCCCATGTACAGCAGCAACCTGGTTCTCCTTAGATCTGTGGTCCTGGTACTGACCGGACCCATTCCTGATTCTGAGTTTCTGAGCCCTGGCATGGACAGGAGGAAACTAAAATGTGATAACACTGCTTTTGATCACACTTTCAAAATGAATAACAATGTGGTTCAGTGGTGTCAGTGGTTGAGTATCTCTCTGTAAATGTCCTGGCATTAGATGATTTTGAGAGGTCTGGAGTCTACTACACATTAATGTTCTTTCATGGTTTTTTTTATTAACGGATTGTGCAGACATGTTGCTTATGCTCATTTCTAGGGATCCAAAACGTGGCTAGACAAGATCCCTGACTCTGTGAGCTACCAGCGTTCAACTGAGCAAGGAGAACTGAATGGCTTCCTGTCATTTGTACCTGCTCTTTTGTTATAAAGACTTTGAAAATGACTTTCATGTTAATTTGACACCATAAAATGAGTGTATGTATATTTACCCAGCAGGAGCATTGTTTTAATAAATGCAGCTTAATATTATTCATTTTCACTTATCCAGAGCATCTTACATTATTACCTGCTTCTGTAACTCAGCATTTAACCAAAGCAGTCTGAGCGACCTGTCTTGCTCAGGGCTTCAACCGCTGTGTCTCACCTAAGATTTGACCTCGAAAGTCTCCAGCTCTAAGTTCAGAGCCCTCCCCTGTGTGAGAGGTGACAGGTTTGTTTGTTAGCTTGAGCTTGAGGTGACCCTGTGAGAATTATGCTGTGTGTCACCAGCTTTGAAGGAATTTCATTTAAGAGGATTTATGATTACTTGTTTGCTGAATGCGCAGACAAGCCCAGAACACCAAATAAGACCTAGCAATAAGTCTGGCACTGCAGAGTCAAATGTGTTTTTTTACCTATTTTCTCCTTTTCATGGCTTCTAAATTAGCATTTTGTTTAATGATTTTAAAATGTTTTACCTGTGAAATGAGAAAGTGAAAAATCTAAAACACATTTTATTTATCCTTCCATTTTCTCTTCACTCCATTCTGTCTGTGGTCGCAGGAGAGCCAGGGCCTATCCTGGCAAGCACTGGGCACAAGGTGGGATACACCCTGGACAGGACACCAGTCATTCACAGGGCCGACACACACACCAGAGCCAATTAACCTATTAACCAATTAAGCCAATTAACCAGCACCTCTTCGGACTGGGGACAGAAACCAGAGCACCCCAAGGAAGCCCACACAAACACAGAGCGAACATACAAACCCCACAGTGATAGCACCCCAGGTCCGTAACTGAACCACTGCACCAGTGAGACACCCTCGTTTATTCAGGTAGGACTTCTATCAGTGAAGTAATGGCAAGTGTGGATGAGACAAAAAATAGAAGAGCTCGCTCCCTAGAAGTAAGGCTAGGATAGCTGTGCTCTTAAAAGGGAAAAGGCACAGAATGACCAAGGTGCGTTTTGTGATGTATCATTCTGGTGAAATGGAAATAGCTAATATGTTAGTTGTTTTTATAGTGTAATTAACTTACACATTTTATTAATAGCTGAATGACAACCTTTTAAGAATTGGACCCCAAGCAGTGTTAAAATGCACCACTACCTTAAATGCATTTACCTGTAAACAAAACCCTGAATTACTGACAAATAGTACTATGCATAAAGTACTTCGACCTGCTAGAAGATTGTGAGGGGTGTTGAATGGACAGTGAAAGATAATCAGACAAGTGAAAACTCCGTGGAAGAGCGTTTAAAACTTGACACAGGGGGCCGTGGAGGTTATGGTAGAACCTTCCCGTCGATGTTGTTGAAGGCAGTACGCTGATTGCATTTAAGAAACGGCTGGGTGATATTCTCCGATCTATTTTCTGCTACCTACAGTAAAGTTTGCAGCTGCAGCCATAACTACAGCAGCGCTTTAAATCGCTTCTGATTGAAGACAGCAGACGGAACCAACGGACTGCGTTGCGGGGGGAGATATGTATAGATTTATTAAAATAAAAGTTGAAGTAAAATTAAATATTGTCAGAAAAACTATAAAAAATGTGTAAGCTTACGTGTAATTACATGTAATTAAATGTACATTAGCAAACTTCCGTTAATGTTGAATTTTAATAGCGAAATTCATTTGAAACACCCTCTTGAAATCCCCCCCGTTGCCACGGGAGTGTTTGTCTACGCCGGGCAAAGTAAGGCAAGATGGCTGCGCCCTGTGTGTCGTGTCTTAGTTGATGTTTTGCACGTATATTCTAGTATTTTATTATTTATCGTTTTATAATAATTGTTGAATTGTCGTTTAACACAAATAGACAACAGCGTCATTTGCAGAAATCTTTCCGGTAGTCCTGATCCTGTTAATTCACCGTTGCATACCATTTTATCCCTAGCGAGAATTGTTAAATGGTGGAAAAACATCCTTTGAACAGATCGTTTATTTATAAAGCGTTCGATGAGCAAATGTCCATTATCCTCTTTGAATTATAAGTAGGGTTTCGTTAAAAAAAACCAACAAGATATATCCCATTTTTATCGGGAGTTTAAAATCATTCTAATATTATAGTTAACTGTTCTCGACAACAGAAGGCAACCTCGATTCTGACGGAAGATGGTGAACGACAAGGAAATCGAGGCGCTGGGAAGTATACTGGTGAACGTCGAGGAGCCCCTCAGGGCGCGTTTCAGGGCCCTGTTCACCCTGAGGAATCTGGGCGGGTCGGCCGCCATAGACTGGATCAGCAAGGCCTTCGCGGACGACTCGGCGCTCCTGAAGCATGAGCTGGCCTACTGCCTGGGCCAGATGCAGGACGAGCGCGCCATCCCCACGCTGGTGTCCGTGCTGGAGGACACGCGGCAGGAGCCCATGGTCCGACACGAGGCCGGTGAGGGTCCACAGTTCTCCTTCCGAGCCCCGAGAACCGCTGCCTGACGGGAGAGGTGCAGATCATTTTCAGATCTCTCTAACAGGGGGTTCCCAACCCTTGTCCTGAATCTCTCCCCCCCCCCCCCAGCTGAAGCCTTTACTTAAATGAGTACCTCTCTGAACAAGTCGCTAGGTCAGATGACGTGAAGTTAAGAAACTCAAAAGAGTTGAAATGACCCTATTATTGGCATAGTAGTTCCAGTAGGGAGCTGCGTCAGCATGGGTAGGCTGCAAATGAACAACTAAAGGTTTATTCCTGCTGAAAAGAAACACCAGAAGAAGGCTTGTTTCCTTTCTTCTCTTTTCGGCACGGAATAAACCTCGACTTGTTCCTATGATTAGCATGATTGAGGGTTCGATTATTTGAGGGCTCTGCGTGGGTCAGTCTTGAGACACGGGGTGTCCTGTTATTGTCTAGACAGTTGAGCATCGCCTGCGCGCACAGTGGGAAGCAGAGGGGGTACCCCTGTAGCTTGCCCCACCCTAGCACTTTCCTGTCATGGGCTGTTCGTGCCGCTGTGTGATCAGAGTCAAGTTGAGTTCTCTGCATAAAAATGTTGGACGCGGCTTTAACCCTTGATGATTTTGCTTGTCTTTCCAGGAGAAGCTTTAGGAGCAATAGGAAATCCCAAGGTTCTGGATATCCTGAAGCGTTACTCTGAAGACCCTGTGATTGAGGTAAGGTCCAAATAAAGCTTAAGTGTATCTAAGCAGTTAACTAGTACAACTCTTATCTACGGCACTATAAGATCCTGAAGTGCTGGAATATGGGCACGGCGGCAGTGCGGTGCTGAGCCCCAGCCGGGCAGGTCGAAGTGGGTCCGTGCAGCTGAGTGTCGCCCCCGGCCCCCCTCAGGTTGCAGAGACCTGCCAGCTGGCGCTGAGGCGGATCGAGTGGCTGCTCAGCGGGCAGGAGCAGTGGAAGGACGACAGCCCCTACGTGTCCGTGGACCCGGCGCCCCCGGCCCCGGAGAGGAGCGTCCCAGAGCTCCGAACCCGCCTGCTGGACGAGTCCCTGCCCCTCTTCGACCGGTACAGAGCCATGTTCGCCCTCAGGAACCTGGGCACGGAGGAGGCGGTGCTGGCGCTGGCCGACGGTATGCGTGACGCAGCCGGGAGGAGTGGGCAAGCCGCGGGGGGTTTCGGTTTCATGAGACCCTCCTGACCTTCCTTTAAATCTCAGCAAATTCATTTCTTCATGGCTGTGCTTTAAAGTATAGGGAAATTCTTCAGGAATAAAAACATTTAGGAGTGAAGCGCAGTTCCCCCAGTTCTCACAGTCTGCATGCAGGTTGCGCGTCCAAAGACATGCTGTTAGGCTAATTGGCTTCAGCGATAATTGGTCCTGTTGTGAGTGTGTGTGTGTGTCTCTCTCTCTCTGTGTGTGCGTGCGCGGGCCCTCCGCCGAGGCCCTGTACTGGCCGAAGTGGTCAGAAGCGGGGTGACGTGGTTTCTGGCGAGGCGAGTGTGCCCTGAGCCGGCCGTGTCTGCTGTGTTCCCCGCAGGGCTGCAGTGCGGCAGTGCCCTGTTCCGGCACGAGGTGGGCTACGTCCTGGGGCAGGTGCAGCACGAGGCCTGCGTGCCCCAGCTGGCCGCGGCGCTGGCCAGGGCGGACGAGAGCGCCATGGTGCGGCACGAGTGCGCGGAGGCCCTGGGCGCCATCGGCAAGGAGCCGTGCCTGCGGGCGCTGCGGGAGCACCTGGGCGACCGCGAGCGCGTGGTGCACGAGAGCTGCGAGGTGGCGCTGGACATGTACGAGTACGAGAACAGCGGGCAGTTCCAGTACGCAGACGGGCTGCTCCGCCTGCAGGGGGCGCAGTGACCCCTCTCAGAAAGCAGAGCACAGCACACCACCTCCCTGCCTGGCTCTTCTGAATTTCCCTGGGGGGTCCGTGATCCATACCGAACAGATTTATTATCTTTAATGCTAGGACGTTAGGGAAATTGACTTATTTTCATATCTACTTGTTTTCTGGACATTTGCACATTGTATGGTTTTATCACTGCTTATATTTAAAATATTAAAATATTTCAGTTTGATAACACATGAGCCTCTGGCATTGCTACATTTCAATAAACTGCAGTTCCTGGTTTAATCCTGCTGTTTGTTGTAATTTTAAATACAGTAAAATATGTTCCCCATACTTGCTAACTTTTGAAGTTCTGTATAGGAGCATGTACATGCCTTTCTCCCATAGCTGCGCTGTTTCAATGCCGATCCTGGACAGTTGTTGTTTTTAGTTGAGTGAGTGGCAATAATAACCAATCAAGAACAATATCTTTCATCATCTTAAGAGATGCTGCTGTTCAAAAATGCCAATTTCCACTTCCAGTTACTGAACACCTGTGTTTGTTCTCATGTTTGTTTTAGCTGTGGTTTTAAATTAAGCCATGCCACTTGAATGCAAATTTAAGCTGGGTCTGTCTGTTTTTATTTGCTTCTTCTACAGACATTACTTAAAAAGATTAAGTGTGTAATGACAGCAAATACTTTCTGTCATTTGGACAGCAGCTGCATATTATCAGTTAAGTTTCAGCCCTGATTTGGGGTGACTTCAGACAAACATGTGTGATCTAGACTGGAGCCTGATTGAAAACACAATTCCTGCCGGAGTAAAGCCTAGAGGGGGCTGCGCAGCACATCTTTGCTGTTTGTTTGCTGAGACGTTTATTGATCCAGTGGGCCAGATTAAGCCTGTATTGTGTAGGAACCACATGATATCATTGTTTTCTTGCTGGTTCCGGCTCATTGTGTTAAATCTTGGCTTTGTTTCCAAGCAGTTGAACTCCATTGTTGTGATCTCTGCCCTTTGTCCCACCCATCTTTATACCCAGAGATCCCTGACTGAACTAATGAGGATGATGGACTTATTACGCCCATCCCCTCCAAATCACTTAGCCACAATCTGGCCTCCCAAACCAATCGAAACCGGGTCCTGTCCTGAGGCACATGCGTAGAGGAAGAGGGTAATGAGGCTTCTTCTGTCTCCTCCTGTTTCTCTTGTTTTTTTATCCTGTGTTCTGTCTGTTAAAGGCTCTTTAACCCTTCATTTACCACAAAGTTCAATTAAAGAGAGTAAACAACCAGAAGCCCCCTTTTGATCTCCTGAATTTACCTGTCCTGCATCTGGGATAGCTACATCTCATTGGAGCCTCATTATTTTTAAATATAAGACCAACCAGAAAAAGATTTGTACTTATCCAGGAATGGATATCCCGAGATCTCTATCTTTCTGCCACTGTTCTCGCCTCCACTGCACTGCACAGGGCATTTAGTCTGATCTTTTATTTTTTGTATTTTAAGCTTTTGTGTATGTGCTCGTTATGAATACACTACTCCAGTTTGATTCTCAATTTGTGTGTCTCTAGATATATCAGTTGAATACATACAAATTCCTTTTTGGGAATGTGATCAATTCTCCCGTGATTTTTATAGGATTCTCAGCCACAGTTTTGCTTTACTGTGGCAGCGTGGTTTTATTAGTTTTTAAATTAGTGGGTGGGGAAAAAAGGACCTATGAAAACAAAAATCTTGTCTGGAAAATTAAAAAATTGATTGTTGTTCACTGAAGCTTTTATTGTCTTTTAAAAACTGCAGTTTGTCTCATCACAGTCCAATCTGGATGCCATTCAAGGCAAATTGGCCTTCTTTTCGGAAGCCATCTGTTCTCCGTACATGTGACTGGGAGGCTCTGAGTTGAAATTCTCTTAATCCAGGGGATAGATAGAAATCACGCTGTTTAGCTTTTTTTCTCTGAGATTGGTGTGATTTGGAGCTGTGATTGAAAACCTCCCAGCTGGAGGAGCCAAAGGAAGAAGACAGGAGACAGGAGATGGATGGATATTTGGGTGTGCTTCTTGAGCACGCTACCCAAAAAATGATTTCGAACAGCCGCCTGAACCTCGTCATCTGAAACTCCAACGTCCCTCCCAGAGTAAGTATGGCGACTCTACTAAAAAATAGTTGTTGTGAACACCTGCTGCGTTGTGCTCTTCTGCAAAAGCCTTCAGACACAGCACATTGAGACAATCAACCTTATAAAAAAGAACACAAAGACTATTCATCTCATTAATGGAGCAGTGTTACGTGTTCAGAGAAGCAGCAATCCTCAGATGTATAAAAGGTGACTTGCTTTGTAATGGCAGGTGTTGCAATTCATAGTGGAATCCTTTATATTTAGAGAACCCTGTTAATTGAAATCTGAACTTTCATTTACTGTATATGGCACACAATTGGACAAATGAGTTGGGCAAATGCAGTGTCCTGTTGCTGTTTTTCCCTTTTATGTTCTTAATTTCCTTTTGGATCTTCTCTCCATCATCAAAAATAACTTTGGCTCTGATGACTAAACTCGCATGTTTATTAACAACTATTATAGATAGTATAACATCTGTTGACAGGGATGCATACTCTTATGTTTAAAGTGGGGGTTGCTGTTGGATCACCAGTCCACAAAGACTGGAGAATCCAACATCTAAACTCCTTTAGATCACTAGCACAAGCATTTTCTGTGAAATTATGATCTTTGGAGTTAATGGCTGAGACATCAAAGGCAGTTTTTGTTCTTCTGAATCCTGAATCCTCTCTTGCAGATTGCTTTTTGCCTCATAGCGCCCATAAGAGAATTGAGACTACATTTAAATAAGTGTCTATGTGTGATATCTGTAATTTCTTGCCATTTCAAAGTCTGGATGCACAGCTGAAATTAGTCTAAAAGGAGGAGGATATTAAATGTTGAACATAATAGTGCAGATTCACATTTTTGAATGTGTACTGTATGTTGTGCAAGCGTAAAGATAAAATAAATGTTAACATCCATGACTTTTATACAATAAATGCAGGCATGGAATGTATTACCATTTCAGGGTTACTGTAAGTGCTAAGAATGGCTTTCAGATTCCGATGAATGTCAATGCATGTTTCTTTCCAGAAGACTTGTACATCTAAAGCAACCAATCTGAATGTTAGGAGAAAACCTCTCTGAAATGGAGCTCAAACAGTAACCCCAGAAGAACAGGTAAGGCAAATTCATTGAGACTGCATGTTGCAATGCTGTTTGTCCGTTAAGTCTGTACACACATTTGATACACCACCGAAGGCACCCTTGGTGTTTGCTTCTGCTGCCTTTGAGGTTGCCAGCTCACAATGTCTGACAAAAAATAATATGAGTACCAGCATTTTATTTACCATTTGAACATGGCATTGAAAGCTTTAAGCATTTTTCCATAAGCCAGCATCCATATATATGATTTTTAAATGTAATCGTAAAAGTTCTTTTAATCCCCAGAAGACAATATATATATATAGACACTGAAACTGAGATGTTTGAACTGGCTGGTGCTGTCAGCAGACTAGTGTTATAGTGTAGCTCCTCAGTGATGCAGATAAGATTACCATATTTATAAATGTTTCCAACTGCCTATTTGCCACAAATAACACCAGTTTTTTAATAATAATAATAATAATAATAATAATAATCATAATAATAATAATAATAATAGTGGGATTTCTGATGTTTAAGTTGGGCCAATATTTTTGCTACCATCCAGGAAACAAACTTAAAAATCTCCTATGATTTATCTTGCACCTGTATTCACAAAGCCTCAATCCCCTGTGGCCCATTAGCGTTGTGAACGTGAAGCAGGAGGCCACAGACAGATTAGGAGCAGGGGGGGGGGTAAGGCGTTATAATTGAGGGGAGAAAATTAATACCGTCAGAGAAAGAGACAGAGAGACACGGTTGAGAAGTGCAGAGAAGTGTGTCGACCGTCGCCCCGGAGAGCCAGACCCCAGCCAGCGTTTGAGACCCCTCTGGCAGAATGCTGCACCCAATCATGATTGGAATAATCATAGTCAACACTAGCATGACTGCGCTTTACTGGATTTTCATTCTCCATGAAGCCTTTAACAGAAAGGTGGAGGAAGAGCCCAAGCCCAAGGAGAATCCAGCTTAATCCGGACACCTTTTTTGAAAGTAGAAAAGGGCATGGGCATGACTGCCTGGCCTGTAGCATTTAGCACTTTCTCTTTGTCCTTCATACAGCTTCACATAGGGTCCCAAGGCTTTGCTGACAACAGCTGCTGCCGAGCGTACAGGTACCCGTACAATGATTTTTCTGCTGTCTTTGGATCCCAGGGGTTTGTTAGAATTTGCTCTGTAATTGATGGGACGAAATTGTACAAACTTTCCAAACTTTTTAAAATCTGGTACTGAGTCAGCTGGAGTAGAAAGAGCAGTAAAATTAAGTTTTCGAACCAGCTGAAACTTTTTAACATGATTCGCCTCCTTGTTTTTAAATGATTTGGGAATTGTGGATTTTTTCGATTGACTGCAAAGAAAATTAATGAATTGAAATATTATCCTCAGTGCATAACAGATGGGCGTGTTTCTGGATTTAAGAGCTGGTGACTAGGACTGGTACAGTCTTGTAACGGTGCAACAGAAAAGGAAGTAGAAATGTTTCCAGAATAATATTTTGTTTCATCTTACTCATATTGACATAAAACAGAAATAAGTTAGAAACCAGATTTTCTGCTTTGGACTGCAAAGTCATTACAACCTTTGTGAATTTTGAACTGTCATTAATTAACTCTTTAATTTTTCCTGTTGTTTTTCCATCGTCTTGGGATAGTTAGTCATCCTGACACCTCCTGTGGGTCTTCAAATAAGCAGAAAGATGTTGAAGGTTTGTGTATCCTCTGTGTCTTGAATTATTGGCTGACAAAAAAGAAAAAAGAAAACCTGAGAAAGAGGATTGCATGGACTGAAGGGCCAGCTCTTAGTTTTCCCTGCACTGGACCTTCCACAGAGAGAACCAGCTTGTCTGTGAAAAGGTAAGGCACCTTCTGATCCTTTTGTGTCTCAAAATGTTTCCGAAACCTTCTGATCAAAGGGCACTCATGTATAACCATCTTCGCTCTTTGGCAGTCTGCCCATTCTGACTGAACCTGTCGCTGGTGTCTCATCAACATCCTGTCATCCACTGGAGCTTTTTCACCTTGTCCAACCACTCGTTTTGCCAAAGAAAGTTAGCAGTCACCAGTCATCATCTAGAACCCCCATGGCTCCTCCACATCGCTGTCTTCTCTCTGAAA